AGCCATCATGGAGGGTTGTTTTGGAAGTCCTCTACTGTCTTCGCTAGTCATTACCTGCGGGATTTGGCCGTCGAGGACGTGGAAGGTCTTCAATCGTTTGGTCCACTGGTGGTTGCTCAGCAACTCACCCGTCCTACCGCCCATTAGGTAACTACTTCTTCTTACCTTCTGGTCTTCAGGTTAACTTACACTTTGGGTGTATTTGTTTTCCTAAGGGTTGCCTTTAGTTACTATCTGTCTCCTGTTCCAGGCGCCTCCTGCGACAGTCTGGCGATTCAGTAGTTTCTTCTGGTTTTCCCTTGGCATGTGGGTTTTTCGTGGGACGGTCCTCTGGAGCCCGACACCGCCGTCCTACTGTCGAATCCATATGCATAAGACCTATGGTAAGGTAAGTTAAAAATTTATTAAAATCTAAATATTTTAGATATTTAAATACTTACCTTACCATAGGGCGGTAACTCCCTCCCAACGCTGGATGCTCCTCCCCTCTCTGGGCTCTTCGGACCTGGTCAGTAAAAGTGATTTTGGATGGACCGCGCTTGCGCGCGAGGGGAGATCACGTCATTTCCGTTGCCTGTACACTCGTCGATACACGAGGTGGCCGTTCTATAGAATGGCGAATCAACGACTGTCTGATCTCTTTAAGCGGAGCTTGAGGTAATATGCATAAGACCTATGGTAAGGTAAGTATTTAAATATCTAAAATATTTAGATTTTAATAAATTTTACTCTAAAAATTTCATATTTGAAAACGAAAAACTGTGATGCAAAATTAAACGTCAGTAATTTGTACTTGATAGACTGTATTTGGTTTATGGCCCATCTTCTGACCGCCTCCTTGGTGTAGTGGTTAGAGCGTCCGCCCGAAGAGGGGAAGGTCACGGGTTCGATCCCCGACCGCGTCATACCAAAAGACGTTAAAATATGGTACTTGTTGGTCCCTGCCTGGCGCTCAGCATTAATGGGTACAACAAGGACTGGTCGGCTCGGAGCCAGTATAATGTGTCTGAGTGGGGTATTCATGCTTCACTGTGGCATGGTATCTCAGTGGGCTAGCACTATAAAACCAGCTTAAGTCTGGGCTAGTACAAGCAGCCGCACATACATATACGCACGCACGTCATCATATGAGCGAAATATTCTCAAGCACGACGTTAAACCCAATTTCACCTCACCTCACCTCCATCTTCTGATATGTGATAGTGCAGCTCTGATCACACACAGGAGGGAGACAGTCGTGATGTTTCCAAGATAAACTCACCTTGTCTACTCTGCTAAGAAATGGATCTATTGCTGGGGGCAGTAGGATAGCCTGGTGTTCGGTAGTTAGATCCAGGTTTATTTCCAACACATGGATGAAGCCATTTCTGGTGCCTCCCTGCCATGATATTACCACAATATTGCTAAAAGCTGCGTAAAACCCACTCACTCACTCTCCTGCTAGGGGTGGTGGGGTAGCCTAGTTGGTAAAGCGTTCGCTCGTCACACTAAAGGTCCAGGTTCCATTTCCTACATGGGCACAATGTGTGAAGCCTATTTCTGGTGTGCCCCGCCATGACATTCCCAGAATATTGATAAAAGCAGCGTAAAACCATATTCACTCACTCACTCTCCTGCTAGGTGCTGGTGTCCAAGGATGACAACCTGATGGGCAAGATGGTTGATGTTCAAATCGTGGAGACTGGTAAACACTTCCTCAAGGGGAGACAACTGAAGGGCAAGGATGCAGTACGCCCTGCAGTTCCTCCACCAAAGAAGAAGGGCGAGGTTTCAGGTGTTGAGGTGGCTGAGCAACAGGTAAACTGGTCTTGCCTTGTCAGTGCTTGTGTGTAGCAGTAGTGAAAGTCCCTATAATGGAGGCGGTGGGTAAGCCTAGTGGTTGAAGCGTTCGCTCGTCACGCCGAAGACCCGGGTTCGATTCCCCACATGGGTAAAATGTGTGAAGCCCATTTCAGGTGTCCCCCACCGTGATATTGCTGGAATATTGCTAAAAGTGGTGTAAAACTAAAATTCACTCACTCACCCTATACTGTGTATACTAGACAGCACACTGAGCTGATAGAGCATATGAGCTGGGAAAGCAAACGAGCTTGGATAGTGTAGTGGCTGGGATAGCATTGTAACTTGGTACTGTTCCACAAAGCCATCTAAGATCAAGGTACTACAAAAGTGTATGATAACGTTAGTGGTGTTCCAATTAATTGAAATAATCGAAGATTGGTTGCAGTGACCAAACGACCAAGCAATCGATCACATTTTCTCATAATCGAACATAAACGATTTTGGAACTACTGTTTTAGTCTTTGAAATACTTGACAATGGAACATATCTTAGAAGTTGTCAGGGCCTGGAAACATGTTTATTTCTTAGAAAACTCACTTCACTAACTGAAAAGTCATGACTGAATATTTCTCTAAGACTCCAGGAAGTTTATGTTCATGATATATAAGTCATCACTTTAAAGTAACAAGTTGCATCATGTTATACTTTTCTGCAGTAACAACGGTAGGAAAATCTGAAAAATGACGCTAACCAATTTTTTTTCGATGATTGATCGTTGGTAATGAAGCAATCATCGATTGTGAGATTTCAACCAATTCCCAACACTAGATAACGTATGGGAGTTTCAACCACCTTGACACCAAGATAGTTTCATGGTACAGGGCCCATGCTTTTGTTTCAATTAGTTCATACAACAAACATAATGTCTACTGATAAAGCTGTTTCGTTCAGTTTAGTAATTATGTAACATCAATAACATAATTGAACCTGCAGTATTTCTAGATCTCCGGGCTAGTTACTAAAGTGTTACCATCTGTCAGTTATGTTCCACTGATTTCACTTCCAGGGTTCCCACTCAGTGTTGATGTGGCTTGCTGTGGGTGCTATTGCCGTGGGTATGGCCTGGAGGTTGGGTAACATCCTTCTGACATGGGCTCAGCTACCTGACTAAGTGGGAGGTTCAGTGACCTGCTGACCAGTTTGGGAGGCTCAGTGACCTGCTGACCTGGCCAATAAGCTCAGTGACCTAAGAGGGGAGGCCCAGTGACCTGCTGACCTGGCCAGTAGGCTCAGTGACCTAAGAGGGGAGGCCCAGTGACCTGCTGACCTGGCCAGTAGGCTCAGTGACCTAAGAGGGGAGGCCTAGTGACCTGCTGACCTGGCCAGTAGGCTCAGTGACCTAAGAGGGGAGGCCTAGTGACCTGCTGACCTGGCCAGTAGGCTCAGTGACCTAAGAGGGGAGGCCCAGTGACCTGCTGACCAGTTTTAAAGGCCCATTGACCTGCTGACCTGGCCAATAAGCTCAGTGACCTCAGTAACAGGGGAGGGTCAGTGACATGCCGACCAGGATGGGAGGCTCATTGACCTGATTCGTTTGGAGGCTCGATGACTGATTCACTGGAATTCGCAGTGTCTGAGTCAGTGTGAGACACTTTTTGGCTGGTTTGTGGTACAATGTATAGACACTCCTAACTGGTACAGCAACATTATGTTGTTTTATTGTCATGTGAGAATGCTGTATGTGTGACCCATGGACTGCTGGAAGACTACCCTATTGTGTATATACAACAGAAAAAATAAACTGACACAGTATGTGTAAAATAAACATCTTTATGTCGTGTTTTTACCATATGCTACTTAATAAAACATGTCTATTGTAAACAAGAATTTAAGGACAGATTCTGAGTTTGAAATGATCGGATTTACATGCATATGAAAATATAAACAAATAAATAATAAACACTATGGATAATGAAAGAAATGGACGCTTCAGTCAGTAGTACAGAAACATAATCTGGCGAATATGACGCTAAAGTTCGTGTCCTACAACGGCAACACTCATAGATTCAAATTTGTGTTACCAAACATTTTCTAGATGAACAGCAGGGTAATAACATTGCTGCCTCGACCTGGTAATGATCACATCTGTGTGATACTGCTCACATGATTTACTGTGATGATTGTATCTTATCATCATTAACGTTATGGGTTGTTGATTGATGTCTATGAGAAAAACAAAGAAGATTATCATTTTCATTAGCATCTACTATGGAAACATTTGAAAATGAACACTTGATACTATCATGCCTACATAACATGATATAACTCAAATATAACAAATCACAATAAATCAAGTTGATCTTCTCACTTGAGAAGATACAGATTGCTAACAAGTGCTCAACTTTACCAGCTGCCGACATACCCCTGAGACAATATATCAGGCATCATCAATACTTCATGGTTTGTACACACTAGGCGTCTCCATTAACCATGAATGCATTAAGCTGTTGGTGCAGTTGTGATTTTTTAACCAATGACATCAAGACAGAGGAGGAGATGAAACCAGTGTGCTCAGACTATAAGTAAACTCATCCCAGCAGTATTTAACATGAAACATGTTCCATAACCTCACAGACTTTACACCTTGCTTTTCTCAAAAAGAGAGAAGGTTAGAATATAAGATATATAGAATTAATCTTCAGCAGCCCATGCTACTCGAAAGACAATATAGGAGCAGGTGGTCATGCTCACTAGCTTGGTTGACGGTTGTCATTGTATCAGAGTTAATTCGATAACAGCTGGAATATTGTTGAGCACAGCATGAAGAAATCAAAACAAATTGCTCAAATAAAACAAGAGGACAGTGGTAAGGTTCACAGACATGGGGCTCATTTAACTTCTGAGCAACACCCCACCTAAACTGATTAAGTAACTTAAATATACTATTCACACTTTGCTAAGGATCAAATCATTTATTCAACAGAAAACAATGATGTGGGGTCAAACTTGGTTTAAATATCTAAGCCTATTGTAGGCATGGATCCAAGCTTTCGGTATGTCACAGCATCGTTTGGAACCCACACCTGCTATTGACAGGTGTTGTGTACTGGTCAATGACCCGTGCCATGATTTGCAAAATGGTTGATTGGTGCCATGAAAACCATTTTTATGGTTACTCATGTATCAAGTGCATACGGTTTGCTTACAGTGGCTGTTTTCCTAAAGATGTGTTACCATATCATTATTTATCCAGTTTTAAATGGATGGAAGTTCATATTATATATCTACGTTTAAGTAAAGTTGTGAATTGTTGTGATCCTTAGCAAAGTATGAGTAGTATAGATGCACACCATCTGGACTGCAACACCACAGAGCAGGCATGTGTTTTCACAGGTGATATAAAAACAGTATGACCCGACCCTGAAGTAACGTTTTCATGTTAAAAACAAAATTATGCACTTGATACAGTTCGTCTCATCTTCATCTTGAGGTACGGGACAGTTCTAGGTTGGTGCCTTGTGTTGCTGAAGGCAGTATTCATGATGGGACTTTTGGCTCAAAGCTGCGTTCATTGACCAGGCTGCCTTCCTCCATGCATGCACGTACCCAGTCTGCTGTGACAATGTGGAACTTCCGAGTGCGGCGCTTCCTCACCTCTCGCAGCTGTGTGAGACGACTCAAATCTCTGTGAAATAAGACCATATGATAAATAAAATGTCAGCTAAGACAAATGTAACATACCTGTCATCACATACCAGTCTAGCTTACCCGTATTTATATACCTGTCTTCACATAACGGTCTAGTTTATATTATTAGTTACACAATGTTTTGAAAGGGTGTACGGGACTGTAAGACCCTTGACTCTAAAATTTCGAAGCGATCAGCCGTTTGGCAGCCACATTCCATGTTAGCTCAAGGTTATTTGTACAACCCATGTAGTGTGTCACATGACATATTTGACTAAGTGTACGGTTCTACACCCAGGCAAATCTACCTGCATGGTTTGGTATGCTTTGACTATTGACCAATCAGAATTCGACAAATCTATCTTAAGGGTAATAAATCTTCATACACCTGTCTAGCTTACCCGTATTTACATACCTGTCTTCACATACCAGTCTAGCTTACCCATATTTCCGGGCGAATTCAACAATACTCACTGTATTTGTCCCATTTAAAGTATGCACACATTTCAAGCCAATAGATTTACCTACAAAATGAGACATACAGCACAAAAATCGATGCAGTACTTTGGGAGCTAGGGTCTTCAGAAGCTTGAAAAATCGTGATTTCTCGATTCCGAGCCAAAATCCCTGCTCAGAATTTGTAACAGTAACTCACCCAGTTTCTTGTTTATTTCACAGTATACACAAATGACATGCACCAAAACATGTTGAACTGATGGCGCCTGTCATCGCGTTAGTCACCATTCTTTCGGAGACACTTACATCTCACTGTCATAATGAGTTTACGTACATTTATTCATCGCAAACAGAATTGTGTCGTGTCCGTTTGCCATTGACGACCTTGGCCTTAACCTGCCCCGCACTGAAAAGAGCCAGCGATTTGATGGGACATAATTTATTTTTAGCCAATGAGCTTCCTTTTATATAGTACTAAGACCCCGTCAGTGACAGTATATGCCTTGATTGCAGTTTTTTAGCGTTACAAGCCCCTGTGGTTTCATCATTCTCCTTTTAACATACCTGAACGTACTTGTTGTATCATTCTTGTCATAGCATGTTTGTTTCAGCATCTCGTATAACAATAGGGGCGGTGGGGTAGCCCAGTGGTTACAGCGTTCGCTCATCACGCCGAAGACCTGAGTTTGATTCCCCACATGGGTACAATGTGTGAAGCCCATTTCTGGTGTCACCCCGCCATGATATTGCTGGGATATTGCTAAAAGCAGCGTTATGCCATACTCACTCACTCACTCATGTAACAATATCTTCCATATCATTCTTGGCTTACCTGACTAAACATTAACTCAACTGTCTTATTATTCTTGTCATACCTTACATTTGTTATACATAATATATAAAATGTCAACCATGATATGTATTGAGAATTGTAAATTTGACAACAGTTACTTCCTGTTACAGAACAGTTTTTGATAATTTCAAAAAAGCTTACATTTGTAACATATGAACTAAAAATGTTAAGGTCATCAGGCCCCGATTTCTCTTTCTCGAAACAAACTTAAGTCTGAGTTTTCACTTAAGTTAGAATTTTTACTCAAATCTGAGAAAAACTCATTTCCCAGAATGAATTGAAATCAATATTAAACTCAAAAATAGTAGACAATTTGAGTTTGGAGAATAGAACACTTAAGTTGTTTGGGCTTTTTATTTTAAAAATACAGCTGAGTAAAACAAATTCAGCTGTTTCAATTTGTCAATTTAGATTGAAATTTGAGTAAAAACTTAAGTTTCTTTAGAGAAACAGGGGCCAGTATCACAGAAGTTAAGCATAATGTACGGACCAAAGTTTATGCATTAAAATACATAACAATGCTTGCAAGTGAAATGCATTTAATGCTGCTTTGAAACAGTTTATAAAATATTTGAATGTCTGGGTAACAAACTTTGACAGGATTAGATTCTGACACTTATCTATAAAGTACAACTTAGCACTCTGCTGAAAAATAAATGGTGGTTTCTTTTTCATGCACACCTCTTATGTAAAAAGGTATATTTCTGCAGATCAACACAACCGATAAAACTAAAGTAACATCCATAGAGCATTTCAGATTGCGAGTTCCACGGTTCCACCCCCCCCCCCCCAAGGCTTGTAAGTTTCAAGGCTGGCTAGCCCACCTTGTACCTGGCAAGCAATATTTTAAAACAAATTTCACAAATTGCTTTGACAAATATATCAGTTATAGCACAGCGTGTCAGTTTAATGTTGTATGAAATCTTGAAGGGATGCAAGTCCAAGTTTTCGAGATCCAAGAATCCTAAATAGGGCAAATCTATCCATGGCTTCGTTGCAATACAAACATGTTTTTATATGTTATGCACAGTAATAATCAAAAAGTGCCTCACTTCTTATCTACGATGACGTGAGAGACCTCTGGATCAAGCTTCGAGTCCAGGGTGGCTCCAAAGAATCGAGGTTCCAGAGCGAGGAGATCCAGGCTACAGTTGGGGATGAGGGTGGAGCTGTCTCCAAACACCAGGCAGTTGTCTAGGTACATCCTGCAACAGTCACTCACTAACATCATCGTAGTACAATAATCTCTCATGTCCAGCAAAAGTCCAAGTGAATTAATATTATTTATGCTACTATCAGTTATAGGTCCGTCTCCTATTCTCGCGGGTTTCCTATTCTCGCGGTAAACACATTTTCTGCCGAAATCACCGATGCGTGACACTTACCGGTTGTTTACATCACCGAGTGGTAACTAGGAAGTGGACCAAGTCTGTAAGTTATCAAAATCTTGCAGTGTCACGAATATTGGGGACTTTATACCAACTTGGACATATCATTACTTTTTCCCACCCTTTCCGGCAGGATTGCTCTTACATACACTTATTAACGTTAATTCCTGGTAATACCGCGAGAATGGGAGAAGCCTCGTTTCGTCAATGGCGGATCGTATTGTTTATCAACGGGCTCAAGAGTGGTAATTCACCTGATGGATCTGGCAGCTGATAAATGTAGATGACAGAGGAGAAGGCCCTTCATTTAAAAACAACAAGCATTCATACGATAAGAATTGTTTGTGTTATTTTTTCAGCCGATATCCGTAAGTACCGAGAGAATAGGAAACGCCTTCCTACCTTGCACCATGACAGTTCCTTGGGAGCCTAGTGGTTAAAGTGTCACACTAAAGACCCGGGTTCAGTTCCCCACATGGGTACAATGTGTTAAGTGTTTTAGGATTTCCCATGCCATGATATTGCTGGAATATTGGTAAAAGTGGTGCAAAACCATACTCACTCCTTGCAGCAATCTCACGTTTCAACAACACTCTTTGACTGACTGAATGAATATAATTTTGAGCAACAATATAACGGTAATGCTATTTTTGAGGGCATTATCATTTGCAGAAGCCCTAGGTCTTCCATTAACTGCCCGACGGAAGGATGGAATTTGTGTTGAAAAGAGAAAGGAAACAATGAAGGAATTTGACTGTAAGTTTACTCAAAACCAACTTCTGACAGGATGCAATTTCATCAAACAATTCAAGTGACGTCACAACAGAACATGACGATATTCAACCTTGGCCTTTGACAAGACCATAGCCTGCAAACTATGTCAGACTCGACGTCAGTTTTCCGTGTTTGGTTTTGGTCCAACAACAACGTTAATACTAATAGTGCAATTGTTAAGGTTAGCACCAGCAAGAAAGCCAATATTACCGCTATTTAAAGCGGGAATTCGGGTTGCTTTGACTTGTTTGCCCAAGAATATCTGCCAGTCCAAAGCCAATGTCGAATGAACCGTAAGCCCACGCACCCACTATGACGTCACTTGACAACAGAACTGATAGTGGCCCGTCGTTAAGGTTGAGCGGTCCAATATCATTTGCAACAGCCCGCAAATTTCTGATAATAGGAGGGCCGTTTCATGATAATTCCATGTATTTTAGCTATAATCCAGCTTTATTTGACAGCCTGTAAATAATCACATCTGGGAGGACAAACATCAGTTGACATTATGAACAACATCCCATGATGTTCTGGCCCCATCAACCAAGTCATTAAATCTAACACCCAATCCAACTGGGTCGACTCCTGTGACAGGTAGGTCATACTGGGGACCTACTCTAATCTTACCAAAGTCCCAATATGGTGCTTTGTTGTGAACAGACTTTCATATCACTTGTCCTCTAGTGTCCTCTAGTGTTGAAGCACTCCACATCACATAGATAATTAGTAGAAATAATAGTGGAAGTCGCGGTGGCTGAGCGGGTTAGGCGGCTGACTTTGCGTGCTGGCGATTAGGCGTTTCACTCTGAGGGTGTGGGTTCCAATCCCGGATGGGACTCAACCCAACAAAAGTACTAGAATCTGTACTTTACTAAGAAAGTGTAATCCCAAATATAACATGTTATAGAAATATCAATGTACAAAGCCAGTATGCAGCATGCTTCACGTGTAGCACCTATCTTCCTTTCTGGCATATTTCTGGAAACAATCACACTATCTAAGTCAGTATTCATATCATGTGAATGACAATATAAAACAAGTGTTTGCCACTGATATGGCAATGTCCCCCGCCGCTAAAGAATGGAATATCTATATTTACTACTTTTTATTTTGGGGTCACATACAAGATGCCTGAAATGACTGGTGTCTGCATAATCACCCAATGTAGGCTGTCAACATACTTGAAAACATTGGGTGCAATGTTTTATGAGATATCACGTTTAAATAAGTTTGAAAAGCGGTCAAAGTGCCGTGGCGACCTTGAAGATAAGGTGTCTGCATAATACCCCAATGTAGGCTGTCACCAAATTTGAAGACATTGGGTACAACAGTCCATGAGATATCGCGTTAACAAGAGTTAAAAGTGTGAAAAGTGTCGTGGTGACCTTGAAGATAAGGTCAAGGTCACCCAAATCAACTGGTGTCTGCGTAATATATGCTGTCACTAAATTTGAAGACATTGAGTACAACAGTCCATGAGATGTCACGTTAAGAAGAGTTTGAAAAGTGTTCAAAGTGTCATGGTGACCTTGAAGATAAGGTCAAGGTCACCCAAATAAACTGGTGTCTGTGTAATCCCCTAATGTAGGCTGTCACCAACTTTGAAGACATTGGGTACAACAGTCCATGAGATATCGCGTTAACAAGAGTTTGAAATGGGGGACAAAATGTCATGGTGACCTTGAAAATAAAGTCAAGGTCACCCAAATCAACTGGTGTCTGGGTAATCCCTCAATGTAGGCTGTCACCAAATTTGAAGACATTGGGTTCATGAGATATCGCGTACGGACGGACGTTTGGATGGACACCGCTGAATACATAGACAATAATCAAAGTATAAAACTACAACAATTTTAACTGTTTGATCAGCATTGTAGAAGTTGGTAGTCAAAAATGCAGCATGGGACTTTATGAATAACAATTCCTTTTCTATTGCATAGAGCGATGTTTTGTTGTAGAATTATTCTTACACTGTTATCAAGTTTTAAAGTTTTTAGCCGAAACATCACTCTGTGCAATAAACAAGAAGTTGTTATCCATGAAGTCCTATGCTTCATTATTTACAACAATTTAGACTGCTCTTCCAACAAGTGTGGGGCACCAAGGACCTATCACACACCAGAATCCCCCATAAGGGAAGACGGAACACCTACCGGCAAATCCTGAAGAGGCCATAGGGTGACTCATCAGGGAAGTACTTCTCCTCAAGTTCGGCTATCTCAGTGGCTCCGATGTGGCTGTCATTCGCCTAAACATCCATACAGTCATTCATCAGAAACTTTTCACAGTGTAGCCATCAGTTACATCTATTTTGAAACACCACACATTGTTTCTTGAGTGTCAGCATACCATGAAAATCCCTGTTAAGATCCCATAGTTAAAAGTGAAAGATTGAGAGGGTCCATAGATTCAAATACTTCAAAGAAAACCTAAAGGAACCCAGCGCCAACATTTAGTGTCAAACACTGCCCTATATTCCGTTTTAACAATAGAAATGACTATACACTGATCATGTTAATGAAAATGTTCATGTTGTAATCATCAATCATTATTTATTAATCCTTTTGACCTCCCCTTTAGGAAGATGCATTGATCACATATACTGTCTAAGAAAGACCACAAATGTGAAATGACATCAACAATCTTCTGCTATGACGTTTCTTGTGTGAAGTCTTTCTGTGATTATAGCTTGTGGCATGCAACAGTGAATTGCTGCAAGTTAGACAACTATCATGAGTGAGTGAGTGAGTGAGTGAGGTTTTGTGCTGGATTTAGCAATATTCCAGCAATATCATGGCGGGGGACATGACAAATGGGCTTCACACATTGTGCCCATGTGGGGAATCAAACCCGGGTCTTCAGCATGACAACCGAATGAACCCTTTAACCATTACTCTATGCCAGCGCCCCAAATACCTATGATAACAAGCATGTGCTTTAAGGGCAGGAGTGCCCAGCTGTATGCTACCTGTTCCATCTTGTCAAACACAGTGTTGAGTTGCTCCACGGTGGTGTCGGTCGTGTAGCTGTCCCCAAACTCATCATAGTCCAGCTGAAACTGCTTCTGTGTCCGCGGAGACGTGTGGATCATGTCGGCAGGGGTCCTACACAGAGAATGCACGGAAGTGAATATTATATAAACAGCAGTCAGCAATATTGCAGATTAATGTACATGAATCTGGACTGAACCAGTGACTGATATTATGAGCATCAATCCACAACACCGTGACTCAATGACATAGAGTTGGCCAAATCACAGAGTACAACACATCGCAATTGGCTCTGACTACAATCACTGCAAGAGTCTTCCCACAGGGTATAGAATTCAGGGAAGAAGCAATTTTATATGTTAAGAGGTCATTTGGATATCAGTAGATGAAATCTTTTATGTCATTTACGAAAGAGCCATTTAGCATAAACTATCACAAACAATTATCTAAATAACACAACTACTACAGTAATTTGATGGATGTATTTAGTTAAAACCCCTATTGTCTTATCCAAGATGCAAACACTCTTATTATTGTGATGCTATGAACAAAATCCAGATTTTACTTATCATCCTTTCACTGTGACAATATGGAATCATCTCTGAAGTTACTGACACCCTTTCCAATATCGACCCAACCAAGATTTTTCTAATAGCCCTTTTACCCTGACAACATTCACCATGGGAATCAATTGTGGTGACACCCTTGTGAGAACATGGACCCATCCAAAATGTTGCTAACACCCCTAATATTGTGACAATATGGACCCATCCCACAGGTGGCTAACACCCCTAATATTGTGATAATATGGACCCACCCCACATGTTGCTTATACCACTACTATTGTGACAACATGGACCCATCCAAAATGTTGCTAACACCCCTAATATTGTGACAATATGGTCCCACCCCACATGTTGCTTACGCCACTACTATTGTGACAAAATGGACCCATCCAAAATGTTGCTAACACCCCTAATATTGTGACAATATGAACCCATCCCACATGTTGCTTACACCACTACTATTGTGACAACATGGACCCATCCAAAATGTTGCTAACACCCCTAATATTGTGACAATATGGACCCACCCCACATGTTGCTTACGCCACTACTATTGTGACAATATGGACCCATCCAAAATGTTGCTAACACCCCTACTATTGTGACAATATGAACCCATCCCACATGTTGCTTACACCACTACTATTGTGACAACATGGACCCATCCAAAATGTTGCTAACACCCCTAATATTGTGACAATATGGACCCACCCCACATGTTGCTTACGCCACTACTATTGTGACAATATGGACCCATCCAAAATGTTGCTAACACCCCTAATATTGTGACAATATGAACCCATCCCACATGTTGCTTACACCACTACTATTGTGACAACATGGACCCATCCAAAATGTTGCTAACACCCCTAATATTGTGACAATATGAACCCATCCCACCGAACTCATCAAAGAATACATTCCATCAAGATCACTTCGGTCCCAGAATCAGCACCTACTACAAGTTCCCAAATTCCACCTTGTTTCGTATGGGAAAAGGGCTTTCTCCTATGTCGCACCAACTCTTTGGAACTCTTTACCTTTAGAAATCAAACTATGTGAATCTCTCTCAACCTTCAAGTCAAAAGTTAAAACTCACCTGTTTCAAAGTGCCTATGTCTGACTCTTTTACTCAATTCTTTTCAGCGCATTGAGCATTCATAAGTGTGTGGACATTTGCGCTTTATAAGTGACATTATTATTATTATTATTATTATGTTGCTTACACCACTACTATTGTGACAACATGGACCCATCCAAAATGTTGCTAACACCCCTAATATTGTGACAATATGGACCCACCCCACATGTTGCTTACACCCCTACTATATTGTGACAACATGGACCTATCACAGACGTTGCTAACACCCCTATGGTTGTAACATGAACTCACCAGTCCAGCCACCTCTGTGCATCTGCCAGTCTGCGGAACCAGTCAACTTTAACAATGTCGTACATGTCTCTCCTGATGAGGTTGTTCACTCGGACGGCTACCTTGTCGGCCAGTACACAGAACGTTCTGCTACCTGGAATTACATGCCTGCCCTTTATCAGTGTATGAAATAAGCCAAATACCCAGCCAGACATCAGGGCTGGTAACTTCAAAATGTTACCAGCCCAAAATGGATTTAACCAGACCAGACAAATAATTTAATGGCAAGAGTAATTTAAGGTGTCTCCAAGCAGAGCTCCGCGCATCAATAGGTGTAGCTGTTTTAGTGATACTATATGTCAACACAGTGCTTTGAGCTTGCGATACACTAGTTCAATGTTCAAACAGTTATTGTCAAGTCTAAATGTAACTCTCAATTTGAAAAATAGATGTTAAAATATATGGTGAATTTACTCAGATGTATGGGACATGTTAGCTAAATTTTTTACCAAACCACAGGTCTCGGGCAGGCCTTATTTCATACACTGCCTTTATACATTGCTTTTGTCCAATAGGTGTTTGTCTTTGGGGTCAGGTGGGGTAGTAAGGTACCCAGAAACAGTACTCTAATCACTACACTTGATACGACACTGATCCTCAAGCTGCATCTATATCAAGATACAAATCTAAAACAGAACGTAAACAGTGTGTTTGAGTGAGTGAGTGAATATGGTTTTACGCCGCTTTTAGCAATATTCCGGCAATATCACGGCGGGGGACACCAGAAATGGGCTTCACACTTTGTACCGATGTGGGGAATTGAACCCGGGTCTTCAGCGTGACGAGCGAACGCTTTAACCACTAGGCTACCCCACCGCCCAGTGTGTTTGAGCAAACTGTTCATTTTATGCCTAGATGAAGTACATGCATTCATGGAACATGAGTATTTGGCTGTGCTCTGAGACAGATAGAAGTCCTGTTATTTCAGGGGTGGTAGGGTAGCCTAGTGGTTAAAGTGTTAGCTTGCACAACGAAGACCAGGGTTCGATTCCTCACAATGTGTGAAGCCCGTTTCTGGTGTCCCTCGCTGTGATATTGCTGGAATATTGCTAAAACCGGCGTAAAACCATACTCACTCAGTCACCTGTTATTTTACTTCACAATGGTCAAATGGAACAGTTACAAGAACAAGAGGACTTGTCCCATGCTACACTGTGCATCGTCTAAAACAGCTCTACAGATGTACCTGTGTTCTGTACAATCAGATAACTATGATGTTGTGCACTTTACCTGGATTCTGTACAATCGTCCCTCCAAATTCAACAATTTTCTTCTCCATGTCATGTTTGGTGAAGTCCGAGGGGCCATTGATGACACAGAACTCTTTCCCCTCCAACAGGTGAGATACCTGCAAGGAAGGAAGGAGTGAGTGAGTGAATATTGCTTAATGCCGCATCAGCAACGTTGCAGATATTCGCAGCAAGGAAGGAAGGAAGAAAGTAATAGGAGAGGGATTGAATGTTGAATGTTGATTTTTGCCACAGTCAGCACAACGATCATGCCACACTATTGTAAACAACAAATACTCAATCTGGACCTGATAAACCAGTGGTTGATAACATGAAGCCCACATTGCCACCAGACAATTAGGGATGTCACGATACATAAGTTTCATGAACTGATACGTATTACGATACCCATGTCATGATTCAATACATATCATGATACCTATTTTCGCGGAATTATTGCGTAAATTTAGTTACATTTTGAACATTAATATTTCATATTTTATAATTGTCCATGATAAGATCAACATTTTTTATTCTTAGAGATTGAAAAGTTCTAATTTCCCATCTTTGTGCATGAAAAATAATCATTTATAACTCTCACAACATCAAAAAACATGATACAATTGCAACATGTAAACAATACATTAACATATCTAAACAGATACTTCCAAAACTAAATACTGATACAGTTTTGAATGTATCAATAATTGTATCATCTTAGAAAAAGTATCGATGCATCGATGTATCAATGTATCCTGGCATCCCCACAGACAAGCCTCATGTTAGCTGGCCATTATGAAGGTAACTATTAAATTTCTAACTAAACAATCTCAGTACAGATGCTGCTATGTTGTTAAAAATTACAAAAAGAGAATTTTTGATATAGCTGACCTCTGTTTAATTTCCCTTTGCTCTGCACGAAATCTACCATTGTTTTTTTTAATTTCGCTATAGTTCTCTTTAATTACCTTCTGTTCTGTGTAATATCTATCAAGATTCTGTTCAATTTTGATGCTCTGTACTATCATCTATCACAATTCTGTTTAATTTCCCTCTGAACAATAACATAAACATGATACAGCTTAATACAACAGTTATACTGGAACACAGAAGTCAACACCTTCCATGACAATGTAATACCTAAACAATCCCAGTACATGCAAATCCTAGTGTTTCATATACACAATATACAACACTACAACCCACCTGTGTAATGGAGGACACGTCCACTCCTCGGAACTGGGCTGCCAACTTGGGCTTCTCTCGTACCTGGTCACAACCTTCCTCTTCTTCTTCACCGGACCCTCACCCAGCTCGAACCTCGCACCTGTCAGCTTCCCACCAGATTTCTGTACAAGATTGCAGTGAGGTGTGACGAAATTGGGTTACGGATCTTTACAAATTATTCGACTTATGCAGGTGTGGACATATGCATAACTTGTTTTTGAATGGCATTTTAGAAGTTGAGACGTACAATATAGGACAAGTTTTTTATGGATAACAACTTCTTTATTTTATGAGTGTGCGACTTTTCGATACAGATTCTTGTGCCATTGTCAAGTAAGACTGAAGTGGAGGAGATGTATATATACTGAATGTAACAATGAGACAACATAATTGACAAAGAAAACAACATAATTGCCATAATTGGGAAAGCAGTAAGCTGATGAAGCCAGTGAGTACACAAAGGGTAGGGCATCATACATTGTATCACAATGTCACATCAGTTGAAATAAAATCCCCTTGTGTTGAATTCTCATTAATACAAGCAAATTTGAAAACATATGATCCACCAACCTCTTTGATGTCCTCTATATCAGCTATTGTCATACTCTCAAACCAGGGCTTGTCGTCTCGGATCATCTCGACACGAGGAAACCGAAGCGTGGTGCCGGTTTTGAAGCGGTCACTAGTGATGATCTCGGCAGCCTTGATCTGCAGGTCCACAAGATGTCACTACACTCCAGATGTCACTACATGCCAGATGTCACTACATTCCAGATGTCAAGGATGGAACATCTCAAGGATGGGAGATCTCAGGGATGGGAGATGTCAAGGATGGGAGGTGTCAAGGATGAGAGATGTCAAGGATGGGAGGTGTCAAGGATGAGAGATGTCAAGGATGGGAGGTGTCAAGGATGGGAGATGTCAAGGATGGGAGGTGTCAAGGATGGGAGGTGTCAAGGATGAGAGATGTCAAGGATGGGAGGTGTCAAGGATGAGAGATGTCAACGACGGTAGATGTGAAGGATGGGAGGTGTCAAGGATGGAAGATGTCAAGGATGGGAGGTGTCAAGGATGGGAGATGTCAAGGATGGGAGATGTCAAGGATGGGAGGTGTCAAGGATGGGAGATGTCAAGGATGAGAGATGTCAACGAAGGTAGATGTGAAGGATCAGAAATGTCAAGGATGAGAGATGTCAAGGATGGGAGGTGTCAAGGATGAGAGATGTCAAGGATGGGAGGTGTCAAGGATGGAAGATGTCAAGGATGAGAGATGTCAAGCATGTCAGATGTCAAGGATGGAAGATGTCAAGGATGGGAGATGTCAAGGATGAGAGATGTCAAGCATGTCAGATATCAAGCATGTCAGATGTCAAGGATGGAAGATGTCAAGGATGGGAGGTGTCAAGCATGTCAGATGTCAAGGATGGAAGATGTCAAGGATGGGAGATGTAAAGGATGGGAGGTGTCAAGCATGTCAGATGTCAAGGATGGGAGATGTCAAGCATGTCAGATGTCAAGGATGGAAGATGTCAAGGATGGAAGATGTATTTAGGAATCAAACATGTAATATTCTTATGTAGATCTTGTTCTAATCAGCAGTATTTTCACCATGCAGATATATACACACATGGTGTTATTGTATGTTCATTCCTTGTGTAACAATGCATTGAACAATATTCCCACACCAGCCTCTACAGGTGTGAAAGGGTTATTCAAACTTATGATGGGCCACAATAAAAGATTATTTGTTCCATTCAGTGGTCACAAGCAAAAGACACGCTAAAGGATCCTGTCAAATTCATCATCAGGTCTATCATGTTGACATCTTGACAAGTACACATATAAGGGAGGTGTAAAGGAGGTTGCTAGATGTCCCGCATGGTAGATGTTCAGGATGGTAGATATGCTTAGGTTTCAAACATCAGATATTCTGTTGTAAGTGTGGGTTTCATATTATAGACACAATGTGTTTTCTGTCAATGTTCAAGACATAAGGGACCGTTTATAATTTATGGCCAGGGGAGTGATGATGATTTTTATGGAGAAACGTACATTGTGAATGACCCCCCCCTAAAATTTATGTACAAAGCAAGTGACCCCCCCTGCATGTCATGTACAAAATCAATGACACCCTCCCCTTCCAATAATTTCTAAGCATAATTTTAAACATATTTTTATGTACAAAATTGCTGACCCCTATAGTAATGCGTGTGTACAAAATTGCTGACCCCTAGCTCCCCAGAACAAATTGGGTGACCCCTTAATATTATCATGACCCCCCCTAGCCATAAATTATGAACGGTCCCTAAGCTCACTTTCCCTGAAACAATGTAATGTATTTTCTCAACACTTTTCAAAGACACAGCCGTCTCCTCCAGACGTGCCATTATCAATCGTCTGGTCAATACCTCACCAATAACTCTGGTCAAGAAATAAATAGAATAGAAATACACACCTGTACTATACAGGACTTCTCTGGACTGATCCAGGCATCGGGCTTCTCCTTGAACCCTGATGCAAGAACAATACAAGATGGCGGGTTCTTCTTGTCAAACACCTGCCAGTGGTCGGCCATCTTTTTGTTGAACTCACTCAGTTCTTTCTTGGAGTAGCCAGAACCAACCTAGGTCAACACAGGAACACAATCACAAGCCTGGGTGTCTAAAACATCAATAACCAATATGTTAAGGATAAGATACAATTATGAGGTTTGCTAAAAACATGATTGGGAGATAAAGCAAATAGAGCAATGCCGACAGACTGGCAGGTTGGGCAGTTTTTGGCCAGGGCCCAGTTCCACGAAGTGATTATAGCACTAAGACCATCATAACTTGCATACATAGGCTAACAACTATCATAATGCTGAAATCACTTTGTTTATTGTTTAGAGCTGCAATAAGCAATATTCCAGCTGTATGGTAGTACTGTAAATAATTGAGTTTGGACCAGACAATCCAGTGATCAACATCATGAGCATCAATCTATGCAACTGGCATATGAAGGCATGTGTCAAGCAAGTCAGCAAGCCGGACCACGCGATCCCATTAGTCGCCTCTTATGACAAGCAGTGGTTGCTGAAGACATCTAACCCGGGTCTTTGCAGGTATATTAATTTTTGGAACAGCACCAAGAACTGCAACTGTATCTGACTTTCAAACATTCGACTTTCCTTAAACATAATACGACGGAGGCTTATTGAATACCTTGCAGAAGGAGTGAAATATCTCAGGTTCGCCTCCATCCTCGGAAGGCACTGCCACCCCGCACAGGAAGTGTGACATCATTCCCCCACGATGCCCCACACCGAAGAAGCCTCCGATGATGAGGACGTCCAGCTCATCCATCAGTCCCCCGATGTACTCAGGCTTAATCTTGAACCAGCCTCCCTTCCTGGTGCTGGGCCGATATACCGACTCCATGTTCTTTACCATGATGCCCTCCTCTTGGTTGTCGATGGCTTCGTTCAGCGCGTCAGCACAGTCCTGGCTGGGGACGAGTAGGAGAGAGGTATGATTGAGTGTCACTGCAGTTATCTATGTCAGTGTGTAATGGCCATAAAATCTCTGAGTCCCTGTTGGGATTCAAACCAAACACATATTGATCCGGGTGAGTGAGTATGGTTTTACACCGCTTTTACCAATATTCAGGCAATATCATGGAAGGGGACACCAGAAATGAGCTTCACACATTGAAGTGGGGAATCGAACCGAGGCCTTCGGTGTGACAAGAGAACACTATAACCACAGGGCTACCCTTTTGATTGGATGCCTTGTCCACATAACTACAGAGGTTAACCCCTTAGGCTAAGACTGACTGAGTTTGGTTTTACGCCGCTTTTAGCAATATTCCAGCAACATCACGGCGGGGGACACCAGAAATGGGCTTCACACATTGTACCCCTGTGGGGATTCGAACCCGGGATCTTCGGCGTGACGAGACAACGCTTTAACCACTGGGCTTTCCCACCGGCCCCTTAGGCTAAGAAGCTGACAAGGTAAGGATGTCACTTATGGGATGATTCCATGCTCTCCCACCACTGCATGAATTGTAATGTGACCGATCCTCTACTGACCTTCAATTACACCCTTCACATACTCTGGTTGCCCCTCACGGTATACTAAAAGAAATTACTCTCGACAGAGTCAAAATGCGTAATCAAGGCACAAGGTCCAACACTGAAGGAGTTGTTTTTCCCCCAAACAAAATCCACTTTAAAGTTTATGAAGCCTTAAACTGCCCTTGGTGTCAGTAACTGAATCAGATGCTTTCTTGTTGAGCAACTATTTGAGGTCAGTCATATAATTTGTGGTCTACATTAAAATGTATTGTTTTGTCACAGGGTTTGGATTAACCAATAGAATAGCTGTATTCTTCAAAGAAGTAAAACAACAACAGGTCATGTCTTTCTCTATTACTCTATCAATTATTCGCCCTCTTCAGTTGGTGATGATGGGCTGCCTTATAATGACCCATAAACTCACAAGCATATAGATTCATCTCTTGAACTGTATAAGGACAAAGCTACACCACACTACCCCACAACTCCAAAAGTAACTCTTATGCTTTTGTGAGACCCTAGGTATTTGGTGACATCACACTGTGTGGTTACTATGGTGACCAGTGACAACACGACCCTCCATCTTAATGAATCCACACACAAGGAGCGATATACTACATCCAAGGACAAGTTCCAACACCCCAGACACTCACTCAGTGACTGATGACGACCTCATCCCACCTCACACTCACTCAGTGACTGATGACGACCTCATTCCACCTCACACACTCACTCACTCAGTGACTGATGACGACCTCATTTCACCTCACACTCACTCAGTGACTGATGACGACCTCATTCCACCTCACACTCACTCAGTGACTGATGAAGACCTCATTCCACCTCACACTCACTCAGTGACTGATGACGACCTCATTCCACCTCACACACACTCACTCAGTGACTGACGAGGACCTCATTCCACCTCACACACAGTCACTCAGTGACTGATGACGACCTCATTCCACCTCACACACTCACTCAGTGACTGATGACCTCATTCCACCTCACACGCACTCACTCAGTGACTGATGACGACCTCATTCCACCTCACACACACTCACTCAGTGACTGATGACTACCTCATCCCACCTCACACACACTCACTCAATGACTGATGACGACCTCATTCCACTTCACACACTCACTTACTGACTGATGACGACCTTATCCCACCTCAGGCACTCACTCAGTGACTGATGACAACCTCATTCCACCTCACACACACTCACTCAGTGACTGATGACGACCTCATTCCACCTCACACACACTCACTCAGTGACTGATGACGACCTCATTCCACCTCACACACACTCACTTGGTGAGCCCCTCCTTATGACGACTGATGACGACCTCATCCCACCTCACACACTCACTCAGTGACTGATGATGACCTCATTCCACCTCACACACACTCACTCAGTGACTGATGATCTCATTCCACCTCACACACTCACTCAGTGACTGATGATGACCTCATTCCACCTCACACACACTCACTTGGTGAGCCCCTCCTTATGACGACTGATGACGACCTCATCCCACCTCACACACACTCACTCAGTGACTGATGACGACCTCATTCCACCTCACACACACTCACTCAGTGACTGATGATGACCTCATTCCACCTCACACACACACTCACTTGGTGAGCCCCTCCTTATGACTGACTGATGGCTGACCTCTCATCCCACCTCACACACACTCACTCAGTGACTGATGATGACCTCATTCCACCTCACACACACTCACTTGGTGAGCCCCTCCTTATGACGACTGATGACGACCTCATCCCACCTCACACACACTCACTCAGTGACTGATGATGACCTCATCCCACCCCACACACACTCACTCAGTGACTGATGACCTCATTCCACCTCACACACTCACTCAGTGACTGATGATGATCTCATTCCACCTCACACACACTCACTTGGTGAGCCCCTCCTTATGACGACTGATGACGACCTCATCCCACCTCACACACACTCACTCAGTGACTGATGACGACCTCATTCCACCTCACACACTCACTCAGTGACTGATGACGACCTTATCCCACCTCACACACTCACTCAGTGACTGATGACAACCTCATTCCACCTCACACACACTCACTCAGTGACTGATGACGACCTTATCCCACCTCACACACACTCACTCAATGACTGATGATGACCTCATTCCACCTCACACACTGACTGATGACGACCTTATCCCACCTCACGCACTCACTCAGTGACTGATGACCTCATTCCACCTCACACACACTCACTCAGTGACTGATGACGACCTCATTCCACCTCACACACACTCACTCAGTGACTGATGACGACCTCATCCCACCTCACACACACTCACTCAGTGACTGATGACGACCTCATTCCACCTCACACACACTCACTCAGTGACTGATGGCCGACCTCATTCCACCTCACACACACTCACTCAGTGACTGATGACGACCTCATTCCGCCTCACACACACTCACTTGGTGAGCCCCTCCTTATGACGACTGATGACGACCTCATCCCACCTCACACACACTCACTCAGCGACTGATGACGACCTCATCCCACCTCACACACACTCACTCAGTGACTGATGACGACCTCATCCCACCTCACACACACTCACTCAGTGACTGATGACGACCTCATTCCACCTCACACACACTCACTCAGTGACTGATGACGACCTCATTCCACCTCACACACACTCACTTGGTGAGCCCCTCCTTATGACTGATGACGACCTCATCCCACCTCACACACACTCACTCAGTGACTGATGACGACCTCATCCCACCTCACACACACTCACTCAGTGACTGATGATGACCTCATCCCACCTCACACACACTCACTTGGTGAGCCCCTCCTTATGACGATTGATGACGACCTCATCCCACCTCACACACACTCACTCAGTGACTGATGATGACCTCATCCCACCTCACACACACTCACTCAGTGACTGATGACGACCTCATCCCACCTCACACACACTCACTCAGTGACTGATGACGACCTCATTCCACCTCACACACACTCACTTGGTGAGCCCCTCCTATATGACGACTGATGACGACCTCATCCCACCTCACACACACTCACTCAGTGACTGATGACAACCTCATCCCACCCCACACACTCACTTGGTGAGCCCCTCCTTATGACGACTGATGACGATACGGCCCTCCACTTCGATGACCACCTTGTCTATGTACTGCAGCCTCTCCTTGAGAGGCAGGTTGGTCAACACCTTGTTGTTGTACAGCAGGATGTCAAATACATGTAAACATGGCTGGTAGCCCTTCGTCTCCTCCAAGTCCTTTGACTTTATGTCAAACTTCTCAGCTTTAGTACCTGTAGCCAGAAATATATATATTAGTATAATATAAGCACACACTCTGAGGTACACATTTCTATTCATCGTACAATTTTAGGTTTAAAAAAGTGTTATTTTGGATTATACAGAAGGGATTCTTAAACACTCCAATGATCAAGGTCATCTCCACACTAGTTAATAATATTCAAAATTAAATGACATTGGGAAAATTTTCTCTGCTGTGTTTGTCAAAAATGAGGCAGAATGGTGTCCCAACATCTTTCCCTTATTCATTAACAATGAGTAGCTGTAAGTTGTCTCACCAAATGTCTTGGAGGCAGAATGGTACCCCATCATTTCCCCATCCAGGATGCAGGTTGTGACGTCTGCCTTGAAACAGTTCGAAATGTATGGCGTCAGACTGCCATCAAACGGCGTTGCTCCAAACACATTTGTATACTCATTGCCACTGGAACAAAGAACATTCAATAAAAAAACAATGTTATTTGTTAGGATGACATCCTGATTCCTTACAAAACAACATCATAAAAAAATGTCAAGGGTATTTATCACAGCAGAATCGATGCCAGTCAAATGTCAGCATCCCAACAATAACTGTACCTGCGAGAGAAGTATTTGTATTCGTCCTCGTTCTTGTGCAGCAGCATTCGCTCCCCATCAAACTTTGTTTCAATGAAATATGGTTTGTTCTCAAATAACTTCTCCACCTAAAACAGACATTATCGCTAAAATGTAACAAATGTCTTTTCTGGCAAAAACACAATTTTTCAATCACTTGTTTACTGTGTTAGAGTCCAAAAATGAATTCTATCAACCTGATAGAACCAGACTTCTGTATGTCAATTTATTGCAATATTTATTCAAATACATACCAAAACATATCACGTCTGCTTGATTCCATTTTCGAAGGATACTGTAGCCATATCTGTGTCAATTAGCTCAATTAAGTCCAAAATGGATACATATTTCGTTCTTTCCCATTACAGTTTTGACCTCGTATTTTTTGGAACCCGTGAAGATCCGGGTTAGAATAGGTCTTCAGCAACCCATGCTTGCCACAAAAGGCGACTATGCTTGTCGTAAGAGGTGATCTAAGAGGTGATTGTCAGGCTCGCTGACTTGGTTTACACATGTCATCGGTTTCCAATTGCGCGGATCGATGCTCATGCTGTTGATCACTGAATTGTCTGGTCCAGACTTGATTATATACAGACCGCCGCCATGGAATATTGCTGACTGCGGCGTAAATCTAAACTCACTCACTCACTCATTTTTTTGGATGTTGTTAATGTACAAGAAGCTCGTCATAAAACGTTTCATCTTTTCAATCATAGGAATCAGTTGCTTATTATACTACATATAAGCTTTCATTTGACTGACAGTAGGGGAAAGTAGGAAATGAACTTTCACGTTGGTCAATTTGACATTGGCAAATTTATGACTTGCAGCGTTTCACAAAGTAAGATCACGTGTCAACCACGTGATCACATCTGTCTGTCAAAAGATCTCAGCCAGTCACATAACATGTCTGATGTCATCCACGCTTTGTTGTTGAACCGATGTCAGGATTTGGCAATGGCAAATGGCTTAATTGATTAAAATCACAAACTAACGACATGTTCAACTTAAAAGTGTCACCTCACTTATCAATTACCATTGAAGTTTACCGATGAAGATCAGCGCTAATCAATGGTGTTCACAAGGTAAGGGGATTATCCGAACCTTTTTGATATACCGCCGGATTAATGAAGCAAAACCAAGTGTAATTAGCTAATCCTTTACCGCTAATTAACATCCTGATCTGTAGATTGAAGCAGCAGATTAATGAATCAACAGTTTATGAGTTTACATAGTAAACAAGATTCATTACAGCTAGCTATATCGCAGGAATCAGATTATTGGAGTCCGGACTAACGCGGCCTGACTGTACACACCTCTACTAACGCGGCCTGACTGTACACACCTCTACCAATGAACCAAGTGATGTAGGACTAGTCATCATTATGAGTCTTGTCATAAGAGGCAACTAACGGGGTCGGGATGTCAGTAGTGGTGTTCCGATTAATTGAAATAATCGAAGATTGGTCGCAGTGACCAAACGACCAAGCAATCGATCACATTTTCTCATAATCGAACATTAACGATTTTTGAACTACTTTTTTAGTCTTTGAAATACTTGACAATGGAACATATCGTTGAAGTTGTCAGTGCCTGAAAACGTGTTTAATTCATAGAAAACTCACTTCACTAACTGAAAAGCCATGACTGAATGTTTCTCTAAGACTCCAGAAAGTTTATGATCATGATATATAAGTCATCACTTGAAAGTAGCAAGTTGCATCATGTTATACATATCTGCAATAACAACCTGGATAGGAAAATCTGAAAAATGACGCTAACCAATTTTTCTCGATGATTGTTCGTTGGTAATGGAGCAATCATCAGTTGTGAGATTTCAACCCATTCCCAACACTAGATGCCAGGCTTGCTGACTTGGTTGACAGTCATCGAACCTTGGTTGTGCAGATGAATGTTCATTATGTCAATCACTGGATTGTCTGGCCCATACTCAACTATTTACAACACCGCCGCCACAGAGCTGAAATATTGCTGAGTGCAGCGTCAATCAGCAAACATACAAAACAAATATGATTTAAATTTAATTCTGGACTAACCATAATGGATACGACCAGTTATAGTTATTTCTTAAGTGCACCATACCTTATCTGGGGAAGCTCTCTCACCCAGCATGGGGGTGAACGGTGAGAAGACAGTGACACCAATCTCATGAACCCGGACCGAAGTGTCGCGGAGGAGCCGACACACCTTCTCCAGGTTGTTGTTGACGTTGTAGAACTCCTCAGCATCAGGATGATAGATGGAGAAGACAGACGCCTGACTCAGCCCGACCTTCAGCTCCTTCACGATCATCCTGATTAACCACTTCTGTTCCAGGGCAGACAGGTTCTTCAGTAGGTGCAGGATGTTCTTACGTACAAGCTCCTTCTTCTTAGCTGCGTTGTTTGTGGCGATTGCATCAAGGCATACGTTGACCTCCTGTATGGTCAGTGTCCCACGTTCTGGACAGCGGCTCTTTAACACATAGTATGCAACGCTGGCGAAGTCTCCGGCATCCTGGAAAAAATACTGACTGAGTTTGGTTTTACGCCGCTTTTAGCAATATTCCAGCAACATCACGGGCTGGGGACACCAGAAATGGGCTTCACACATTGTGCCCATGTGGGGATTCGAACCCGGGGTTTTCAACGAGACGAGCCAACGCTTTAACCATTAGGCTACCCCACCGCCCCCTGGAAAAAAGAACTGCAGGTATTCTATCTGGTGCCATACTAAGTTGTCACTAAATGTCATAGACATACCAGAATTCTATGATCGTGATTAGAATCACAGATTTGCCCTGATTTTGAATTTTGGTTTGTAAAACGTAGAATGACAGTTCTAGCTTTTTTATGATATTACAGAAGAAAAGTTCAAAACAGCTTAAGTCATGATGCTGACTGACGTCACATAATCGGTGAATACATGGTCATAGGGTTCTGGCACGTCCAGGGGACACAACTCTGTACAGCAAATGGCAGTGCTTGACAGTAATGAGACTACTGTGCCAATTGGGCCTCATATTTCCCCCAACAGAGCAATAAGAAATCCTGACCGTTTCATTGAACATGTTTAAGCTATGGACTATTCATCACATTCGTTTTATATGGCTACCATGACTTATTGATATCAAAGACAGAACTTAAATATCAGCGCCTTGAGCAAGCACTAGTTGCCTGGATATGTGCGCTATATAAATATCATATAATAATAATAATAACTTTGATTAGAAACAATTATTAAAAACCTATAATTTGGTCTTCAGTGTTGGTTTCGATCTTTTAGAAAAACTTCTATATACAACAAACACTGTTGACCTACTTCATGTTATCCAAGATTCCACACAAATGAAAAAGGATAGCTAATGAAGTAATATTCAGGGTCAAAGTTTAACTTTGAGACATCCATAAGTGTCACATCAAAGTCTGACACAGTAGTGTTTGACTGTACCTGATAATACCTGACACCAAGAAACTATCAATCAGTGAAATGAATATACATCAAAATGGATTCAGTTTACACGTAAAACTTCACTTTCAGACATGCACACAGATATTCTACATATCACAGAGGCCCAGATAAGCTGCGTATCCGGGTAAAATACGCATAGAAAATTTCCAATTACGCATTGAAAAATAATTGTTGCGTACCATTTACGCAATTAAAATGTTAGATACGCAAAAAGTTTAAAACAAATGCATACAGAGTATTATGATAAAAATCGCTTGCGTAATGAAAAAGACATCGATTGCTATCAAGTTGTACTGTTAGTATAGGACAAGTGTTGTACTGTCAGTATAGGATGAGTGATTTTTTATGAAATCATTTCCATTATATTTAAGTTGGTTTTGATTAGGTATGACATGAGGCAGAACATACCTGCTTAGTAAACTTACTCAATGATGTAATACTTAGGCGAGTGAAATGACTGAAATACGCACATATTTGAAAGCAGTGGGTAACGGAAAATGAAATACCCACTCAACATTCATAATACCCACTCCAAAAAAATGCAGTGGGTACAGTACCCACATGAGCTAAATCTTATCTGGAGCTCTGATATCAGACTGCTGAAACTTCATTTAACAACATATCTTTGCCTCAAGCAACAAGAAGTTAACTTGGAACAGTTTAGTGACAGATATAGGTTATTTTACTCTAATAGAAAATATTTTTGTGCATGCAGTGATAAAAGTATATTCTTTGGGTTGGGGATTCCTATAACTAAAATATAAAAATGTCTTAACGAACCGCTCGTGCTGTTTTTGGAGCCTTGTAGTTGAGCAGCCTGGTGGCGTCTGTGCTGTCCTTGCCCAGACAAAGAACCTCAATCATCAACTTGGCGAGCATGTGCTGAAACAAACAAAGAGATTACAACAACAGCATAACATGAACTATGTGCTTAATTATTACTGATCTCTTTGGCCTGAGATACACTGGATACAGTATTCATTTAAGATTGCCATCAAGCAATGTCAAGGATTGAAAAACATGTAATAAATCAATCAATTACAGATGAATGGTTTAATTTGTCATCATAAATATTACATTCACTATTGTAAGTGCTAGGTTTCCAGTGTAAACATGGCAAAGAGGGATCTCAGGTCAGGAAACATTTGTTCAGTTTAATGCCAATTTAAATTTCAGTCATATCAGGAGTTACAAACCTCTTTTATTCCATAGGCAATACGTTCCTTCTCAAGATGAGGCAGAAGAAGTCTCATTGCAGGATAGAAAGAGTCCGTCTGAAAGGGGCAGAGGATATGTTTCTAAATTATTATCACATGGGCATAATGTCTGTTCTATGTCAGAACTACACAAGTTTGTAGATTGCATCATTTATTCAATATTGTTTGTTTGAAAAAAATAGCAGATCGTGTAATTGTTTGTGAGTTTGTTTGTTATTCAAGCTATCTGATGGTGGCCAGTAAAGAATTGAGTTGCAATCGGAAGATTAATGCAGTGACTGATATTGAGAGTCTCGAACTACACTGTCTGGGTATCAAACAATTCACCAAGCCTGATCGCACAATATATGTGGTCTCTTCTTACAACAAGCATAGGAACCTTTTTTTAATACGGAAATATTTCCACCCGTAACCCCCGTTTCTTTTCAGCATTCCATGCCTTAGACTTATAAAAAGAATATATGTGTTTTTATAGAATGTCTACCCTAACCCTAAACCTAACATAATGCTAAATCTAAACCCTAAAACTTTACCCTTTGAAATAATCATAATAAATAGAATACATTTCAAGCGGGGGTTACGGGCGAAACTCTTACCCCTGTACTTATTTAAGAACTTTTTAATCATTTGACTAATTTAGTTTCGCATCCTGTGGACCCTGAAATACAAACTACTACTACTATCTCCCTGAAAGCTGTGATAATGATGATAATTTAAGGTAAATATATAGTTTATGTTTTCCAGCTATTTTCTTACTGTATCTTTATTTTCTCCATGTGTCTCTTTGTGAAAGTCACGCCATTTCTCAACAAAGTCCCGTAGTACTCTTTTCTTTTTATCATTTCCCTGGGTTCTTGAGATCTTTTCCAAGAGACCGCAAAGTTCTGTAAATGACACTTTGGCTGCCACTGAAACTCCGGTTTTAACATCTCCGTCGCTATTTGCATCTGCCATCGTGTCGAAACGTTGGCGTTGCAACGCTACCGTGCCGTATCACTCTGGAAATGTCAAGTTATTAGTAGCTAAAGGAACATAAAGACTGTCAAACCGCTGATCACTGCAGATATCTCCAGACCAAGCCGGCGATTGCGACATGTAAACACTACCATAAAGTACTACTTCCGGTTTAGAGTTACGCCCCTTTGAGGAAGTATTTGGCTAGCAGACGACGCATTTCAGGTGCCCTAACATAATGTCCATGAACCAAGGCCTGTTGAAGGACAGCAGTCAGATCAAACACTTGAACACAGAAACACTCTTGCATTCGTTTGATCGATGGCATACAGTGAGTTGAAAGAAATCTTGATGTTTAAATGGCATTCTGTCACGACAATATCATGACGAACCCTTTATTAGTTAAATACATTCAATGCGCTCAATACGTTCTGGGTTTTTTTTCGGTGGACTCCATTTCTGGATTTCCCACCATATTCGTTGGGCGGGAGATGATTAAGATTTTAATATCTAACACAAACGAAGATACATGGTTTTCAAATCTTCTTCTTGTGTACAACTTAATTCCAGCTAGAATTTCTCCAGCAACTAGTGCATATCGTAAGAGGTGACTAACGGGATCGTGTGTCAGGCACGTTGACGTCTTTGATGCATGGCATCCTATCCCAACTGTTAGTAACATGTTCATGATGTTAACCACTAGGATTGCTGGTCCAGACTCGGTTATTTACAGACCGCTTTCATATAGCTGAATAAACAAATCTCGAGTAACACTATTTACATATTTCAGAGCTTCCAAAGTGTCCTGAAGGAACACAATGAGCTGAGAGAAGACATTGGGGCAGCTGCTCTGGAGAGACATCGATTGACTGACGCAAATCAGAAAATGAAAAATGGTATAAAGATTCAAAAAGCACAACATATACTCTTTAAAAAAGTAGTGGAACCTGAACTTTCAATTTGGATAGGGAGTATAAGCGTTCAAAGGCAGACATCTTATGAACGCACCACAATTTCTCTTTATCACTATTTCTCTTTTGCACAACGCAGTAGCCATATGGGGTGTCATTCTTGATTTTGACGGTTTTCAAGAAGTTCGATAAATCACTGTAGAACATTAATTGTGACAATCATCTTGCATCACACAGTTGTGCGTGTTTATTTCTAGCCGGATTCCTTTTGTTTTAAAATGAAAATCGTACACATGTAAATTTCAAGTCATACACTAATCATCTTTCAAGAGCGATTACTGCCCAAACAACTATGGTCAAAAGGAAGTGCAAGTGGTAATACACTCTCAAAACATTCATTATTATCATATCAACATTGATTGACTCCGATATATCTCCCATTTTTTCAATCGTAAATTATAAATGAAGTTCCCCTACTTTTTTAAAGAGTTTATTAGACATTATCTGGAGGTGTCACCACATTAGTCATACGACCCATTAGTCATACGCCTTAAATAAACACGTCATGAGTGATTGCTCTTACATTATGAACCCTTAGTACCTCTAGGTAAATGGAATGACCCATATGAAACGAAACAAAAAGAATTTAGCAAGATATTATTTATTATAATAACAAGAAAAGCGGGCGAGTCTATTATAGGGTAGGGAGCATGGCCTTTGTTGTTTTAATTAATCCGGTCCGTTCCGTATGACTAGTGGCCGTATGAGAAATGGGCGTATGACTAATGGGCTATAACCTATCTGGATAATTACAATATACTATAATATAAAATGAATCCATACTGGGCAATTACATAGACAAAGTTAAGGACGTATCTTTTCATTATCAAAATAGATAAGGTATGAATGAAACTAACTTGACGTTCAAGAGAACGTACACATCTATGGCATCACACACACTGATTGGAACTTATAAGTCACATTCCAAACACTTTTTACAAAAGTCATCGTTTTGGGAAAATAATCCCAAAACTCCAGGTGTGTACTTTCTTGTGTATGTCATTTATATATATACTACTCACACTTTGATAAGGATCACAAAAATTGACAACTTTACTTAAACATAGATTTATAATTTGAAATTATATCATTTAAAACTGGATAAATAGTGATATGGTAACACATCTTTGGGCAAACATACACTTTAATCTAACCTTATGAACTTGATGCATGAGTAACCATAAAAATGGTTTTCATTGCACCAATCAACCATTTTGCAAATCATAGAACCAGTCATTGACAAATAAACATCACCTGTCAATAGCAGGTATGGGATCAACAAGATGCAATGACATACTGAAACCAGGCTAACAATAAGCCTAGATATCTAAACCAAATTTGACCCCACATCATAGTTTTCTGTTGAATCCACGATTTGATCCTTAGCAGAATGTGAATAGTATATGATTCTGCTAACTGTTATTAGACAGTTGCATGTTTTTCTCAGATGTGACCTTAGCCAAACTTGGAAACAAGATCGACCTATTTCCTCAAGCAGTGAATAAACCTTAAAAACAGCAAAAATATTAATTCCTGTTCTAATTGTTAACATTTGCTTCCTTGTGCGTTGCCCATATTTTAGAACTCGATGCTGTTCACGAAATGGTCAAGAGCTCCAGCAATCATCTGGAAAGAATTTGTACTTTGGAAGGTACTTCAGTCATATCATAATTATAATTATAGCAGTGACGAAATGTGTTTGGAAGAACCACAGGAATCAGATATACTACCGACAAAAAATATCGGCACTGTTGATTTGAATGTAGCAATCGTTGCGTGCATTATGTTCAATACCATGGCATTGCGTTTCTAATCACAGTGAAATTTCACACCTTGCATCAACACCACTTTATACAGGTGTACCGAAAAGCCAACGTGTTTGCGACATTAGAGGAACTCACAATCACTAACGATTCAAGGCTGTGCCTCCGATTCACAGGTGGCAAATGCATTGTTGCGGACGTGGTGGACAGGTACACCAGTTACGTCATGACAGGCGAACTGATCCGATTATTGTCAACAGACGTTAACAGTGTGTTGACGAAATCTTGTGTCCTGTCGTTATTCCATTCGCCTGGAATATCAGCAAAATCTTTAACTGAGTGAGTGAGTGGGTTTTAGCAATATTCCAGCAATATCACGGCGGGGGACACCAAAAATGGAATTCACACTTTGTATCCGTGTGGGGAATCGAACCCGGGTGTTCGGCGTAACGAGCCAATGCTTTAACCACTAGGCTACCCTTCCGGCCCAAACCTTTAACTAGATAACAATGTTAGACTACAAGGTGCCGATTATACCGATTATCTACAACAAGAAATCAAAAAAGACACTGGACAGTCCTGTAAGGCCCCACGAATGTCCCCAGTGGTGTATCTCTGGTAAGGTGTCGTCCAAAGAGTGTATGCCAGAGACCCCAGGCCCCAACGTGCCCTAGCTTGAGGTAACTCTTCAGGCGGTAACTAATTCGGATCGTAATCAACAGGATACCATCAAGGTGTACATTACTGCCCAACATGATGAAAGCAATATTGATCTTCCCCCGAGAAAATAATGTTTCAAACATGTAAGTCATTATTCCTTCACTATCATTTCCTGATGTTTTATCAGTTCCCCTATTTTATGTCGGTAGTATATATTTTCAACTGTTTTATTGTAAACCGCTCGCTCTCTCTCTTAAAAATGTTTAAAACATAAAGAGGGGTGTTTGATAGTGTGTGATATATTGAGAGATATAATATATTCCTGACAAAATAAACAAAACAAAAAAGGAATACTTAATCATTAATTTTATACTTTTAAACTCTTATGGTTGCACTGCTTATGTAATCACCTCTCTGGTGGTTTCCAGACGAGAACAGAGAACTCAGCCTACAATCAACAGAGATGGAGGTGGCACTAGAAACTCTACAGAAGGTAAGGCATACGATCATCATAGTTTATGATCGCCTTGTCTGCCGTGGCCCTGGTCCTGGTATGTACAGACATACCAGCTTCTGAATGCCACTTCAAGAAGTTCTGGACAATGTGTCAGCGAGCCTGACCAAAGAAATCCGTAAGTTACCTGGTTTGATGAAGATCAGTTCTAACCCGGTTCTTCACGGGTATCACAACATATGAGGGTCTTGGTACTGTTGTAGTCACGAATCCACAGCGGAAATGATATAAGCATCAATCACATAATTAATCCAGTTTGGATTCTGGTTTAGACTTGGCCCCCAAAGTAAGAGGCGACTGGATCGGGACGTCTGGCTCGGTGACTTATGGTGTGGATGGTTGATCGTTATATCAATAATTGAATTGACTTGTCAGACTCGATTTTTGCAGGCAGCGTCATGAAGCTCGTACTTTATGTAACATGATTATCTGAAAATTATACACTTTCTGCGTCACCCTTGCAGCAACTATCAGAGGAGAAGCAGACCCACATCCAGGCTCTGCAGCAAACGAAGGAAGATGTGGAAGAAAGGATGGCCAAGATTAACGAAAGGCTCAAGACAGAAGGTTGGCTTTGTTTCCGAAACAGACGTATGTGTATGAATTTGAACTGTAAGTATAGTAAAATCACTAAAGGACTAATGACTAAAGGGTCACAAAGGGTCTGCCTTAGATAGACAACCGAAGTTCAATTTCAGTGTAGATAGCTAAATAGATTGTAATAGATGTGATGCGTTTGTCCTAAGAGCGGCGACTCGGTGAATCTGGTGGTCAGGCGTGCCATCGTACCGTCCCTTTGTAGTTGGTCACAATAAGAATCAGTGGTTTATCTGTCGCTATTGACGGAGTATTTCTGAGTGCAACATTTAAAGAACACACACACACGCATAGGATATATACCTAATTAAATGTAAAACCTTGGAGGTATGAGCTCCGTGCAGTATGGTCTTATATTATTCAATTAGGTCGTTTTCCACAATGCAATAAACTGTCAGAGTATCTATTATACTGGATGACAACTGTTCCTCAGCCTCAATTGAACGTGAGTTGCTGCAGCGTCAGGTGTCCGACCGCGAGAGGGACTTAGAGGAGGCGGAGGACAACCTGAAGCAACTCCAGAACAGCAAAGATGCAGAACTGTCCAGGGTCTCTTTGGAGGTAGTCATTGTAATCAGTCTTCCGTGCTATTTTGTATAGTTTTGTAGACAATGATTTTTCCATAACAACGTGCAAATTTATAATGTCATTGGAAAGGGTAGAATATGTTTGATATGACATTTTAGTCCGGTTCTGAAAGAAGTCCGTATTAGACAGGAGACATATTGTAGCAAAAACGTATGTCTTAACAACAGGATGGTTTTGATTTTCAGTGAGAGCTTTAAATTGATCTTGACAAAAATGTTGAATATTTTTACCAATGTACCAGTTGCTTCCCTGGTTTTAATCTAAACTATTCTTGACGACTTAAAGTTAATTGTATCAGGGATAATCTTTATATATACTGAGTCAAAAAAGAAACTTCACATTCTTTCTTCAGGGCACTATAAAAGAACAAGAGATGGTAAGGTGGTGAAATTGTTATTATTTCATTGCTGAGATCTGTGTGATGTACGCGATACACTGACAGTGCCATAATCAGTTCCATTAGGCTACACCGCCGTTCCAAAACATGGGTATACAGAATGTCAAGTCACAAGAATAAAAATGCGAAATTTCTCAGTTCAATGTCGTGTATGGCCGCCCCGCGCATTCACCACTGCCAAATTCCGTCTCCTCATCGACTGCCTGGTGCTTGTGAACACGTGGTTGGGGATTCTGCGCCATTGCTCTTGCAAGGCAGCGCCAAGTTCCTGCAAATTCTGAGGTTGGTTCCTAAGACCATGAAGCCTTCTCCCAAGTGCATCCCAAACGTGTTCTATTGGATTAAGGTCAGGGGACCTCGATGGCCAGTCCATGGCGTTGATTCCAGCGTTTTGAAGGAAATTTCGTGTCAACATCGCGGTATCGCGGCCGAGCATTATCATGCTGGAACTGTAGACCTGGGCCATGAGCCGCCATGAAAGGCGAGTTCAGGGGTGAGCACCTGGTCGCTGGTAAGCAGCAGCTGTGAGGTTTCCACGGATGACCAGAAGTCAGGAACGGTTGTTCCCACAGAAAGCACCCACACCATGCAACTTCCGCCCCGAATCTGTCGGCTTCCTGTACACAACATTGGGCATACCGTTCACGGCGTCGTCTCCAGACTCTATGCCTGCCGTCCGCGAATCTGAGGGTAAACCTGGATTCATCGCTAAAGACGACTTCGATTCCAGTCTCTCTGGGTCCATCGGAGGTGGCGTTGGACCCACATCAGGCGTTGGCGTTGTTGAAAGCGGCGTCAATATTATTACGATATGGGCGTCGAGAATAGAGATTGGCAGCCCATAACCGATTTCGAATGGTCTGTGAGGACAGACGACCTCTAAACATCTCAGCCCTTGTTCGTGTAGCGGCAGAAGTCTGTCACGTAGGTGGCGTAGGGACGATTTGGCGGTCTTCTGCTCGTGGCGTCACACGTGGGCGACCCGACCTTGAGGCGATCAGAAGTGGTGCCAGTTTGTTGTAGGCGACCTCGCAAGTCATACACAGTACGGCGGCTGCATCCCATTGCTCTGCTGGCGTCAATAACTGATCTTCCCGCTTGCAACATGCCAACGGCACGTTCACGTTGCACATTTGACAATCGTGGCATTTAAAGTACCGTTAGAACTGTGGTTTAAAAGTGGTTTTTCAATTCTTGAGGCCAATGCAAACACGTGCATATGAAGAAAACTTCGATGCGAAGATCAAGTGATCGACTGCACGTGCAAAACCTGATTTGGCACTAACGTCATTTGCACGACGAATGGATGGGTTTGAGTGGGTTTTGCTAACGTTTTTCTAGAGTCGAAAGATAGGGATCCCGTTTCGGATACATGCACATAGATGTATCATCAGAGAAAAATTATTCATTATTTTTCAAATTACATTTTGTGAAGTTTCTTTCTTGACTCAGTATAGTCTCCCTGATTGTATGCAGTGTTCTAGCGGGACATTTTGCTTCTCAGTATGAAGGAAAGCTGGCCCGACTGCAGCGTCAAAAGGCATTGAGCAACCAGAACCAGACGTCTTCCGCCAACAGTGACATCTTCAGAAAGGTCAGATATGGTTGTTAAGATAAAGTGCCTGTATAGTCCCTCTACATAAGCCAGATACTCACCTTTACCGTACAAGTGTTTACCGTATGAACAGAACTAGTTTGCAATCTTTCATTGTTCAATTTACGAACATATGTCGACAGAAACTTCAAAACATGAAGAACGAGTACGAGACAGAGTTGTCCCGCCTGAGACAGACGATTGCAGGGTTGGAACAGAGGCTTGCAGAGACCACCAATCTGCAGACGGGGAGTGTCTTCCAACAGACCCAATGGCAGAGGCAGACAATGTCCATGGGAAAGAGGAAACGAACAGCATAGCACATTGTATATATAGCTACGTTTGTAATTGCACTTCAAATAGGTCAGTTCAACTGATGTGGAGCTGGATATAGAAACTAAACAGGCGAATGAATGACAATCAGTGTTGGGAAAAGAAAATTACTCTGATGGGGAATTCAACATCTGTACCAACAGTGTCTGAATAAACTATAAAATTACATTCTGGAGGTTAACAGGATACTCTCCTCCTTGTCAGAAGGGTTAAGTAGGCTCGTTCTGGGGTCAGTTGGCTACACTTTTAATAATTTCTTTGCCTCATCCAAAGGAGACAGCCAAGTTTTATTGTCAACACCTGGGGTCAATTCTCATGGGTATCACACACCCACAAACTTGGCCTGTAATTCTTTCATAAACTGACTGCCAGACTGAGTTTGGTTTTATGCCGCTTTTAGCAATATTCCAGCAACATCACGGCGGGGGACACCAGAAATGGGCTTCACACATTGTACCCATGTGGGGATTCGAACACGGGTCTTCGGCGTGACGAGCCAACGCTTTAACCACTAGGCTACCCCACCGCCCCTTTCATAAACTGAGAAAGGTAAAGTACAGGAAGTGATTCCTTTGCAAATTGTACGGGCACCATTTACAAGTATTGATCAGGTGGATAGCATCCAGCTATGGCTGAGTTTCATGTATTTATCAGCCTTCTGCGTCCTTGCAAACAGCTACCGATTGGTGTACCTTTGAAAAATCTGCCAATATCGCCAGTGTAGAAGTTAATAGCACACGTTTTCCTCTCCGTTTAACAAGATGGGTGCAATGTGAAATATGTGAATTGGGTGACCTGGAGGTTCAGGGAACGATGGGTTCCATGGAAGCACCAACCAAAGTAGATCAAGCAGTCACTCCTTGACTAAGCTATGTCAATGTTTCCTGACAGTTTGCAACTTTCAACTTTGCTAATACTTTCAGTCATGAGTTTGTTTTGACCATCTTACTGGCTGCCATGATAGTTGAAAACAGGGTTTTGCAGAACCAAATGACTCACACATTAGATCACCATTACATTCCACGTTTGTGTTGCATTCAGTACAATCAATGAAGAATTCAGACTATGGCTGGTTACATTTGTGTTAAAAGTGTGAACAAGGTAAGATGTATTTTTGCTGCTTTGGTGAGGGAGTGTGGTATTGTGCCACATTAAGCAATATTCCAGCAATATCACAGGATACCAGAAATGGGCTTCATACATTGGACCCTAGATTAATGCTTAGTCCCTGAATATATATAATTTTAATAACAAATAAACCCATTTAAATTGAAACGGAGCCCCATGGAGACCAGAGATTCAGAACCTGGGGAAATCTAGACTTGCTTCATTTAGGGCTTTAGCATTGCAGGGAGGGCTTGGCATTAGGGAAAATAATGTGGTTCAGGGACTGTGAGACAGACTACTTCGACCCATGGTTTGGAACCATCAAACCCAGGACCTAGGCATGAAGAGTGAAGGCTTTAACCACTTGGCTACCCCACCTTCCGCCGGTTTGGTGAAACCCACTCCCATGGATAGGTCAACAAGAAGAAGAAAAATGGTTAGCAGAAACCCAGAATCAAGCTCATGACCAGTGGAGTTATGCAGCCAATGGACCTCAGTACAAACGGACACTGTACACATTAACAAAACATTATGAAAAAGTTGATAAATATATTTAATGACTAAAAAGTCATCTAAATAATATTTACAATGTATGACCTATTTATAAGTCAGTTTTTCAGAACTCAGTGACATGAACTTCTGACTTAGAAACATTTCTTCATTTGCACACACTGTGCCACCCAAGCTTTCGTCAGTTGTTTCTCAACCGTACACACAGGATTCCATGACATCTACAGCAACTTCTCTCAGCCATCTCCTCAAGAGTCAAGGACACCTGGAACACAGAATCATATTAGGCTACAAAAACATGATAATAAATTAAACCTAACACCTTATATTGGGAATCTCATCTCAGAGTTTGGCCTTTTAGCAAACTCACCTAGATACAACTGATCACAAGAAGCAACGGGAGAGATATTCATCAGCCAAAAGAAAACAATGTCTTGCCCTTGCACTTCAGTAATTGGGAGGCTAACAATTTTGGAAATGGGAAATTCAAATTCAGAAATGCTTTCATAATTTGCATTCAAAACTATCATGGGGTGAGACTTTAAACACATTATTCACTAAAATGTCCAGTAATGACAGTCATTAACTTAAGTACGGTCTGATGCAGCCATACATAGGTATGATCAATAGTCCAGTACAACATGTACAATGGAATAGACAAATGTTTTTCACATAGTCTCACTTTAACTGTCAAAATGAGCCATAAATTACAAAATGTTCATACCTTCTAAGAACGCATAGCAATCTCTCGTGTCCAAAATGACATCTGTAACAAAAATCATGGTTGAGTAAAAACATCAGATCTGATTCTCATTTAGGCATTTTGGTTTAAATATATCTTCAGACAGATCATTACCTCAAGTTACCAACAGCTGTATATCTTTTTCTATTACTATTACATTGTGAAATGTCCAGTCAAGTAAATAATGTACGCATTTACAACCTGTTAAATCCACACTCAAAAACATGATGTTAGCACAATATAATTGTATTGGTCAGTGGTTAAATAAACCCCAAGCAGCCCGATAAGGTTTACAGTCATAATACCATGTCCTACCAGGTACCCATTTGCAACTGGCTGAACATAGGAACATTTCATACAAATAATCATAAGACTATCATGAAACTGAATATAAAATTCACAATAAATCTTTATTTGATTATAGATGATTATGATGATGATTGTTTTTCTTTGGAGTACTGGCATACCTAAAGAAAGTATTCTCTCATCGGAGACTATCACACACATACTGTAATGAAACTACAGGATTTGAAACCTCAATAACATGCTCCTGTCAATGTCATGCCCAAGGGAGGTAAAACAACAGAGTTTTAGGTGATTGGACTATCTGTGCACTTTATTTCTGAAGAACTATTACAATTCAATTTTCAAGGGTCTTGCAAAGCCAAAAGAACCAGGAACAGACACTTTGCTGTTTATACTGCTAGCTATGTTGCATTCCTGTACTCTGACAATGGTTAAGTGAGTTGTATTTCTGTGATAACTGTGCTGAAAAACACAAACAGCCTCAGCTGAATTTACAACTGGCTGACAATGAGATTGAGAACCCTTTTGAGATGACGCACCTAAATCTTTCCTCTGCAGTGTTTTCCTTTTCCCCTGTAGTGTCTTTGTTGCAGCATCCTTGGCCAACATCTGTATGAAAAGTTCCTGGAACAATAACAATTTCAAGGCTTACATTGTGTACATGTATATTGGTCTGTATGTTGCCCCAATATTCTCCAATGTTACAGTTAGTTGTGAGAAAACCTATTTGTACTGCTATGATTCCCTTCTGCCACGTTATATAAAAACATGATTGGTGGCAGTGAACAGGCTAGACACATCGGTGAATAGATAATTAAGTATCATAATTAATTCTGTTTCATCAATTTAACGAACAGTGGAGTAATTTTGTAAATACGCCATAAAATATGGCAAAAACTGTTCGACAGCCAGTATGTCATGTCTGGATCAATCTTAGCCAGGATCCGCGATGTGGTCCTATACAGACAAGAAATGACTGCGGCTCTCTGCTTGATCAAACTATACAATGGGTGATACAATGAGAAACGACCATGTCATTGGTAAGCTACCTTCATGCACCAATTATTTGTGATACCTAACTCGTGGGAAGCTGTTGGCTAATTCAGTAACTCATTACTAATCATTTAATTAGATTAACTTAGACATGTTAGAAGCCTTGTCCAGCTTCAATACTGCAACTTGAGTTTGATCCTCTATGTGGCAGTAATTGGAATCAGAACAAATGTGAGCAAAGTAAAGTGTTTTACTCCCAAACAAATCAAAATATGAACAATACGTTTCCAATAAGTTCACATTGTTCATTTGTTATCCCGCCTCTGTTTACTAATCAATGATCGAAAACTGAAAGCAAAACATACCGCTGCTTTCGCCAAAGACACCACAGCTTCCTGGCTTGCTAGTGAAACATCTGGGTCCGATTTAATAATGTGCTTGATTCTAGTTAATGGAAGCTTAAATAGACGGTCAGACCCAGATTGTTCAGTTGTCTGAGTCTGGATTTCCTCCTCGACAGCTTGAGAAACTTCGTCTTCTCCCGCCATATTTATGACGGTACAACGAAAAGCAAACTCACAACAAATATACGAAATTAGATATTGAATATTTATGTATTAAAAATAAAAAAACAAGCAATATATTATTGTCTGTGTAGTTAGCCTCTTTGCAAGAAAAAACAGTAGTAATTTATAAAATGTGTACTGATATTTTTCTATTTGGATGACCTTGCTCCCGTTTCGTTTTAAACATCCCAATTTCAGTATTTGGGCAAAGTGGGAGGGGTTATTGGTGGACATCCGCTGGCGTTGAGAACGGTCAGCACATGTGTACAGCCTGACCTCTGCTGATAACAGCATGACGCACAACGAAGAGAGAGCTGGCTGGATAAAAGAAGGGGCCATAGGACTTGGAGGTAAAATTCAAACCACACATATCGGTTGACATTGCATTGATTTAATGACATGTATGCATGTCTGGGCAACAGGCCGCTGTAACGGATACACATTATGACTATCATACAGACGAACTATAGTGACATATGCAACACTGTATCTAAATATACAGAATAATTACCAATGTGGGTTTGGTGTTTCAGTAATATTACCATGCTGCCTCAGAGGTTTATATAAAATGGGGGCGGTGGGGTAGCCTAATGGTTAAAGCGTTGGCTCGTCACGCCGAAGATCCGGGTTCGAATCCCCACATGGGTACAATGTGTGAAGCCCATTTCTGGTATCCCCCCGCCGTGATGTTGCTGGAATATTGCTAAAAGCGGCGTAAAACCAAACTCAGTCAGTCAGTCAGTCAGTTCTATAAAATGCAGAGGCCTGCCCAACCGGTCACTGACCAGTGACCTCAGCCTCCGGAATTTTTTGTAACCTTATTTCCTACAAGTGAACAAGTGAATGCTCTGATTAACAAATGAATAGTCAACTCTAATTAGTCATTCAAATGCAACAATTATGCATGATTTATCATATTCTTTTGTGTCAGTATTCAGATTGCCATAGCAATATTCCAGCTATATGGCTACCCTACAGGAAAATATGATTATGTACATGTTGTAGTCAAAATATATATTTTAGTGTAGGCAACATATGAAGGGCCATTAAGAATAGTATCACAAAGTGTGGAGAGAACTTTTGAGAAAACAATGAAAGCCTTGGTTTATGATTTGTATCCAGGGGCGGATACAGCTTTTTGAGAAAGGAGGGGTGCGCAGTTCAGAAGAGGGCTATGGTCATTTAATAACTTTCAGGACAAAATGTGTGTGTGTGTGCACACACACGCGCGCGCGTACACACACACACACACACACACCTCTGGATTCGCCTAAGATATCCTGTTTTATGACAAGAGAGTTAGTTTACTTCACCTAATCCACATTTATGATATTACTGAATATAGGTGAGCTTTTGTACCATGTGTACCTGTGGTGTTTTCTTTATCACAAAAGTGCTGAGCTATCTGTGTTATATTCTTTTTTAAATAAGTATTTAGATAAGAACAGACTTTAGTATTTTTCATTTATGCTGGTATAAAATAATATGATAATAAGATAAATGTGAAACAAACATTTTATTAAATGTCTGTCTGTCATAAATATTCATGAGTAATATTTTGACTCCCTAGTAGTACCATAAAGTTGAATTGCATATAAAATATCAAGGTATATTTTAGAAGTAGGTTAGTTAGAATAAAGGCAATATACTGAATGGATGAGGGGCCTAGTGGTTAAAGTGTTAGTTCTTCACGCCGAAAACCCGGGTTCGATTCCCCACATGGGTACAATGTGTGAAGCCCATTTCTGGTGTCACCCGCAGTGAAATTGCTGGAAGATTGCTAAAAGTGGTGTAAAACTATACTCACTCACTCACTCACTCACTTAATGGATGACAGCACTCATGATGGCATGGTATAAGAATCTATACCAAACTGTTGGATCATAATATAATAAAGATTTGTAGACCGTAAAGTATCTTGCCTTTACAGGTACATCTTCACCTGTTCATGAGCGTTGACTTGCTTTAGAATATCTATGATGGAGTTTCTGGCTTAATCAAGCTGCTAATGTTGTGTATTTTGTTATGCTCTTCTCAGTGGGAGTCCTATATGGCATCACCAATGTCTGTGTGGGCCATCCATTCGACACTCTCAAGACAAAGATGCAGGCCCAGGTGGGCTTTGAAAAAACAAACATGATACAGACATTTGTACAGACACTCAAGACACAGGGAGTCCGAGGGCTGTACAGGTAGGCAGACTGTCCTAATTCTACAGACACTCAGGAATAGGGAGTCCAAGGGCTGTACAGGGTTGGGTGGTTTGTTGTTTAATGCCACACTCCGCAGTATTCCAGCTATATGGCTGCAGTCTGTAAATAATTGAGTCTGGACCAGACAATCCAGTGATCAACAGCATGAGCATCGTTCTACACAATTGGGATACAATGGCATGTGTCAACCAAGTCAGCGAGCCTGACCACCCGATGCCATTAGTTGCCTCTAACAACAAGCATGGGTTACTGAAGACCAATCTTAACCCGTATCTTCACGTGTACTTGCAATACATGTACACTGTACACAATATATCACAGTATTTATTAATATAGCCTGTTTGCGAAATTTGTCATTGTGTTGTGTTTTCAAATATCTCATGGATCGTATGGATCTGTAATACTGTTTTTTGTTCTGCCCGGATATCCATGCCTTGCTTTCTTGCATGTCAGCGGCGGTGGGGTAGCCCAGTGGTTAAAGCATTGGCTTATCATGCCGAAGACCCAGGTTCGATTCCCCACATGGGTACAATATGTGAAGCCCATTTCTGGTGTTCCCTGCCGTGATATTGCTGCAAAATTGCTAAAAGCGGCGTAAAACCATGCTCTCCCACTCATTCTTGCATGTCAGAATATCTTCAAGCCTCACTATAGTCCTGCTAGGTTCCTGCCGATGTGACTTAAAATCTTAACTCACTCACTCACTCCTGCTAGGTTCCAGATAATGAGGTTCCAGATAATGAGGTTCCAGATAATGAGGTTGGGTAGGTGGGTACGAAAAACTATGATATGTGTGTACCAGCTAATTTGTGAGACAGGTTGTATAGACCTGTGGACCAGTAACCGTGGTTACTACTATAAAATCATTGCCGTGGTAACTGATACTGTGTTTTTTCTGCAGGGGCTGTATCCCTCCTCTATGGGGTTCTGGGATCTTCCGGTCAACACAGTTTGCTGTTTTTTGAAGGCATGTAAGTGTATCGATATTTAGTTTTGAAAATATCGGTTTAAATATGTTTGTGTATCATTTACAGTTTGCAATTGTATCATGTTTTGGGATGTTATGAGAGTAATAAATGCTTATTTTTCATGTAGAAAGATAGGAAATTGGAACTTTTTAATCTCTGAAAATAAAAATATTGATCTTTTCATGGACGATTATAAAATATGAAATATTAATGTTCAAAATGTTACTAAATTTATTGAAATAATGATGCGAAACTAAGTATCGTGATACGTATCGAATCGTGACATGGGTATGGTGATACGTATCGATTCATGAAACTTATGTATCGTGACATCCCTACCAATCAACATGGTTTTTGGATCCAGGTACACGTTACTGGACACACCCGGGATGGCGGAACGAGGTGCCCGGATCAAGCGGTGTGCAGCTGTCAGTATTTTCTTCACTTGTACAGTATTGTCTTCACTTGTAGCAGGGGAACAAAGTCTTATTTTCACTCATTGTCTGAAGAAATAAATTAAAAATAAAATCACAATTATTATTTATTTTTTTACAAATCTTAGGTACAGTAAAATACCTTTATAACGAACTCCAAGGGACCACTGAAATTAGTTCGTTATATCCGTAGTTCGCTATTCACTGTTTTATATGATAATGTAAGGTTTATAGGACTTTTTAAACAGTTCGCTATAGCTGTCAGTTCGTTACATCCGTGTTCGTTATAAAAGTATTCTCTGTATTTATAAACTATTTGATTTAAGTTGTATACTGTAAACGTATTATATTTCGCGCAGGTTTTATTTTCGCGCTTTTCGCGCAAAACATTTTAGCGCGAAAATTTATACACCGCGAATAAACCTGTCATTCATTCAGTCTAGCCACTCTCGCCCCTGAGTTGTTACCATAACACATCAAGTTTGAAGACAGAAATCTACGGGAATCTTAAAATGACGACTGATAGTAGCATGAAGAATCATACTTAACTGTCGCTATAATGGATTTCCCAAAACATAATTAAATAATGAGCCAAATCCCATCGCCGAATTAGCGAAAACAGCAATGTGTAGTGTGGCCGCCATGGAAATTGGTCACATGATAGATGGTTTGATACAAAACAGATTACCGCTTAAGCGACTTCGGAAAGAAATAATACAGCAGTATTTTATTTATTCATTAAGATTTTATTTACCAGTCATGAAGCGAATAGTCACTTAACACTCAATCATCTCATTCACAACAACCCGGCTTGTTTGAAATCACAAAGAGCTTCATATACAGTAGAAGTTAATTCGTCAGATCGTCAGAATTCGGAACATAAGACTGATGTGTTTTTCATCTCTTCCGTGAGTAAACGGATTACTGTGTACTAGTATATTGCACAGATAGGGATTTCCGGTGAGTAAGCAATAAACGCCGCCTGACAGGTTAAGCCACTCTGTTTGTTTTCACTGCTATTAGTGGCGGCCAAAGAGACAGCTGGCAGTTCCGGCAATTACTGATTGCGCGAATAATTGACCGTGCGATGTAGTCTAAACTGTCAATTCCGCGAAAATTGCACCACGCGAAAATAAGTACGTTTACAGTATTACATAAGACTTTGCTTTAACCTCAAATTAGATACATATTATCTTCTGTGGTCAGACCAGTTTCATATGTATTTTTTTGCTATTAAATTTGAAAGTTATGGTGCATCTCCCAATATTGTTTCTGTTATTGACCCCTAAAAAGAAAGAACGTTATACAGATATTCCTACCTTATGGGGGGGGTGGGGTAGCCTAGTGGTTAAAGCGTTGGCTCGTCACGCCGAAGACCCGGGTTCGAATCCCCACATGGGTACAATGTGTGAAGCCCGTTTCTGGTGTCCCCCCGCCGTGATGTTGCTGGAATATTGCTGGAATAAAACGAAACTCAGTCAGTCAGTCAGTCAGTATATTATATGTCATGAATAAGTGATAATTGTGTTTTAATTATGTTTGATTTTTTTGGTTGCATGTGACCTTTAACACAATCGTTATGAATATAGCTGAATATAGTCAGTCAGTCAGTCAGTCCTACCTGATTATCAGTGCATTAGCTATTGATGGTTCCTGTGTTTGTTGTGAATGAATCGTCTTGCGGTGACAAGTAGTGTTTGTTTGAAATCATCCACAGAACATTCTCTTTGAATTTACGTGGTGAACAACAGCAACTTGGCACTGCATAGTTTGTTAATTAATATAAAGAAGTAATGAAATTGGTCGGACCTTTTTCCAAATGATGTTTCTATGTCTGTGTTTTGTGCTACATGAGTCTGTATGATGCATGGGTTGTGTGTTGACAGCCGTGTGCTTGGGGCCGGTGCCATCGCATCCACATCCAGAGCAATCATAGAAACACCGCTAGAATATGCCAAGGTTTGTCCTGATTTCCACCCTGCATGCTGCTTTTTAGTCTTGACTTGTTCACTGACTCTAGTAGTTTGGATGATTGATTGCTATAATGTGTTGTGTTGTCATCTGGTTCCGCCTATGATTGGTTCAAATCACTTTTTGCTCAATGTGTTCTAGGTTTGTTAGGTCCATATCCTTTTGGGGGCGGTGGGCTAGCCCAGTGCTTAAAGCGTTTGTTCATCACGCAGAGGATCCGGGTTCGATTCCCCATGTGGGTACAATGTGTGAAGCCCATTTCTGGTGTCCCCAGCCGTGATATTGCTGGAATATTGCTAAAAGAGGCGTAAAACTAAACTCACTCACTCCATATCCTTTGCCGTAGGTTTCACCAAACTGTGTACTGTCTGAGTGCTGCATCTCTTCTGGGCATAGATTTACACAACAGTAGGAAAATTTAAAAAAACCTTTTTATTCTGTTCTGTTGGAATGAAAATTCAGATTGGGTTGGAGAAGGGAAATGCAGAAATAAATACAGAGAGCTACATGTCAGAAAGGATCTGGAGTTGTTTCTGCTAACCAAGATCCTGACAGGCTTGATATGAGCTTTATATTATTATCATTTCATATGTTTTGAAAACATTGAGTAAGAGTTGCAATGTTTTCACGTAAAGGTCTCTGAGCCATTTGTCCACAGTAGATATAGTTCATGCTTCCATGTTTGTCTGTTCTGTTTCAAATCGTTGTTGCTGCAAACATCACATTTTCAAAAGATGCCCATAACCTTGACCTTGACCTCCATGGTACCTCAACAATAAACTTTGATCCCAAAATGTACTTGTCACGTCACTTCAGTACACAGGGGTGGAAATAACTTTAAAATTGCTAGTGTACTCCGGTACAGTGGCACATGTAAAATCACTTGCCCTGATAATTTTTCCACTATACCGGCCGTTTTCTTGTTGATTTTTTAAAATAAACAACATAATTAACATTGGAATATCAACTGGACGACGGTACAGTGTGATATACAAATTTGCTTGCCCGACAGAAAAAAACACTGGACTCGGGCGTCGGGCAATGGGTTATTTCCACCCCTGGTACACATGCCATTGAAGAGTCTGGCCATTTATCCTTGACAACACAATATCACTATGCAGAGTGGTGACCCACAGATGTGACATGAATTTATGGTCATGCGTCTGAATTCCAGATTCTCTCATAATATTTCTAGATATATCGGCACAATATTCGTACAAAGTAGTGTGTAATGTCAAGGTGACATGCTGGGATATAACTGGGACACTGTTCAAAGCAGCAACTTACTAATGAATATCATTTTAAGATGCTGACTAAGCAATAAATTGCTCCTGTGGGTAATCACATTGTACTAGTCCGTAATTTACTCATGCATGGCTGATATGTGGCTAAGCAGGGTGGTAGGGTAGCCTAATGGTTAAAACATCCCTTCGTCATGCTGAAGACCTGGGTTCGATTCCCCACACGGGTACAATGTGTGAAGCCCTTTCCTGGTGTCCCCTGCTGTGATATTGCTGGAATATTGCTAAAATCAGCGTAAAACCATACTCACTCACTCACTGCAGCTAAACTATGTTCATCTGAGGTTTCTTGAAATCATTGTAGAAAAGATTTTTATATAACTTGTCAGTTTTTCCTCGTTTGTTAGGCGGGGCGGTGGGGTAGCCTAGTGGTTAAAGCGTTCGCTCGTCACGCCGAAGGCCCTGGTTCGATTCCCCACATGGGTACAATGTGTGAAGCCCATTTCTGGTGTCCCCCGCCTTGATATTGCTGGAATATTGCTAAAAACTGCGTAAAACCAAACTCAGTCAGTCAGTCTTGTTTGTTAGGCAATATTTTAGAAAATGATGTTGTGTTTTAAGGTACGAGGACAGACGAACCAGAAGTGGAAGCTCAGCAAGGTGTACACGGTAGGTTAACATATTCATCAAATTGTGCTGTCACTCACTCACTCACTCACTCACTCACTCACTCACTCACTCACTCACTCACTCTTTCATGAACTCAAAGAAAAAAACTCATCTTGCTCTTTTTCTTTGATTGAATCACTCGCTCTCTGATTGAACCACCATGTTCCTCCATATCCAGGGATTCGGTGTGACCTGGTGTCGGACGATGGGGCTGATGTGTACCTACTTTATTTTGGTGGATTCGGGGAGGCGGCACTTCCCAGAACATTTTAAGAAGCCACTGATTGGACCATTCCTGACTTCTGGCATTGCAGCCACACTGGCGTGGTGGATTGTGTGGCCACTGGAGTACATGAAGTGCCAAGTGCAGTGTGACTACGGAAGGTCAGTTGGACTTACGTTGTGATAAACCATCGTTAGACGTTCAGTAATTTTTGTAACTTCTCTGAAATGTCCTAGGGGCTCCAGTTGAAATTTTGTACATGTTTGATTATTATAAGCCTAGGTTAATTATCCAATGCATTAACATGGCAAATTCAGCATGGCAGCTAAATGGTGATCTTTGTGTTTAGAAAGTTTAGTCAAAGATTGAAATTTGGTGCGTAAAAGTAACAGAATATGATGATCAATATGGCTGCCACAACAGCCATATTGAAAACTATATACTATGGTTTTTAGTCTTCATACAGTATACCTTCAAAAAACATTTCTTCATAGTAACAAAAACTTTCATTAATTCTGAATAACTGCTCTTCTAGACAAATGGACTCTTATAGAACAAGAAGAAGAAAGAGAAGAAAAAACTTTATTACCCTGAATGGGAATTTGTTGTACATCATCACAGAGCGCACATATGAATATAGGATAAATGAGATAAATATAAGAGCGTTTCTCACAGGTAAATGTACTGTAAAATAAATTATTGAACACAGGTTAAAATATGTGGGTAAAATAGTTATGATTAATATAACAACAACAATGTACATTTACAGGTACGGATAAGATTTGTATGTAAAGATATATCATTTATTGTTTAAAAAGCCGATGCTGGACGGGATGAACGATTTCAGGGCTCAGTCTGATTTAAATTTTGGATTTGGAAACATCTGCCAGATGGTAAAAGTTTATATTCTGTGTTTAAAATGTGTGAGGAGTCATGTAAAATGTTACCTGCCAAAGTTAAAACTCTTTCCTCGTACACGTAAGCCAAAGGGTCGAAATCCACATTTGCGATTTTACTGCTTAACTTTATGATTTTGTTATGTTTATTTCGGTTTTGAACTGATAGGGATCCATACCAGCAGTGAATTGAGAAGGTTAAGACGCTTTGAATAAAACCATGATAAAACAGTGAAAGAATAGATTTGTCAACATTAAAAGAACGAAGTTTCCACAAGAAATATAAACGTTGTGACTGACGCTGCAGGATTTGCTTGATGACTTGGTTAAAAGTACATCATCATGACTTGTCTGGACCATTCTTTACATCCTTTTGGGACCGTTCATATTTTTTATTTATTTTTTATTTATTTATCTTTTTATTTTTTTTATTTTAATATTTATTTATTTAAATTTTTATTATTATTATTTATTTTATTTTATTTATTTATTTTTGGGTGTGTGTGTTGATGATGATTTTAATGGGGGTTTCACCCATTTTCTTCTGGGGAGGTAGGAGTAGGGGGTCAGCAATTTCGTATATAAAATTATTTTATAATTATGCTTACAAAATATTGGAAGAGGGGGGTCATTGATTTTGTACATGACATGCTGGGGGACATACTTTGTACATTAATTTGGGGGTGGGGTGTCATTCACATTGTACATGTTTCTCCATAAAAATCATCATCACCCCCTGGCCATAAATTATGAACGGTCCCTTATAGAGATGGAATATAGTTAAACAACAATCCAAAAATATTAACTGGTGTTTGAACTGTCTTTACAGTCCAAGATATTTTTATGGATTAAATGTCTTTTTAATTTCTCTCACGACGTTTCAAGACCATTCCAGGTACCTGATGAAGGGACCTGGAATGGTCTCGAAACGTCGTGAGAGAAATTAAAAAGAAGTTTAATCCATAAAAATATCTTGGACATCAATGTACAACTTCTAAATGCCACTGAAAGACATGTATTTACAGTGTTTGGCATATAATGAAGTTCAAAATGTTTGCATGTCACTGTAATGTACGTCTGTGTACAGGCATGTGTCGGTGATGGAGCGGATGAGAATCATCGTACGAGAGCGAGGTGGAGTGCTGGCTCTGTATCGCGGACTTATGCCTGGCACCATCAGAAGCTTCCTAGCCAACGGAACCAGCATGATTGTGATGTCCTTTGCCCAGAGGAAAGTCTCCGAGTGGGGTCTGAGGGGTTGACTGAAGGATATATCAGGACTGAATATACTATCCCTTGGACTCTCATACACCTCTCCATACATACCACCCTGTTCTCCATATGCTGTAACCTGTAGACACTTATCTGTATACATCCTCCTCTTCTCCATATACTCTACCCTTTATACACCACCATTATGTCTACATACTCTGCTGTGTATACACGTCTGTATACACCAGACTCTCACCAGAAACTCCACCCTGTTTACATTTATACAGTTATCTGTAAATACTGCCATGTGCATTTATTCTTATACATAACCCTGTTCTCCATATACACTTCTGTGTATTCATCAGCCCATGAAAACTTACCTGTACACAATCCAATTTATACAACTCTGTATGTATACATAACTATGCATTTTCTCTTGCACACTGCCATGTATACATGCATCACACTATTCTCTTCAACTCGTACAGCTTGGATAGTCATGACATGTTTTGAATGCTAAACATGTATACAGTGTATATGCTATACTGTAACATACTACATGTATACTGTGTATATGCTATGCTGTAACACACTACCATGTATACAGCTCCAAATATATTAGCACATGTACAACAGTATACAGTGACGTATACACTATGCAAGTTCACACTACCATGTATACAGATGCAAATATTGACCAGTATATGAGTTGTTAGCGAAGGGCCCCAGGTTGTCCACGATCAAGTGTTATGCGACTTGCTACACCAACGTGAGAGTCTTAGGAGCAAGGCCTGTGCAGCTACGCGCAGAATCAATTTCATTGTCATGCAAGGCACATGCACTAGCCTACATCTGCTCTACCTTTCACTTCTCGTAAGTGTGTTATCTGTGCCGGTCCAACGTATCCTTGTTTGCCAGTACATTACCTCAGAATCTATGTAAACTGTGCTATATACACTGCAGTGTAAACACGTTACACTATATCATGTACAGTACTACCTTCTGTACACTTCTCTGTAAACAGATCCTTAACTATGGAAGCTGCGAGCACACTGCCCTGTATACAGCAACAAAAACACTACAGGGTGTACGATGCCCGTATACAGTGGTGTATACACTACTCTGTAAATATTATGCACTACCTTGTATACAATGGCCTCAAAATGTACATACACACAGCCCTGTATACAGCTCTTATGTTACCTCAGAACCTGTGTATACACTTACCTGTAAGTGTACACAGTGATGTATACACGATACACTATCCTATGTACAGTACTACACTGTAAACAGCATCATATTTATTGCCTCTGAAGCTGCATATACACTATACTTAGTGTATAATGCCTGTATACAGTGATGTATACACATGATATACTATATAACAGGGATGGTAACAGGGAAATCAATTTTCAGCTGAAAACTTAATATTATGTCATCAAATTGGGGGGTTGATGGGGATTCAACAGATTTAGAGGATTCACAGAATTGATCAGTTTCAAACAAAATCGGCGGAACTCCACGGATCCACGGAAAATTCCCATCCCTGTATATAATGTACAGTTCTACCTTCTGTACTCTTCACTGTCAACAGATTCGTCACTATGGAAGCTGTATACACACTACGTATACAGCACCATTAACACTGCTGGGTGTATAATGCCCATATACAGTGATGTATACACTACCTTACTAACAATGCATCTCTGTATACACTAATTCATATACAGCACACACAAGCCTTAGTATGATGCCATTTATGTAGTTCTGTAGTTTCTTTTTGACATAATGCACTACCTTGTCTTCAGCCCCGTATACATTTCCACAGAATATACGTACACACTAGCCCTGTAAACTTTGCTCAATACACTACCATTGTATGATGCCCCATATACAGTGATGTATACACTACCTGTGTGCAGAAGAACCCTGTATACACTACTCTGTAAACATTATGCACTACCCTGTATACAGCTCCGTATTACCCAGGAAGCAATCTCAGCATCATAGTTAAGGCAGCATAATACTCAGAGCTCAATTTATGGGGATCACCCTGACCTTGTCGATGGAATCTTGTTGTGTTATTTGTTCTGTTCCATATTCTTCCAGGCATTTAGTTTGCAAATTGGAGACCTTTACCAGATGTCAGTCTGCGCGAGCCCACGGGTCTTAAAATAAGGAATCTCACTCAGCAATCTTCTCATAACATGTCCACATTGTTCAGTGTGAAGGAAACGTTTGTTTTCAATGATCTGCATAGAGGTGTACTGTGGGGGCTATAATATGATACATATCCCGCCAAGATCGGGTACGTTTTTATTTCATAAGTGGATATTCTTTCCCTTTGCAGGTTTCTCGCACACCTCAGTCATGTGTTCTTAAATTTCCAGGAGCAATGATTGGATATTGTAGGGCATAAACAAAGTCTGAGGCCACTGTGGAGATTCTGCTATAAATTGCCTCTGTTCACCCATCAGTAAAAGGGTACCCAGTGGGATAAGTCATGTGACTATTAACCTTCTAGCAGCTTTGGTTATCCGGGGTAATAATATGTATGTTAGCGCTATGAGCATTCACCTATAGTCTGTTTGCAGTGAAATCGTACCGATGAATTTCACTTTAAACAAAAAAGTAAATCAAATTAAGTGAAATTAAAATTGCGAATCCTCATAATTTTACCTTGCCAAGTGAACATTTAAATCTCAGAATTTTATTCAACTTTGGATAAAAGTTGTTTAACAAACGATCATTGATTCAAATCGCTATTATTGGGTATTTACAAGGGTAGATGAAACAGTGAAACAAATGCACGTGCGGTACGTGCTGAGCGTTAATTCAGACCAACCCTACTTGTTCTCGGTGTTTCATCTAATGTGCTTACCCCCCTTGTAAAACAAACCAATAAAAGCGATTTGAAACCATGATCGTTTGTTAAACAACTTTTATCCTAAGTTGCATAAAATTCTGAGATTTGAATGTTCAATTGGCAAGGTAAAATTATGAGGAATCGCAATCTTAATTTTGCTTTAATCGATTTACCTTTTTTTGTTTAGAGTGAAATTCATCGGTACATTTTCACTGCAAACAGACTATAGGTGAATGGAGTTTAGCACATTATAAAAGCACTTATTATTAATAGCCAAAGGGGAAAATCTGCATAATTGGGTTCTCAAACAGGTTCAGTCATTAATCATGTTTTTACACCTGGACTGTAATGTATTGTATATACTGCGATACAGGGGTTGTAAATCTATGTACAATCGTAATGCAATACTGTATCATAACACTACGACCCATGCTTACTGACAATCAATTTTAGACCAAATGTCGATTATCTCCAAAATCTTTGGACATACCATTTTTGAGTCTGTAATTGAATATGGTTAAACCATGTGGGTTCAAGCTCTCAGTATTTTTTACTCTGTAAAGGTGTGAATGTCTTATACTGTATGTTGGTGTGGGTGTTAAATATATACTACTCAGAGAAGTTAAGGAACTCCACATTTCTTCATAAGACAGTTACTGTCAAAGCTGATTGTATTGAAACACAACTCTCCAACTGTGGACGTTCTTGAACTTGTTTTGAGTACTATATGTTACTTATAAAGTTGTTATTTGTGTATATATAACATAATTATGTATTTTAATCAGAATGCATCCAATACTCATTTTACTTGAATGTATTAAGTTTTCTTTAAATCACAGAGGAACAAACCTCTCTTCAATCATGGTGGGGCCTGGTATTTCTTTAGTGAAGGAATACATTTCCGACCAATGTTGCCTTTCAAGACATTTTTAGTTTGATAGGAAGTGATAAGGTCAGGGCTCGATTTAGTGCTTTGTTACTTGCACTGGTGCAACTCAATATCACAAAGTGCAACCTAGTTATTAGTCAAAAGTGCACCATGTGCAAGTCAATTTTTGAGAAATAAATCAATAACAAATCTAAGTATGTCAGTTCATTTTTCTTCTAAACTTTGAATAGCTATGGCACCAAAACATTGCCATTTATAGACACTTCTCGGCTATGACAGCTCTTGTAAACAGGGATCAGCTGCGTTTCTGTGATTTCATGGGTACTACGTCACGGAAATATGTTTATGTGCACCAAAACCTCTGACATTTTAGCACACTACATTGCAACTGGAATTTGGCTTGTGCAACTAGGTTTTTATCTTAGGTTGCACCTGGTGCAAGTAGGTTAACATCCCCTAAATCTAGCCCTGAAGGTTGTTTGTTTGTTTGTTGTTGTTTACAGGACATTCATCATGTCCAACAAACTATTTGTGTGAAAATAAAAAATGTTTTATAATTTTCAGCATCCCCAAACAAACTGGTCAGCTCCCCTCTGTAACTGTGTTGCTGAATAAGTTGCTGAATAAGCTTGTATGCTATATTGCAAATCGAGTAATACAAAACAGAACATTTACTGAATGTTCATCATGAAAGCAGATCCGGGTTGGAATTGGTGCCATGTCTGTCATAAGAGGCGACTAACAGGATCTGGTGGTCAGGCTCACTGACACATGACTGCTCAGATCTGGGTTGGTATTGGTGCCATGTCTGTGAAAAGAGGTAACTAACAGGATCTGGTGGTCAGGCTCACTGACACATGACTGCTCAGGTGCTCCTGATGTTGATCACTGGATTGCCTGGTCCAGAAAGTTATTTACAGACTGTTGCCATGTACTTGCCAACAAGAACTTAGAATATGTGCACTCCATGATAAACAAGGATCAACATCTTGGGCATCGACACGCGCAACTGAGATACAATGACATGTGTCAGCCAAGTCTGTGAGCCTTACAACCTGATCGAGTTAGTCACCTCTTCCAACTAGGATCTTCACTGGTGGGTTTGAAATGTGATGAAGTTTTTATATTTGTTTTAAGCAAATTTATTTTATCCTGAATTTTCTGAAAAATATTGTATCTTTAGTCATTTAAACTTACCCATGTTGGGATATTGGTAATAAAGTATTTCTGTGGTACTTATTCTGGTAAAGTATTTACAGAGAGTTTGAATATTTTTTTAATGAGTGGGAAATATCTCACATCTTATGTTAATGTATTTTCAATGTGATATTTTTAACCAAGTTTTGCAGTTTTCTTGTCAGCATTTAATCTGATAACTAACTCAATATTTTATATTTGATATGTTTATTAACACGACCACTTCATCTATTTTGGAATAAAATGTTTTTACTATTTGTCTGTTGTTTTCAATTAAGAAATTAACCAAATGTTTATGCTGCCTTCTGAACAGGTCAACAAGCTCATCACGAATTTACACATGCTTTTGGCAAAGCGTTTTTCCAAACACGGAAATTTGGTTATTTCATTTTATTCCCAAATAAAGATTTACAGCTTGTCACATCCACTTCAACTACAGTGACAAAGTAAAAAAATTTAATCAATACATCCTAAAGTGAATCCATCCATCGTACTGTTATAAAGATGACCCTACACAAGGACAACCAGACACCAGTCTTACAAAGACTACATAGCATGACGTAACACATTTGTTTCATGCAAGGCAGGACAGAAGACAACTGTTAGATGAGATGAATGTTGTTTAATGCCAGTCTACTGTGGCAGCTGTTACATGGTTAGGTAGACAAACCTGTGGTTGATATTATGAATGACATAACCAACCCCGACTACAAAATCTGTATTAGCCACAATTTACAAGCAACAGCTACTGCTGCCAAATTGCATCATGGATTCCGCAGAGCGACAAACCCCTGTCAGCATGTGTGGAGGTGGCCGATGTACGAATGGGTCGTTGTGTGTGTGTACCAAGATAAGATATATATTTTGCAGTCATTAAAATATCTTGCAGAGTATTCTTTCCATTTTACACAAAAAGGCAACCGATGAGGTCATGAACATCAATCTAATCATTCTGTTTTATGTATATATGTTACAGGACTGACTGACTGAGTTTGGTTTTACGCCGCTTTTAGCAATATTCCAGCAATATCACGGCGGGGGACACCAGAAAGGGGCTTCACTCATTGGAATATGTTACAGGAAATATGTATAATCAGTAAATATGTATAATTACTGAAATTTTCAGTAATTATGTATAATGTCTGATTCACTCAGGAAATAAGTATATTTACTGAAATTTTCAGTAATTATACATAATTCCTAAAATTTAAGAAACAAATTATACATATTTACTGAAATTCAGATGGTCATAGATATGTCTTCTCATTAGGAGATAAACATCATGTGTTGACCAATTTCCGGGTGTTATTGAGTATTTGAAGCATGGGAATTCATTTGGAACCGACGGCGTCAGCCGGAGGTTTCAAATGAATATTCCCGTGCTTCAAATACTCAATACAACCCGGAAATTGGCCAACACATGATGTTTATCGACATTGTAAACACAAGAGTAAACCAAAAGGTCCACACACGTTTTTGTGTCTGCACTCATTGACATCGAGTACGGGTACAGCAATGGGATAATTTATTCAATAAGTGCATACCAGAGACCCATTATACTAAACCATCATAGCGCTAAGATGATCATATAACCCACTCTGTAGCAGTCTTATGAGAATCGTACAGCTTAATCACTTAGTCCATCAAGTTTCATGACTCAACACTCAGAATACAAACATATTATTCAGGTATGGTCCATATAAGCAGAACTGAACCCAGTTAAGATCCAGATTCCTACTGTAACACATTCAGTATTTGCGAGAATGGTGTTAAGGAAGTTTCTTATGTTCTGATAGGCATCTGCAGTTGGAAATGATTAAAGCACTAAGATTGTCATGTCTGTTTATGATTGTCATGTCTTTGTTTATGAGTGAGTGAGTTAAGATTTAAAGTCACATCGGCAATATTTCAGCCATATCGTGACTATCTTTGTTTATGAGGTATGGGTGTTTCTATAATATGGGGTAGCCTAGTGGTTAAAGCGTTCGCTCGTCACACCAAAGACCTGGGTTCGATACCCCACATGGGTACAATGTGAGAAGACCATTTCTGGTGTCCCTGTGATATTGCTGGAATATTGCTAAAAGAGGCATAAAACTAAATTCACTCACTCATTCTATAATGGTAACTTGGAGCAGAAGACACATTGGCAAGGACATCAAGCCACGTTATCAGCTGAAAGTTGATCTTTCCTGGCAGTGTTCCATCAAGTGCTGCCACAACAACCAATCTACACTCCCATTGCCAATCCTGATGAGCATGATCAAGAGAAGAGGAGGCTCGAAATGCTCAAAGGATGTGTGCATATTATCCCACAACATGACCAGCTTGATGCTAGTAAATATCTGCACATGTGCTCATTCACTAAAGAAAGTTCATTTTTGACAATATTATACCAAGTATGCCTTATATATGTCTGTAGATATTGCATGTCAAAGTAGACCTAAAAAGTTTAGAACTCCACAAACATGGACATGCAAGACATCAGTTTAAATACATCGTCAGTACTTCACATTTATTTATTTCATCGAGTATGTATCATGCAAACCTCAATTTTAACCCAATGAATCAATCCTAGATCTGCTAGAGCTAAGACCAATGATTACATCGGCAGTATATCTCTGGCAATGTTCCACACCCTTGCAACGATGCCTCAATGTTAGGCAGCAGTAGGATTCATACAGTCCCTGCATGAGTACAGCTCATTTGACTTCAAATGTCATACATCTACAACACATTCATTTCAAGACATAAAGTTTGTGTTCATCATCTCGATAGTCCTGATTGTCGAAGAGCAGGAGAACCGTATGCAACAAAAGGTTTTTATGTAAATCATGTGAGGACAGGTGCTATCCTTTATGCGAACACCTGGTGTCTCCACTGATTTTCAGTGAGTAAGTTTGGTTTTTCGCCGCTTTTAGCAATATTTCAGCAATATTAAGGCGGGGGACACCAGAATATTTTCAGTGACCCACTATTATAATTTGCACAGTTGTTCTGCCTTAATGCCCTCTCTAATCTGTTTCAATGGATTTTGGTTTGGTTTGTTTAATGCCGCAGTATTCCAGCTATATGGCAGTGGTCTAAATAATCGGGTCTGGACCAGACAGTCCTGTGATCAACAGCATGAGCAATTGGGATACAATGACATGTGTCAACCAAGTCAGCGAGCCTGACTTTCCAATCCCATTAGTCGCCTCTTACGACAAGCATGGGTTACTGAAGACCAATTTGGACCCAGATCTTCACGGGTTTGTCCAATGGATAATCCAGCTGGTCATTATCTTGAAATGACATTTGGTAATTAATATACACACATGGTAATTAAGACACAAGCATGGCACTATTACACAAACCTGTAACGATGGAATTATCAAGGTGAATAATTCATGAAAGACACTAACACTACTATACAGGATTATGATCAGGAGATATTATTTCATTCATCATCAAATAATCAGGGCCCAGATGCATAAAGCCATCTACGACCATCTTAAGTCTTAGTAAGTCTATGTTAGAGTATGTGAGTTACATCATCTTTGTGCAGGTGGGTCCTGAAATGCGAAAGTCCGCTCATGAAAACAAAGTTTTCTCATCACAATAACCAACATTAAGTCTAAACACATACTGTCATTAAAACCTAGTGCTAAAACTGTAACTAAATAAAAGCAATGGAATGAAAATAATACTGTCATTAACATCGTACACAACAGACTGATTGATGTTGGACCTGATGATTGTATACTACTTGAGTGAGGTGAGGTGAGGTGAGGTGAGGTGAGGTGAAATTGGGTTTTACGTCGTGCTTGAGAATATTTCGCTCATATGACGACGTGCATGCGTGTGTATGTGTATGTGCGGCTGCTTGTACTAGCCCAGACTTAAGCTGGATTTATAGTGCTAGCCCACTGAGATACCATGCCGCAGTGAAGCATGAATACCCCACTCAGACACATTATCGGACTCCGAGCCGACCAGTCCTTGTTGTACTCATTAATGCCGAGCGCCAGGCAGGGACCAACAAGTAGCATATTGTAACGTCTTTTGGTATGACGCGGTCGGGGATCGAACCCACGACCTTCCGCTCTCCGGGCGGACGCTCTAACCACTACACCACGGAGGCGGTCACTACTTGAGTAGTTATACTAATATGAGTAATATGTAAGTAATAAAAAGAATTGGTTGTTCCTTAATTTCTTTTAAGCAGTATATGTTCCATACCAAACCAGATTTTTGCTGCAGTTCAAAAGGTTTACTGCGGACAATTTTATGAGATGACTCAAATATTGATGTAACAGAACTGAACCCACATTCACCAAATTTCCATCTTGATTCATTTTTTGTTTGTTTGTTTGTTTGTTTGTTGTTTAACACCGCACTCAGCAATGTTCCAGCTATACGGCGGTGGACTGTAAAATCTTGATGAATTCCTACAAGCTCATCAGTATTCCTACATGTTGAAGAATGAATAGTAGAACATAAGATTTGTTTCCGTCCTGTAAATAATTTAGTCTGGACCAGACAATCCAGTGATTAATAGTGTGAGAAACAATCCACAACTTTGGGGTGTATTGACAAACAATCAACCCCATCACTGAGCCTAACCATCTACTTGCTCAGCACCTATAGCTGACCGGAGACCAATTCCATCTCCGGAACTACATGGGGTAAAAAACAGCCTCATGGAGCTGCTGGCACCAAGGCAACCATTATCACTAATATTATTTCATGAAAGTCAATGAATAAAGTCATATGTTTAAAAATGGGAATTAAAAATCAAGTACAAGACCTAGATATAAAATGTGAGGAAGGTTTCAACATATAGCAACAATATCATTGAAATTCGTTCCATTCAGGTAGATAACAAACAGCTCTGTAACCAACTCACATACATACTTATGTACAAAATGCACAGGTCGTAAAACAAGTTGGCCAGATAAAATATATGGATCACAGCTGGACCTTTGATTTGAGATTGAGAGTCTTTCACTTCTTCGACTTGGACCTTGCCCCACCCCGTCCACCTCCGACATCTGACCTTGACCCTCGTCCATCTCCTACCTCGCTGGAGAATAACCTGAAAGTAACCTGGTTAAGGAAAACACTCATAGTCTTGGTATTGAAAGAAAACTGTACTGGCAAAATATTGTCATGATTCTGTCAAAATCATAATTGTCTTTGAACACAAGATGGTAAAATATCCAATATGTCCCTTTACGTTCGACAAACTGACATAGATGGTACACAAACCATGTTCCCTCCAGACTGCCGACATTTCATCATACCTTGGTTGAGATAGTGAGTGAGTGAGTTTAGTTTTACGCTGCACTAAGCAATATTCCAGCTATATGGCGGCGGTCTGTATATAATCGAGTCTGGACCAGACAATCCAGTGATCAACAGCATGAGCATCGATCTGCGCAATTGGGAACCAATGACATGTGTCAACCAAGTCAGCGAGCCTAACCACCAGATCCTGTTAGTCGCCTCTTACGACAAGCATGGGTTACTGAAGACCAATATTCTAACCAGGACCTTCAAGGGTCTGGTAGAGATAGACCCAACAAGGCCATGCTAAGATAAAAGCAAAGGATATCTGTCTACATCCACTTCCTGTCTCAGGATGCCGGTGAGGACGAACTCGGCGGACACGATGGGAATCCCGGCCTTGATGGCAGCCTGGCACTGAGACTTATCCTCCTCGCATGACATCACCAACAGGTTGGCTTCTACTTTTTTTGGCATGGTGGACAAATACTGAAAAATACGAAATGCACCAAATTGATGGGTTTTTTTCAATTTGACAACACAAATATCTTCCAATGATTGGGGATTGGGGTAGCCTAGTGGTTCAAACCTGGATTATCCCACATGGGTACAATGTGTGAAGCCAATTTCTGGTGTTATGATGTTTAATATTTCACCAAACTGAAGTCATTCTTCAAATGATTAACAATAAATATTTATATGTTAAATTCATAGCATAGCTTATTCATCTGTCATATTTTTTTAATTATTTACTTTCTTATTGATTATCCACAATTTTTAGATTAATACAAATTTGATAGTTATTCCTACCTCAGCACCAGCACACGTGAGGACATCTGAAACACGAAAATGAAACATATAATGCTCTGAAATTTACATACTTTCCAAATTTCATGTATCTGACGACACGTCAGGTTAATGTGGTACAAAAACTCATGTAAAGCAGGTCTAAGATGTATACCCTCTGGAAAACATAGACATGGGAATGGTCCCAACAAACAAATATTGGATTCAAACTCAGAATTTTGGCACACCCAAAGGGCTGCAACTCTGGACAGCGAATTGAGGCACCTTCGACAGCTGGGCCACCTAGGCCTAATGAGTGAGTGTCTTACCTTTCATCTGTGGGGGCTCTGGCCTGACGGATTTTGTGACGTGTATTTTGTATCCCTGGAGCAAGTTTTCCTCTGCGGCTTTAGCCAAGGACTTCCTCAGAGAGAACTTGTACTGCTTCTCTGTCGCTGTGTCCGACACCAGGAACTTGGAGCAATCTGGTCAACACACAGGATCAGATATATAAATCACTTATTCATGACAATCAACCTTTGTGTTGTACAATATAACTTGGAGTTACCAAAAGGTTTACATTTAGTTTCATTTAGATCTATTTAATCGGCCTCTGGGAACCTGAGGTAGCTGGGCAGCCCACTGGTCCAGCTTTACTTTGATCCATTTAGTAGCCTCTTGTGACAACAGCGGTGGAGTAGCCTAGTGGTTAAAGCTTTCGCTTGTCACACAGAACACCCACATGAGTACAATATGTGAACCCCATTTCTGGTGCACCCGACCCAAATATTGCTAAAAGTGGAGTAAAACCAACAAAACACTCGCACAGACCGATCTCTGTCGCTCTATCTGTTCAATAGCACCATTTATTGAAAATATCTGACTGAATGGTACAACATAACTTGAAATTACCAAATGACTTATATGTATTTTCATTTAGATCTACTGAATTTGTCCCTTCAGATCTGAGGTAGCTGGGCACACCTTTGAACTGGCATTGATCCCAGCTTAATCCATTTAGCTGCCTCTTGTGACCAACAAGTACTTAGCACCTATCCTACACCAGAATCCCTATAATGTATTCCTCTCTCACCCAGGAATGTTCCGGCACTCTTGCTGCTGTTGAGCCAGTGAGGGGTGACGATGGGCACTCCACGAGCAACACCACCCAGGAACTTCACCGTCCGACGCACCTGACCAGACATACAATCAGTTGCAGGGATAGAAATTACACATGGCACTCATGATAAATTTAAGTATAGAGAATCATACCCTCGTGTCTTGTGATATCAATTATATCAACATGTAAAATTCAAGAACTGCTGAGCGTTGAGAACAAGTGTTGATATATTGTAAATCAAAAGACACAACAGTGAGATCCTCCTTATTATCGAAAATCATTCTCCCAGCTGTTACAGATTTTAAACAGTCATAAGAACGTCTTATGAGTGAGTTCTGTTTTACGCTGCTTTTAGCAATATTGCAGCAATATCACGGCAGGGGACATCAGAAATAGGCTTCATACTATGACCCATGTTGTCTGTCGGGTCTTTGGCCTGGTGGGTGCAGCGTCATTTAACCAATGGCTACCCCACCTCCCAACGACATGAGTGAAAGGTTAATCTGAAACATTGGCACACACATGATAGGTTATTGGATCAGCACTACTTTACATCTGAAACATTTACACACATGTAGTAGGTCCCTCAGATGACTTCACAATCTGAAACATTTTACACACATGTAGGTTCCTCAAATGACTTCACAATGGGAAACATTTACACACATGTAGTAGGTCCCTCAGATGACCGTGATGCTGCTGGATTTGCACACAGCTAGGTAAACCAGACTCACTTTACAATCTGAATCTCCCCACACATGTAGCAGGTTCCTCAGATGACTTCACAATCTGAAACATTTACACACATGCAGTAGGTCCCTCAGATGACTTCACAATCTGAAACATTTGGCTGTAGGTTCCTCCAGATTCCTTCACAATCTGAAACATTTACACACATGTAGGTTCCTCAGATGACTTCACAATCTGAAACATTTACACACGTTGGTTCCTCAGATGACTGCACAATCTGAAACATTTACACACATGTAGTAGGTCCCTCAGATGACTTCGCAATCTGAAACATTTACACACATGTAGTAGGTCCCTCAGACGACTTCACAATCTGAAACATTTACACACATGTAGTAGGTCCCTCAGATGACTTCACAATCTGAAACATTTACACACTTGTAGGTCCTCAGACGACTTCACAATCTGAAACATTCAATGTCAACCATAGCTTGACAGCATAATGTCAATGCTGAAAGTTTTTAATGTCTTAGTAGCTTTGCTTACCTTTTGACCCTGTTCATCAACCACGCCAGTAAAAAGGACTTGAGGTTTTGGCTCTGTGGACTTGCGACGCAGCGATGGTGACGACATCTCTTCCATCACCTGCTTCTGCTTACCCTGTGGTGGGGAGGAATCGGATGACCGTGACTTCTTGGCTGGGGTTGGAGCTGCCTCTTGTTCCTGCTCAGTGAATTTATCAACTCTTACATAACGCTGCTTATCGGTCAGCCATCTTGCAGGATTTAAGTACTTTGGCTTCAAGTTAACATTTATTTAACATTAGTCCTTGTACCACATATCTGTGTTTCAGATCAGTTCATTTTGTTTGTGACAGATTGTCATCAACAATTTCCTGAAATTATTTGCGCCAATAAGGATTGATACAGAAAAATGTCCGATTGATAAGAGTTTCAGTCGTGGAAACTGGCTCAGTGAAACCACTCTTGATACAACAGAGACCTCATTTTTAATGTTTTCTTCTGATTAAACTTTGCTGGGACTATCCATGAAACTGTCAGCTTTACAACTGTATAGCAGATGTTATAGCCGATGTTTTAGCTGACATTTTATCCTGACATGACCTTCACCTTGACCTACAGATCAGGGAACAAAAAAGTTTTTGACATTTTAGCAGAATAATCAGGCTCTAAGACACCTCATATATATCTCGCTTAGAATTGGTCTTCTGAAATATATACTTGTTGTATGAAGTAAAATATGGGATTGTTGGTGAGGCTCTGACTTAATACATGCCATCATATGCTAATTGTGTGAATCATGGGACAGTCTTGTAAAGACTTGATTACTTACACACAGACATCACATTGCTGGAATATCACTGTGTGCAGCATAAATACAAACACACAAACTCTTACACTGACCTGACTGGCATCGACTTTGCGTCCTTTCTTCCTCTTCACATCACTCTCAGGAGCCTGAGCATTAGCAGGAGCCTTGGAACGTCGACTTGTTCGTGATGCTTCACCATCTGTACTCTCAACAGAGCTGGGTGTACCCTGACTGCTGTCTGTTGGATCTTCCACTGAATTCTTGCCTCTACCAGCCGACAATGTTCTCCTGGTCACACCCTTCCTACCTTTCTTAGCACTAGACACTTCAGTTTCAACTTTCTCAACTGTTCCTTTAGCACTGTCTTCTTCCTTAGAACCAGGTGCTTCTTCTGCACTAGAAGAATCTTTTCCTCTTTTCCTTCTGGAAGGAAGCAGTTCTGGGACATCACTGTCGGGAGGTTCTATGCTGCCTTTAGCCCCTCTCCTGCCTCTCTTGGCAACAGGAAGGTCTACACTTTCTTCTGAAGCTCTTTTTCTAACAGATGTTCTTGTTTCTTGTTCAGTGTCATCAGATTTGGTTGGACTTTCTTCCAGTTCTATCAAACCCTTTTTTAGATGTCTTTGAAAGTGTCTTACTCTTTCCCTTAGGAACAGTTATCTCCCCTGATTGTCTGTCTGACCGTCTGCTTCTGCCACTATCACTGACACCTGAAATATTCAGATCCTGTGATTCATTAACTGCTGCATGTTTTGTTTGAGAAACACTTTTAGATGTAGACTCCAACTCTTCTGTTTGTTTTTTCCCACGACCAGCTCTTTTAGTCGACTTAGATTCATCAACAGAACTCTCAAGCGATGACTTAATGCTGTCTTCTGATCCAGCCCGAACCATGCGACTCTCAGTTTCACATTTCTCAGTAGATCGACCCCTTCTTGTGGAGTTCGGTTCAACTTGGCTGACAAGAGCTGCAGGTAGACTCTTCCGCCCAGAGGTATTTCTTTTCAACTCAGCAGGACCAGGTGGTGGAGGTTCTAGTGTCATCCTCGTCCTTCCTCTTCTCGTGCTTGTCGTCACATCAGATTCATTTGTCTCCTCTTTAACAGGATCCTCCTTCACTTCTTGAGACGTCTTCCTCCCTCTTCCCTTGCTACCCTTTTTACTTATATCTTCAGAGGATTTCTCCTCGACCTCAACACTTTCCTGTTCTTCTTTTACACTATCAGTTGTTTTTCCTGCCTCTGCAGCTGTGTGGCTGGTCTTCCCCTTGTTCTTCCTGCCACCAGCTGTCTTGCCAGGAACAACGGACACCTCGATGCTCCTTCGACTGCGTCCAGCTAATGGTGTCTCTTCTTTTGCTTCCACCACAACCTCCTTCCTTAGTCTCTTCGTAGTTTCCTCTTCCTTCTTTTCCACAACTTCTTTTCTTCCTCTCTTAGTAGTCTCCTCTTTCTTGTCCTCCAACACAACTTCCTTCCTTCCTCTCTTCAGAGTGTGATCTTCCTTTTTCTCCACCTCATCCTCTATCCTTCCTCTACCTCTCCTAACAGTCTCCACTTCCTTGCCCTCTACCACAACTTTTTTCTTCCTCTACCTCCTAACAGTCTCCACTTCCTTGCCCTCTACCACAACCTCCTTCCTCCCTCTCTTCGTCGTCTCCTCTTTCTTCTCCTCCAGCACCACAGCCTCCTTTCCTCTTCCTCTCCCAGCACGGTCTGCTCTTTCGTGTCCACTTCTGCACCATCTTCTGCAGCTGGTTCCTCCTTCACTGCGACCTGTTCTCTAGCACCTCTTCTCCTCCCTCTTCCTCGTCCGAGTCCGGTCTCCAATCTCTCCACGACCGCTACTCTGCCAGGGGTACTCCTCCTCCGACCACCATCACCACCTGCCACAGCAACATCAGCCAACGCAACATCCAGACTTCTCCTTCCTCTCCCACGGCCTCGAGCCAGACCAGTCACCTTCTTGGTCTTGTGCTCATTGTCAGCAACCTGAAAACAGACTCGACATCAATTTCAGACAACTATGTTCCTCTGTTAATGAGGGTCGAGAAGCAACTTCCAGAATGGTTCAGTTGTGGTTAGTGATCTTTTTAGTTAACACAACTGATTCCTTTCCTTCATTTTGGTTTACCTTGATGTCACATAACAACAGACTTGTTTCCTATGAGAGATAAAAACTTACCCCAGCAGCAAACGCAACTCGTTTTGGGGAGGGTGAGGGACTTCTCCTTGGACTGGCCAGGGCTGACTTGTGAGGGGAGCGCTTAGGCAAGGGGATCATGGGAGAAGGCACCTTCTCATGGGAGTGGCTGTCTGGGACCATCTGCATCACATACATCAATAGGCACATCGAAACTATGCATCGCACAAATAGTTCTGTCAAATCTACATTTCAGAATACATTAAACAATTGTACACCAAAAAGTAGTGCTATTGCACACTTTCTGCGAAGATGGTAAAAAGTGATTTGAATCTGTTAAATGTATTGAAGTCTTGTATCCAAAATAACATCTTGTTGTACAACTGAAGTACACACCTCCTCTGTGGAATCAAGTCCATACTGCTGTGTGGCTTCTGGTCCATCAGCACCATACAGCTGGGTAGGTTCAAGATCGGAAACATCCGTGCCTGCACAGAATAGGCATATCATATACACAGAATAGGTATATCATATATACAACAGGTACATCATATACATCAACAACAGGTACATCATATACACAGGGTACATCATATACACAACATGGTACATCATATACACACACATAACAGGTACATCATATACACAACATGGTACATCATATACACAAGGGTACATCATATACACAACATGGTACATCATATACACAACATGGTACATCATATACACAACAGGTACATCATATACACAGCATGGTACATCATATACACAACATGGTACATCATATACACAACAGGTACATCATACACAACAGGGTACATCATATACACAACAGGTACATCATATACACAACATGGTACATCATATACACAACATGGTACATCATATACACAACATGGTACATCATATACACAACAGGTACATCATATACACAACAGGTACATCATCATATACACATGGTACATCATATACACAACATCATATACACAACATGGTACATCATATACACAACAGGTACATCATATACACAACATGGTACATCATATACACAACATGGTACATCATATACACAACATGGTACATCATATACAACATGTACATCATATACACAACATGGTACATCATATACACAACATGGTACATCATATACACAACAGGTACATCATATATAGGTACAACAGGGTACATCATATACACAACAGGTACATCATATACACAACAGGGTACACACAACATGGTACATCATATACACAACAGGTACATCATATACACAACATGGTACATCATATACATATACACAACAACATGGTATACACAACATCATCATATACACAACATGGTACATCATATACACAACATGGTACATCATATACACAACAGGTACATCATATACACAAGGGTACATCATATACACAACATGGTACATCATATACACAACAGGTACATCACACAACATACACATACACAGGTACATCATATACATATACACGGGGTACATCATATACACAACATGGTACATCATATACACAACATGGTACATCATATACATATGGTACATCATATACACAGGGTACATCATATACACAACATGGTACATCATATACAACAGGTACACATCACAGGTACATATACACAACAGGTACATCATATACACAACATGGTACATCATATACACAACATGGTACATCATATACACAACATGGTACATCATATACACAACATGGTACATCATATACACAGGGTACATCATATACACAACAGGTACATCATATACACAACAAGGTACATCATATACACAACAGGTACATCATATACACAACAGGTACATCATATACACAACATGGTACATCATATACACAACATGGTACATCATATACACAACATGGTACATCATATACACAACATGGTACATCATATATACACATCATAACATGGTACATCATATACACAACATGGTACATCATACATCATATACACATGGTACATCATATACAGGGTACACATCATATACACAACATGGTACATCACAGGTACATCATATACACAACAGGGTACATCATATACACAACAGGTACATCATATACATCATATACACAACAGGGTACATATACACAGGGTACATCATATACACATGGTACATCATATACACAACAGGTACATCATATACACAACATGGTACATCATATACACAGGTACATCATATACACAACAGGTACATCATATACACAACAGGTACATCATATACACAGGGTACATCATATACAACAGGGTACATCATATACACAACAGGTACATCATACACACAACAGGTACATCATATACACAGGGTACATCATATACATCATATACACAACAGGTACATCATACACAACAGGTACATCATATACACAACAGGTACATCATATATACACAACAGGGTACATCATATACAACAGGGTACATCATATACACAACAGGTACATCATACACATACACAACAGGGTACATCATATACACAACAGGTACATATATAACAGGTACATCATATACACAGGGTACATCATATACAACAGGGTACATCATATACACAACATCATACATGTACATCATATACACACAGGTACCAACAGGTACAACATATACACAACAGGTACATCATATACACAGGGTACATCATATACACAAACAGGTACATCATATACACATATACACAGGGTACATCATATATGCACAGGGTACATATACACAGGGTACATCATATACACAACAGGGTACATCATATACACACATCATATCATAGGGTACACACACACAGGGTACATCATATACACAGGGTACATCATATACACAGGGTACATCATATACACAGGGTACATCACATACACAACAGGTACATCATATACACAACAGGTACATCATATACACAACATGGTACAAAAAACCAAAAAGAATATACAAGGCTCCCAAACAAAGTAAGATGTTTGATCCCAAAAGAGGGGTTTGCTTGTTACCATGCCTCAGTTTGACAACAGCTGAAAATTATTCAAGAAGGATTATATCCATGTAAATGTCACACATGGATTGAAAGGGTTTGTTTCTTTCTTTGTTGCTTACCACAGCACTCAGCAATATTCCAGCTATATGGCGACGGTCTTTAAATAATGGAGTCTGACCAGACAATCCAGTGATCAACAACATGAACATCGATCGACGCAACTGGGATACAATGACATGCGCCAACTGAGTCAGCGAGCCTGACCACCTGATCCCATTAGTCGTCTCTTACGACAAGCATGGGTTAATGAAGACCCGGATCTTCGTGGGTCAGATTGAAGGTAAAATATGATGAAACCCAGTTTAGCACACATCTATAGAGGTTAGGAGTTCCATCTTACCTTCTCCAGAGCTTGTGGTCCTTGTAGATTGCCTTCCTCTACTCCTGGGACTGGCTGCAGGGGATGGTTTCTGACAAGACATGGAACAAACACAGTGAGACTTGCAACAGTAAATCTTGAGAAATGTGTTGAAGGCAAAATTATTTCACTTGAGTGTCTGTGGCTGCTAGTACTTGTCTGAATTTACATACTAGTGCTAGACCACTGAGACACCCTGTCTCAGTTTAACTTGGATACGCAACCGGCCCGTCTTAGTTTTATCTCCTGAGACACCCTTCCTCAACATGGATACCCGACTCAGACAAATATACGGACTCTGAACTGGTCCGTCTTAGTTTTATCTCCTGAGACACCCTTCCTCAACATGGATACCCAACTCAGACAAATATACGGACTCTGAACTGGTCCGTCTTAGTTTTATCTCCTGAGACACCCTTCCTCAACATGGATACACAACTCAGACAAATATACGGACTCTGAACTGGCCTGTCTTAGTTTTATCTCCTGAGACACCCTTCCTCAACATGGATACCCAACTCAGACAAATATACGGACTCTGAACTGGTCCGTCTTAGTTTTATCTCCTGAGACACCCTTCCTCAACATGGATACCCAACTCAGACAATATCACGGACTCTGAACTGGTCCGTCTTAGTTTTATCTCCTGAGACACCCTTCCTCAACATGGATACACAACTCAGACAAATATACGGACTCTGAACTGGCCCGTCTTAGTTTTATCTCCTGAGAGTGAGACACCCTTCCTCAACATGGATACCCAACTCAGACAAATATACGGACTCTGAACTGGCCTGTCTTAGTTTTATCTCCTGAGACACCCTTCCTCAACATGGATACCCGACTCAGACAAATATACGGACTCTGAACTGGCCCGTCTTAGTTTTATCTCCTGAGACACCCTTCCTCAACATGGATACCCAACTCAGACAAATATACAGACTCTGAACTGGCCCCTGTCTTAGTTTTATCTCCTGAGACACCCTTCCTCAACATGGATACCCGACTCAGACAAATATACGGACTCTGAACTGGTCCGTCTTAGTTTTATCTCCTGAGACACCCTTCCTCAACATGGATACACAACTCAGACAATATACAGACTCTGAACTGGTCCATCTTAGTTTTATCTCCTGAGACACCCTTCCTCAACATGGATACACAACTCAGACAAATACACGGACTCTGAACTGGCCCGTCTTAGTTTTATCTCCTGAGACACACCTTCCTCAACATGGATACCCAACTCAGACAAATATACGGATGCTGAACTGGCCCGTCTTAGTTTATCTCCTGAGACACCCTTCCTCAACATGGATACCCGACTCAGACAAATATACGGACGCTGAACTGGCCCGCCTTAGTTTATCTCCTGAGACACCCTTCCTCAACATGGATAACAACTCTGACAAATATACAGACTCTGAACTGGCCCTCGTCTTAGTTTTATCTCCTGAGACACCCTTCCTCAACATGGATACCCAACTCAGACAAATATACGGACTCTGAACTGGTCCGTCTTAGTTTTATCTCCTGAGACACCCTTCCTCAACATGGATACACAACTCAGACAAATATACGGACTCTGAACTGGTCCATCTTAGTTTTATCTCCTGAGACACCCTTCCTCAACATGGATACACAACTCAGGCAAATATACACGGACTCTGAACTGGCCTGTCTTAGTTTTATCTCCTGAGAGTGAGACACCCTTCCTCAACATGGATACCCAACTCAGACAAATATATGGATGCTGACTCTGCAAATACAACTCTAACTGTCCTGCCTTGGTTTTATCTCCTGAGAGAGGAGACACCTTCCTCAACATGGATACCCAACTCAGACAAATATACGGATGCTGAACTGGCCCGTCTTAGTTTATCTCCTGAGACACCCTTCCTCAACATGGATACCCGACTCAGACAAATATACGGACGCTGAACTGGCCCGTCTTAGTTTTATCTCCTGAGACACCCTTCCTCAACATGGATACACAACTCAGACAAATATACAGACTCTGAACTGGCCCGTCTTAGTTTTATCTCCTGAGACACCCTTCCTCAACATGGATACCCAACTCAGACAAATATACACGGACTCTGAACTGGTCCGTCTTAGTTTTATCTCCTGAGACATCCTTCCTCAACATGGATACACAACTCAGACAATATACGGACTCTGAACTGGTCCATCTTAGTTTTATCTCCTGAGACACCCTTCCTCAACATGGATACACAACTCAGACAAATATACGGACTCTGAACTGGTCTGTCTTGGTTTTATCTCCTGAGAGTGAGACACCCCTTCCTCAACATGGATACCCAACTCAGACAAATATACGGATGCTGAACTGGCCCTGTCTTAGTTTTATCTCCTGAGACACCCTTCCTCAACATGGATACCCGACTCAGACAAATATACGGACGCTGAACTGGCCCGTCTTAGTTTATCTCCTGAGACACCCTTCCTCAACATGGATACACAACTCTGACAAATATACAGACTCTGAACTGGTCCCGTCTTAGTTTTATCTCCTGAGACACCCTTCCTCAACATGGATACCCGACTCAGACAAATATACGGACTCTGAACTGGTCCGTCTTAGTTTTATCTCCTGAGACATCCTTCCTCAACATGGAAACACAACTCAGACAATATATACGGACTCTGAACTGGTCCATCTTAGTTTTATCTCCTGAGACACCCTTCCTCAACATGGATACACAACTCAGGCAAATACACGGACTCTGAACTGGCCCGTCTTGGTTTTATCTCCTGAGAGTGAGACACCCTTCCTCAACATGGATACCCAACTCAGACAAATATACGGATGCTGAACTCAGGCAAATACACGGACTCTCTAACTGTCCTTAGTTTTTTATCTCCTGAGAGTGAGACACCCTTCCTCAACATGGATACCCAACTCAGACAAATATATACGGATGCTGAACTGGCCTGTCTTAGTTTATCTCCTGAGACACCCTTCCTCAACATGGATACCCGACTCAGACAAATATACGGACGCTGAACTGGCCCTGCCTTAGTTTATCTCCTGAGACACCCTTCCTCAACATGGATACACAACTCTGACAAATATACAGACTCTGAACTGGCCCGTCTTAGTTTTATCTCCTGAGACACCCTTCCTCAACATGGATACCCAACTCAGACAAATATACGGACTCTGAACTGGTCCGTCTTAGTTTTATCTCCTGAGACACCCTTCCTCAACATGGATACACAACTCAGACAAATATACGGACTCTGAACTGGCCCGTCTTAGTTTTATCTCCTGAGACACCCTTCCTCAACATGGATACCCAACTCAGACAAATATACGGACTCTGAACTGGCCCGTCTTAGTTTTATCTCCTGAGACATCCTTCCTCAACATGGATACACAACTCAGACAAATATACGGACTCTGAACTGGTCCATCTTAGTTTTATCTCCTGAGACACCCTTCCTCAACATGGATACACAACTCAGACAAATACACGGACTCTGAACTGGCCTTGTCTTGGTTTTATCTCCTGAGAGTGAGACACCCTTCCTCAACATGGATACCCAACTCAGACAAATATACGGATGCTGAACTGGCCCGTCTTAGTTTATCTCCTGAGACACCCTTCCTCAACATGGATACCCGACTCAGACAAATATACTGGACGCTGAACTGGCCCTGTCTTAGTTTATCTCCTGAGACACCCTTCCTCAACATGGATACACAACTCAGACAAATATACAGACTCTGAACTGGCCCGTCTTAGTTTTATCTCCTGAGACACCCTTCCTCAACATGGATACCCAACTCAGACAAATATACGGACTCTGAACTGGCCCGTCTTAGTTTTATCTCCTGAGACACCCTTCCTCAACATGGATACACAACTCAGACAAATATACGGACTCTGAACTGGCCTGTCTTAGTTTTATCTCCTGAGACACCCTTCCTCAACATGGATACCCAACTCAGACAAATATACGGACTCTGAACTGGTCCGTCTTAGTTTTATCTCCTGAGACACCCTTCCTCAACATGGATACACAACTCAGACAAATATACGGACTCTGAACTGGTCCGTCTTAGTTTTATCTCCTGAGACACCCTTCCTCAACATGGATACACAACTCAGACAAATATACGGACTCTGAACTGGCCTGTCTTAGTTTTATCTCCTGAGACACCCTTCCTCAACATGGATACCCAACTCAGACAAATATACGGACTCTGAACTGGCCTGTCTTAGTTTTATCTCCTGAGACACCCTTCCTCAACATGGATACCCAACTCAGACAAATATACGGACTCTGAACTGGCCCGTCTTAGTTTTTTATCTCCTGAGACACCCTTCCTCAACATGGATACACAACTCAGACAAATATACAGACTCTGAACTGGCCTGTCTTAGTTTTATCTCCTGAGACACCCTTCCTCAACATGGATACCCAACTCAGACAAATATACAGACTCTGAACTGGCCTGTCTTAGTTTTATCTCCTGAGACACCCTTCCTCAACATGGATACCCAACTCAGACAAATATACAGACTCTGAACTGGTCCGTCTTAGTTTTATCTCCTGAGACACCCTTCCTCAACATGGATACCCAACTCAGACAAATATACAGACTCTGAACTGGTCCTGTCTTAGTTTTATCTCCTGAGACACCCTTCCTCAACATGGATACCCAACTCAGACAAATATACGGACTCTGAACTGGTCCGTCTTAGTTTTATCTCCTGAGACACCCTTCCTCAACATGGATACCCAACTCAGACAAATATATACGGACTCTGAACTGGTCCATCTTAGTTTTTATCTCCTGAGACACCCTTCCTCAACATGGATACCCAACTCAGACAAATATACGGACTCTGAACTGTCCCGTCTTAGTTTTATCTCCTGAGACACCCTTCCTCAACATGGATACCCAACTCAGACAAATATACTGGGACTGCTGAACTGGCCCGTCTTAGTTTTATCTCCTGAGACACCCTTCCTCAACATGGATACCCAACTCAGACAAATATACGGACTCTGAACTGGCCTGTCTTAGTTTTATCTCCTGAGACACCCACCTTCCTCAACATGGATACCCAACTCAGACAAATATACGGACTCTGAACTGGCCTGTCTTAGTTTTATCTCCTGAGACACCCTTCCTCAACATGGATACCCAACTCAGACAAATATACGGACTCTGAACTGGCCTGTCTTAGTTTTATCTCCTGAGACACCCTTCCTCAACATGGATACACAACTCAGACAAATATACAGACTCTGAACTGGCCTGTCTTAGTTTTATCTCCTGAGACACCCTTCCTCAACATGGATACCCAACTCAGACAAATATACAGACTCTGAACTGGCCTGTCTTAGTTTTATCTCCTGAGACACCCTTCCTCAACATGGATACCCAACTCAGACAAATATACGGACTCTGAACTGGCCCGTCTTAGTTTTATCTCCTGAGACACCCTTCCTCAACATGGATACACAACTCAGACAATATAATGGACTCTGAACTGGTCCATCTCTTTTTTTATCTCCTGAGACACCCTTCCTCAACATGGATACACAACTCAGACAAATATACGGACTCTGAACTGGCCCGTCTTAGTTTTATCTCTCCTGAGACACCCTTCCTCAACATGGATACCCAACTCAGACAAATATACGGATGCTGAACTGGCCTGTCTTAGTTTTATCTCCTGAGACACCCTTCCTCAACATGGATACCCAACTCAGACAAATATAATGGACTCTGAACTGGCGTCTGCCTTAGTTTATCTCCTGAGACACCCTTCCTCAACATGGATACCCAACTCAGACAAATATACGGACTCTGAACTGGCCCGTCTTAGTTTTATCTCCTGAGACACCCTTCCTCAACATGGATACCCAACTCAGACAAATATATGGACTCTGAACTGGGCCTGTCTTAGTTTTATCTCCTGAGACACCCTTCCTCAACATGGATACCCAACTCAGACAAATATACAGACTCTGAACTGGTCCTGCTCTCTTAGTTTTATCTCCTGAGACACCCTTCCTCAACATGGATACCCAACTCAGACAAATATACGGACTCTGAACTGGCCCGTCTTAGTTTTATCTCCCCGAGACACCCTTCCTCAACATGGATACCCAACTCAGACAAATATACAGACTCTGAACTGGCCTGTCTTAGTTTTATCTCCTGAGACACCCTTCCTCAACATGGATACCCAACTCAGACAATATACAGACTCTGAACTGGTCCGTCTTAGTTTTATCTCCAGAGACACCCTTCCTCAACATGGATACCCAACTCAGGCAAATATACAGACTCTAACTGGTCCGAATTCTTACTCTTGGTTTTATCTTAGCACCACCTTATAATGTCTTTAGTTAAGAGGCAGCTCAGGATCAAATCACCAACCTACTGCTCTCTGGGCATAAACAGGTTATTTCCCCAAACATGGTACATGTATAACCATAACTACAAATGTTTGCTGGTACTTATGAAAACAGTAGTAGCCCTTTCCCCACCATTATATTGAAAAGTCCTTGAGTACTACCATGCACTTCAGTACAGAGTCTCTGAAACGTGCTGCAGTAACTGACAGTAAACGATCCAACCATCTTTTACAACCTCAAAGATGACCTTGACCTTTGACAGGGAACGTCACTAGATATGCTCAGTCAGACATGTAAAGATACTTGCAAATATACAGTTTCAAGGCTGTACATATAATACCTGAATGCTGACCTTGACCTTTTGGGCTCCCTGCATGAGCAAAGAGAATTCGCCAGGTCAATGTGGAATAAGTATGTCGTGGAGCACAAAGTGAGGTGAGGTGAGGTGAGGTGAAATTGGGTTTTACGTCGTGCTTGAGAATATTTCGTTTATATGACGACGTGCATGTGTGTGTATGTGTATGTGCGGCTGCTTGTACTAGCCCAGACTTAAGCTGGTTTTATAGTGCTAGCCCACTGAGATACCATGCCGCAGTGAAGCATGAATACCCCACTCAGACACATTATACTGACTTCCGAGCCGACCAGTCCTTGTTGTACCCATTAATGCCGAGCGCCAGGCAGGGACCAACAAGTACCATATTTTAACGTCTTTTGGTATGACGCGGTCGGGGATCGAACCCGCGACCTTCCGCTCTCCGGGCGGACGTTCTAACCACTACACCGTGGAGGCGGTCTGGAGCACAAAGTATTTAGATAGAATGGATAATTGAGGGTAGCTTAGAAACCCCCAAGGGCTTTGCAATGTATATATATAGATGTAATACTTACATACAGGGTGGAAATTCAATGAAACATAGTTAATTATGGAGTATATCTCCCATATGTTTTTACACACATATCTACATGATACACACTTCCTAGTACCTCAGTGTTTTTGCGTCTTACAGATGTCCTGGTCCCTCGGTCTTCCACCTCAGCCATGTTGATCACTTCCTCCACTGGCAAAGTCGAATCTTCAGAGTCAGAGTCATCACCCGCTGTACCACCAGGGATGGGTGCTGCAGTTGTATCAACATCATCAACAGGGACGGTTGCGTCCTGACCACTCTCTACAGGCACAGTAGCACCGTCAACATCGGCAGCTGGGAGAGTTGCGTCCTGACCAACATCGTCTACAGCCATGGTAGCATCTTCCACATCAGCAGCTGGGAGAGTGGCACCCTCACCAACATCGTCTACAGGCATAGTAGCATCTCCAGCATCCTTGCTTCTTCGTCCTCTCTTCACCCCTCCTCTCACACTGTGTGACTCTTTCTCAATGGCTTCTACAGTAGTCTTCTTCCCCCTGCCCCTTCCTCTACCTCTTCCTCTACCTCGTCTTGCAGGTTCAGGTTCCATCACAGCCATAGTGGCATCATCCACATCAACAGGAACAGTTGGAGCATCCTGATCAATAGAAGACTGGGCCTTCTTCCCACGACCTCTCTTCCTTGCAGGCATCTCTGCCTCTTCCTCTATGGCAACTGTAGCCTCAGTTTCTGTCATCTTTATATTGTCATGTCCAGATTTCTTCCCACGACCTCTCTTCCTTGCAGGCATCTCTGCCTCTTTCTCTATGGCAACTGTAGCCTCAGTTTCTGTCATCTTTATATTGTCATGTCCAGATTTCTTCCCACGACCTCTTTTCCGTGAAGGCATTTCCTCTTCCTCTATGGCAACTGTAGCATCTCCAAACACCTGCGTACTGTCGTCTGTGGGTTCGTCAAGATCCTGCTTCTCCTCCACCATCAAAGTAGCACAATCAAAGACCTGAGTTGCATCTGTATCTGCGTCCCTGTTGGTAGCATCCGATACCAACAGAGTTGCATCTTCAATACCAAACACCTGTGTAGCATCTTCCCCTGACTTGTCCTCAACTTCCGACACTGCCACAGTGGCTTCGTCAAACACCTGCGTAGCACCTTCCCCTGACTTGTCCTCAACTTCTGACACTGCAACAGTGGCCTCTTCAAACACCTGTGTGGCATCCTCACAGGTCACCACTGCATCGTTGTCAGACACCATCAGTGTAGCATCATCTGCCTTTGCTTGTTTGGATTTCCTCCCTCTGGGTGACCTGGAAGTAAGCTTACTCCCTCCACGGACTGCATCCTCGTCAAACACTTGAGTTGCATCTTCATTCAACACTTGTGTCTCATCATTATCTGGTAGTTTCTTGGACTTTTTCTGTTTAGGTGATGGTTCTGTAACAGCTAGAGTTGCATCATCACCAAACACTTGAGTCTCATCGCTTACCACTTGCGTAGCATCACTTTCTGGCTGTTTCTTGGACTTCTTCTTTTTAGGCGATGGTTCATTAATAGCTAGGGTTGCATCATCACCAAACACTTGAGTAGCCTCATTACATTTTTCATTGGACTTTTCCTGTTCAGAAGGTTCACAAATAGCTACAGTAGCATCATCTCCAAACACCTGTGTAGCATCCTCATTCTGATTCTTGTCCGTTTTCTTCTTTCTTCCAGTTTGGGGTGCTGCTACTTGCTCTTCTTCAAACACTTGAGTAGCATCCGCGTCCCCAGCTGGCTGTACTACCTCCTTTTCAACCCCAGATCCCTCGGAGACATCCGGTCCTCCTCCTCCATGTCACACGCCAGCGTCGACGTCATTAACAGATGACTCACATCTTCGTCCTCCTCCTCGTCCTCTTCCTCCTCCACCTCAAACACCTGCGTTGGAACCAATCCAGCATCGTCAGGATCCTGTGTTTCAACAGACTTCTCGTCCTGAACTACGAAGCTTTGAGTTGAGCCAGACCCGCCAGAGTTATCTTTCTTGGTTTCTTTGAGTTCCTCCTCCAAGTCGTACGCAACTGTCGGGTCACTGCCACGACCTCTCCTCGAAGACTTCTTGGGTTCCCCATCTGTGTCCATATCATATTCAACAGTGGCACCACTCCCAGGAGCCTTCGGAGGCTTTTTGGATTCTCCTATGTCTATGTCATAGGCAAGGGTTGGAGCACACACCTGTCCTGAAGATTTTGTTTTCCCTGACTTTCTTCCTTTCTTCAGTCTCTCCTTTTCAACATCCATTTCATAAGCCATCGTCTGAAACCCAGTAATGGGTACAATTATCTCAACAACAAAAAATACAGCACAATGAGCCACACAGTCATGAGCAAGTAAATTAACAGAATATATGAATTGAACACCATTGGCTAACAGGACGATATGGCAAAGAACAACAATTATGCTAATGCATGGGTTTTACTTTTTCCATTTTGTATATCCCACTTTCATAAATAGCTGATGATTTCCAAGTAAAAAACACTCTTTCTTTAAATTATTGATGAACATACGATTCTAATGACCATGAAGAGCAAACTGAATTCATGTAGGGATACAATCTGATTCACCAAACACACAATTCAAGTTATCATAACCGCCCTAGTTCTTATGCAGGCTAATGTTGTAACTGGGACTGACCTGTCGAAAAGAACTGTTGGTAAAAACGTTAATCTCAAAAAGCATTGGCACAGTCTGGTACCTTGTATACTGGCAAGTGATTGGCGAGTCCTAGAATGAGCAACACCGACCTTGACGTCTCGATCTCCATCCTCTTCTTCTTCTCCCATTCCTCATCATTTTGAAGCACTGCCTGTGTTGGAGCATTCAGGTCAATGATACACGACCCGTCTGAGTCTGACTCGCTGTCCTGCACCACGGCCAGTGTCGGGGCAAACAGGTCGACCTTGGGGTCCTCCTCAGTGTCGCTGTCCAACAACCCACACGCCTGGGTGGCAGCACACATCAGGTCCTTCTTGTCAGCAGGATCCTCATCTGTACACACAAACACACAATCTCCATAAAATCTGATGATCTTTTGCCAATACAACATAAATACTACAAAATCCCTCCACACCCACGGGGGTACATTTCTGCATATGTATGTGGGATGTCATTAGACAAAGTTATCCATGACTCTGTATTGAGAAATTTCAAGATTGTTTGGTGCAGATTTGGTTTCCAGTCTTCAAATAGTTCATCTTACCTGTATTGGAAGTTAGAAACAGTAACTGAGCTCATACTAGTAACCAATAGTGTATGGTTGACAAGTCACAACAATTAGACATGACCCACAATATTTACAAAACAGCCCACATAAATGAGGACAGGTGGCCATAGGCCCACTTTTGAGAATGCCAGGAATGAATACTGTTCCAGCCTTATTGCACCTCACCCAAACACACCCCATTCAAAATGAACCTTCCACAAGTATGCAGCATGCTCTGGGTTTTAACCCCCCACCCCTATCGCTTTCTTATTCTTATTGTTAGTTCCTCTGGGGTGTTCTTTACACTTGAATTTACACTGATTGGGTTTCCTTTGGTTGTGTTTGGGGGTGGGGGTGGGTGGGTGGGGGTGTGTGTGTGTGTTATGAGGCCTGTAACATGACTGACTGACTGACTGACTGAGTTTGGTTTTACGCCGCTTTTAGCAATATTCCAGCAACATCACGGGAGGGGACACCAGAAATGGGCTTTACACATTGTACCAATGTGGGGATTCGAACCCGGGTCTTCGGCGTGACGAGCCAACGCTTTAACCATTAGGCTAAACCCCCCCCCCCGTAACATGAAGGAAACATGTTCTAAATTCAGTTTCCACTCAGCATTGAGAACAATCAGCAGAAGTGCAATATGTGAGAAGGAATATATATGATCAACCAGCAGAAATATGTAACAGGAGCACTTTGCTCACACTTCTGTAGAAACACAAATTATCAATCTTTACAAAGAGCACCTACCCTCATGAAAAGTGAGGTACGAGGTAGACGGCAAGAGTTACCTGCTCTTGGCTGTAGGGGGCCCTGTAGGGGTGGTCTCACAAGACAAAAACGAGTTTTTTGTTTCGAAAATATTTTTTATTAGAATAATGTTACAACTGTCGTAGGATTTTAATATCGACATTTTAATGCTTATATGTACCCCAAGGTGGACTTCTTCTGAAAAAGAATGAATCAATCTTTACAAAGAGCACCTACCCTCTTCTCCGTCTGTGTCGGTGTGTGACATGAAGGCCTGGGTCGGCGCACCCAACAGATCCTGATTGCCTGATGTGTCTTTCTCTGAAAATATTCAGACATGGCTCATCTTGAGAAAACCAAACTGAATCATCACAAGGTTTATATTCTGTTCCTTCAGGTGGACTTTTCCCTTAATTTGTTTGATGAAAACCAAAAAGACCACAAGGCTCTGTAGCTCACCTGATTTATATAATATTTCAAGACATTATGTTTAGTTTTGTTTCTTCTGAATATGTCTCCCTGTAAACAGTGTTAGCTAAGCTTGTCTCATCAGTCTCACAGGTAAGCATTTGAGTGAGAGAGTGAGTTTAGTTTTAGGCGGTATTCATAAAAGAACTTAAGTCTGAAATATGACTTAAGTTTTGAAAAACTAAGTTTTTCACTTTTTCTGACTTAAGTTTTCAGATTTTACTCAAGTCATATTCATAAAGCAACTTAGGCTTAAGTTTTGGTGATTTCCGACTTAAATCTTAAGACTGGGCAGGGGTAGGCTTAACTGGAAGGTGTTTGACTTAAGTCAGTAAACAATATGGCTGCCGAGCGCTGAGGCGCCGCTCATTTCACCAAAGAAGACAAAGTCTCGCTGAATACAGCGATGAAGAATTAATTCGGCGATACCGCCTAGATGGGAATGGCATTAGATTCGCCGCCAGTCTAATAGCCAGACGCTGAGCCCACAACCAGCTGTAACCACGCACTGGATGCCCCCAAAAAGACGCCATCACATTGAGGTGCTTTGCCACCGAAAATTTCAATAGTGCAATGCGGACGATCAAGGTGTCAGCCAGCCAACCATTTCCAGAGCTGTGAATGACTGCATACGAAGTTTGTCATCTGACAGGATTGTCAAACAGTTCGTTCGCTTCCCCTTCAACTTCGTGACATCAGGCGCCACCAGACCAACTTTTATCAGGTTGCAAACTTTCCGGAGTTGTGGGGTGATCGACGGAACGACATTCAGATTCAAGCCCCAACAGTAAATGAAAATGAATTTGTAAACCGCATCACTACCACAGCATCAATACACAGATCGCTTTCGATAGCTTAAGACAGGATAATTGACGTTGTCGCCGGTGGCCTGGATCGACACACGATTCACGATATTGACCAACAGCGGTCTCTACCAGTTGTTCGACCGTAATATTGTCCCCATTGGATGCCACCTTCTCGGTGACAGTGGTTACCCCTGTAAGAAGTGGCTACTAACCCTTTCCTAAGGCCATTGGCAGGACCACAAACAAACTACAACAGGTATGTAAACTCGCGGTAAAGTTGCCGATTGTGATCAGCAACGAGAGGGTGTCCCTTGTATTTACCTCGAATAAACATCGAGCAATCGTACTCATTACACATTATAGATCACAAACGTTATTACATTAGGCTGGATAACCGAAGCAAAATACAGTTTTCATAAAATACGAATTCTGTAATCAGGTTGTAGACATTTTATGAGTATGCTGAATATGACTAGAAATTATTTTCTTAAAACATCATAAACCACCTAAATAATCTATGTAAGTGTTACTGTATTATTAGGTTTTTTTCAGAGTTATTTACTGAATAAATGACAGTTTACAATGACAACACAAACAGTTTTTACTGTGCTGGAGGTTTATGATATTTTATTTCATAACCCAGATCGCATAAAAGAACTAGGAGCAGTGTTGAAAGGGCCATTGGCCAATTCAAGCGCAGATTTCCTGTTCTTCATGGGGAAATCAGGTTAAAACCTCAGAAGGCTTGCAAGGTAAGAAAAATATAATCAACAACAGTTATTTCTTTAGCACTGTTTACTTGCCACATAAATAATACAAATAAACTGACAAGGTAACAAAGCTAAATGGCAATATGATTAATAAATTACAATTTTGCAAGATGTATGAATCACTGAAAATATGAAACTATATACATATATATATATTACTATATATCACGAATATGATATGGGTTGTCATGAATTTCTGTTTACTGATGCTATTGAAAATATGTAAAAGGCAATACAGTAGTTCATCATCTCAAAATGTATACTGCATGGCCATGTCTATACTGACTTTTGTATCTAAATTTATTATTTTCCATTTATCACTAATTATTCCATATTTCAGGTAATCATAGCATGTGCTGTCCTTCACAACATATGCAAGGACAGAAACATTCCATTACCACCCACAGATGGGCATGATGGATTTGGAAGGCATGATGGGCAGAATGGAGGTCTACCAGGAATCACTACACCAGTGGCTGCACTGAGATATAGAGAGCACTTCGCCAATACAAACTTTCCATGTAAGATGATTTTAGGATCTTCTATCATAGTGTCAGAGTTAGAACTATAAATGGTAGATTCTGTTATTACATTTGATACAGACAATCCTCTCCAAAACAAAATTAAGTTTTATCACTCATACTATTAATACATTCTACACGATAGCTTTATTTATTTGTAATATTGTATATTCCCTTAGCTTCATGTGTACTATTGACAATTTAATTTCTGTTTGGCTAAAGGCCCCACAATAGTTTTTCTAACAGAATCTGTTTTATCCTTATATTAGACAGAGAATGATACACCTAATACCCAAATATGTAAATATTTCTGATTTTCAGCAAGTACATTTATGGCAGTTTAAGCTAATTCAGTTTCATGATTTTATGTTTTAGGTATTCCTTTTTCAATGTGAGGCATTCTATTTCCAGCTGCAATTTCTGTTTTAACAGAGCTTCCACTGTGTGGCATCTTGGAGCATCTGGATGGACTGCTGGCTCCTCAGGACCCATTCTGGCTCCCTCTGGCTGTGGATGGGGGTCACACATGGCTTCATAAATCTGTCTAAAAATAAAATGATAGAAATGTGCATGTAATTTTCATATAAATGTTCTTTCAATTTTAACAAGCCTGTTGTTTTGTGTTATTACAATTAGATATAAAAAACCAATAACAGTTGTTCATTACATATATTTATCATAACAGACAGTGCAGTTAAAGCATACCAAAAATACATGTATGTATGAACACATTTATGCACAAGTGAGGTGATGATATTCTAACCAAAAGGTACCTCATATCATTCATATTTACCTGTCATCGGTTGGTACCAAGTCAAGTACCTGCAGCATTGTTGAGTCGACTGACCCAGGCACACCTGTCAGTGCCACATTGTTCTGGCCTAAAGTGTCAATGACAGCATCGGTCACTGGGCTGATTGGTGTTGGTGCTGGTCCACCTCCTGCATTAAAATTTAATCACAATTATTAATTTGATTTCTTTTATTTAAAATAACTTCATATATTTATGTTCATTGGAATAGGACAATCACTATTCCATTCAGGATCACATTTTTTAAATATTACCCTTCATACAAGAAATACAACAACAAAAACACAGGGACGATTGTTACTGATTATTGATCCATCAGTAATAACTTATTTGTTAAGACAATTGACAGAAGACTGATAGATATCATTTAATACCCGTGACTCATATACAGGATATATTAACTGAAGAAAAGTACTTGCCTGTTCCTCTAGTCATTCTGCTGAACTCAGAATACTTCCGTTTTGATTGACTCTTTATGTTCTTCCACTTTTTCTCTACCTCTTCTTTAGATCTGGGATGCAGACCAGCGGAGTTGATGGTTGCTGTAATAACCTGTTGAGTTGAATGAAAACTGTCAACCTTTATTATGATATACATATGTTACTATCTGCTTATGAATTACTATGTCATGACCATAACTTGTTAGAAATCAACTATATGTATTATGATTGTGGACAAATAAGAGGCAGAGCATTTGGGAGAAAGGATATTTTTATAAAATAGGATTTCCTAATTATTTTTATAAAATGTAGGATTTCCTATTTTTTTAATTTTCCATATATTCTTGAAATCAATTGTTCTAAAGTTGATTACACTTATGATGATAATACTTTTAATAGATATCACTCAAAGCTTTCATATTTAGTCATATATTTATAAACAAGGATTTCCTAAAAAAAATTTATAAAGTAGGATTTCCTATTTTTTTAAATTTTCCATTGTTAGTAAACAAAACACAGGAAATTTTACAAATATTCCTGACACTACATGCTGTAGCCTCATCAAACTATTTATTTGTATGAGGTCATGTTCTCTTAAAGAAACTTTTTCGTTCATACATGTTTCTTTCCCTCGTCGTGTGACCTCGGCTAATCATCACCTACACTCACTACATTTTTCCAGTGTTTAATGCATTTTGGGCTGTTTCATAGGAGTACCAATGTAATTCAGAAAAGAGAACAGAAAATCGTACTAATTCAAAACAAATAAAATTATGTGTTGCACGTAGTCTAAGACATTTCTGTATTCTTGACTACACCTTGACAGTCGGACCCAATATCTACATTACCTGCCACGCTTCTTGCCGCTTCGCCACGACGCCACCAAACTTCCTTTCCAACACTCTGGCGTTTGTTTTCACGAAGTTCTGTCAAAAGCAGGACCTCGCCTTTAGTCCAATGAGGTTTTCTTCTTTATCTCAGACTCAGACATATTTTTCACAATGTATTACCGCTGGTATCTCAATGTGTCGATCTCGTCAGAATAGCAAAAGGGAGATCCCAACGAAAGCCATTTTCACACCTTTTATAAAAGAGTTCACCGGAAGTCTAAAAATAACTCAGATTCACCCTAGTGATCACGCTGGTATGCACTTCTTAAAAAACTTAGTTTGTCTTTGGAAACTTAGCTAAGTTTCTGACTTAGTAGCTTTATGAATAGCATCTTAAGTCTCAGACTTAGCTAAGTCAGTTGTAAAAACTGAAGTTTGGACTTAGGAAAATCTTAGTTTCTTTATGAATACCGCCCCGGTTCGCCTTAGACCCATCACTGTCATCTTCTGCATCGGAATCTGGCAGCACCAGGGTTGAAAGGTCGGCTAAGGAAGCAAAGAATTATATTTATCTGAGGATTGATGTCATACAACACTTCACAGACAGGCAAGATACTGTTGCCACTTATGGATGTGTAGTGAATATACAGTGAAACCTGCCTATACCGGCACCTGTCTAATCCGGCACACTGTCAAACCGGACTAAAAGTTTGGTCCCATCATTTTACAACGATATTATGACCATTAAAAAGATTTCTAATCCTGTACCAGCCTATTCCGTATTCCAGCACGACATTCTGGTCCCAACAAGCAATTTTAACTTTAATTAACACTGTCTAAACCGGCATGGGTATGAGCAGTCCAATCAAGGTCCCTTAATCCAATACACTCCTCTCGGCACGCTAGATAATCAGGAAGTAGTGATTGCCTGCTGAATCAAACGCTCGTAGGATTACCGCGGTTATGCTTTATAAACACTGGGGGATCATCAACATTGTTTTAATTTGTTGCACAATTACAAAAGATCAAAGGCATTATCGAGATAAAGAGATTGACGAGTGTAAATGGCAGCCATGTTGGAAAATGATCGTCACTGTCTAATCCGTCACCCTGTCGAAACTGGCATTATATTTCGGTCCCGTGGGGGCTGGTTTAGAAAGGTTTCACTGTAGCTACATTACAGATTCTACATGCTGGAGATCTGTGCTTCTTTGTTGTTCAATGCCACACTCGGGCTATACAATAGCGGCCTTTAAATAACTGAAACTGGACATGGTAATCCAGTATATCCAGGTATTGTGAGCAGTGATGTTTGACATGGGGTACGATCACATGCATCCATCACCAACCCCAACAAGCCAGTCCATTGGTTGCTTCTGACAATCATCATAGATTTGGTTGGTTGGTTTGTTGTTTAACGCCACACTTAGCAATGTTCCAGCTATATGGCGACGGTCTGTAAATAATCGAGTCTGGACCAGACAATCCAGTGATCAACAGCATGAGCATCAATCTACACAATTGGGATACAATGACATGAGTCAACCAGGTAAGGGAGCCTGACAAACCGATCCCGCTAGTACCCTCTTACAAGCATGGGTTGCTGAAGACCAATTCTAGCCTGGATCTTCACGGGTCTAATTAACATGGACTGTTGGGGACCAATGATTTCCCAGTCAACCTGTGCTTGTCATAAGAGGAAATTACATCCCATTCTGACACTTTAAGCATGCAGAGAAGTGATTGAGAGGGATGTCTGTCACCTACCTGACTGATTATTCTTTGGCAACGGCGTCTCCCCGACTGTCAGATCACCTGCAACATGGCCTACAACACAGATTCTCTTATATAGAGGTGTGCACCAGCAAATGATCTTGTCTTGTTTCAATCTCATTATAACAAGAAGACAAAGTCATCAATATCCCCTGCAATGACAAAATACTCTTCATGATTATGTCTACGAGTTATGATTATGTCAAATATTTAGGTGTGTATATAGAAAAGTGGAAGGAGAGCATTGAAAGGAGCACTATCACCAATTTCAGGCTCAGTCAAACTTGTTGCCATGGAAACGCCCAAAAATATTTTATTCAGAATTCCAAAACTACCAAAAGGCACCAGTACACCACCAGACCAATCTATGTGCCAAGTTTGGTGAAGAAATAGTGAACGGTTTTAGAGTTCTGCTCCGGAAAAGAGCACAACCACCAATTTCAGTCTATGTCAAACTTGTTGCCATAGAAACGCCAAAAATATTTTATTCAGAATTCCAAAACTACCAAAAGGCACCAGTACACCACCAGATCTATGTATGTGCCAAGTTTGGTGAAGAAATATTGAATGCTTTTAGAGTTCTGTCTCCGGAAAAGAGCACTACCACCAATTTCAGTCTAAGTCGAACTTGTTCCCATGGAAACGCCAAAAATATTTTATTCAGAATTCCAAAACTGCCAAAAGGCACCAGTACACCACCAGATCAATTTATGTGCCAAGTTTGGTGAAGAAATATTGAATGCTTTTAGAGTTCTGCTCCGGAAAAGACAAATGTGCACGGACGGACGGACGGACGGAGTCCATTTTAATACCCCCCGCAAAACGCGTTGAGGGGGATAACAATAACTTACCATGGGTATCAAATATTCATAAAACATACAGAGCGGCCTTTTAAGTTTCCATTCAGAACTGCCAGTTTGTGTTCATTTTCGAAAATCAGAAATCAGGTTTGGGGCTCACATTTCAGCATTTCAAAAGCCAAGAAGATGATTGGCTTGTTAAAAAATTCACCTGTCATATACAGGGATTTACAGGACATGAATTCCTGCGTCCTATACGCATAAAAACCGATAACTGACGCAACAAAATTGATTAGCACGTCCACAGACACACAGAAAAAGTCCAAATATTTTTTGTACTGCTACTAGCCGGGTCATGGTATCTTTTGCAATTTAATCACTGTAACAATGTGCTGACCATGATACACAATACAATAACAGTAACTGAATTACAACAATATTACAACATAGCATTAATAATGATAATTAAGTGTCTGGGACCCAAATTTTGTAGTCCAGGACCGCTGAAAATTAAGAGTATGAGTGCCAGGGACCCTCAAAGACAGGACTTGAGGTAAACCCCTGCATTTAAATGTTTCAATATGGACTAGCATAGAGTGATCGTGACCAGACAACATGTTACTGGACTTGGGCATCAGACAAGAGTGTTTGAGGGTTCGTGGCTCACCTGGACTGTCTGTCACACACCTCTGTGTGGGCTCCAGCATTCGGCTGCTGGTCCAGGAGGGTATAGTACTGGAAGGCTGTGGATGACAGTATCAATACTAAGTACTTCTCACACTACCTCATTAACCCAAGGGGGTGGTGGGTAGCCTAATGGTTAAAGTATTTGCTCGTCACGCCGAAGACCAGGGTTCAATTCCTTACATGGGTACAATGTGTGAAGCCAATTTCTTGTGTCCCCCGCCGTGATATTGCTGGAATATTGCTTAAAACTTGCGTAAAACTAAACTCACACTGTGTCACTCTCTATTCAGCAGAGATTCTTAGATGGTATTAGAAAACATGAAAGTAAATACATAAACTTATCTACGTTTCTTCAAAAGACAACATACTTTAGCCCAAGTCTGCTGAAAATTGGCTTATCTCCCAAACTAGAATGACAGATGTTCATGTTATAAGCTTTAACTGAAGAGTCTTACACTACAGATATACAAATCATATCATATATGTGGCTTGCTTGAGTGCAGTATAAGTTAAATGTCACTTTGAACAATATTCCAGTTACATCAGTGGAAAGACCTAAGCAATGGAAGTGTTGGTTGGTTGTTGGTTGGTTGGTTGGCTGACTGTTTAACATTGCACTCGGCAATATCCCAGCTATATGGCAGCAGCCTGCAAATAATTGAGCCTGGACCAGACAATCCAGTGATCAACAGCATGAGCATCGATCTACGAATTGGGATATGATGACATGTGTCAACCAAGTCAGCGAGCCTGACCACCCATTCCCGTTAGTCACCTCTTACGACAAACATGGGTTCCTGAAGACCAATTCAAACCTGGTTCTTCATAGGTAGATGCAAGTGTGGGACATTTATCACTTTGATGAAACCCACAAGCACTGACAGGTCCCTGACAAACCTAGAAACACATTTAGGGACCTATCAAGCACAGTTCCATTTAAGGGCTTTCCTGCAAATGTTTTATATTATTCCAATTGTCTGTCAGTTCAGAAAACATTGATAAATTAGTCATAAAGGCTCTAATTTGTGAAAAAAAGGTACAAGCATCTGCACAATATGTTTCTGCAGAATTCATGAAACTTAGTTGAAGAATTTAACAAAAATTACTGTAGAATTTGGGTAGATTGGGCTGGGGAATTCAGTGACCTATATTTGGAGGCTATGACATACCTGTGTAGGCTGAAGGATGTCGCTGCTGGCGTCACTCATGTCATCATTTCCTGTCTCGTCCAACACTGGGTTGACATCCGCACTGCCGGTTGCCATGACAGTCTGCAGCATTGACTCTGACCCAGTGTCAGAGCCAGAGTCGTCAACATGAGACACCTTCAAAACAGTTACCATGGTTACATGTACACAAACACTCTGATTTACATGCTTAACTCACGTACATATATAACAAAACTAACAGTACATCTAGCTGCGATAGTTCAAAGGAGCAAGTGAGTGAGTGAGTGAGTGAGTTTTGCCAAACTCATAAATATTCCAGCTATATGGCAGCGGTCTGTAAATAATCGAGTCTGGACCAGACAATCCCGTGATCTATAGCATTAATTGGGAAACGATGACATGCGTCAACCAAGTCAGCGAGCCTGAACACCCATTGCCGTTAGTGGTCTCTTACGACAAGCATGGGTTACTGAAGATCAATTCTAACCCGGATCTTCATGGGTTTAGTACCCCCTGGGACTGATAAAACTTAACCAAACCTGCAGAGGTTTTCAATTCTTTGAAGAGAGTCGTCCTTGGGGTACATATTATGCATTTTCCGGCTGAAAAATGTCCTGTGACAGTTGTATCAATGTTTTTTGAATAAAAAGATTGAACAATAAATAAACTCTTTTATTTATTATACGGCCCCTACCTCACGGAGTTACCTCCCTTAGCGCATGCGCATCAACTGGGTAGGCTCCTAGACCCGTATCATCATTCCTTCTGCTGAATATATCAGTGAACAGAATTGCGGGGAGGCGGGAGGCCCTACCCCAAGGACGACTCTCTTCAAAGAATTGAAAACCTCTGCAGGTTTGGTTAATTCTTTTTCAGAGAGATCGTCCTTGGGGTACATATTATGCATAAACACAGACTCCCAAAGACCGGAGGCCAGGGAGGAGGGAATTCTGTCCAAGCACACACAAATATAGCGATCGTATCATGGAAAAAAATTGAACAGACGCCTTTATAACACTCACCTGTCACTTGTCCCAGTTTCGCTTCGCCAGAGGCATTATGGGAGGGAACTGACAGGGAGGAATTGTGCTCAAAGACGCACCTCTCTAGCATAATGAGACATTGCACGTAGTGCTTAATGTCAATGAATCCCCACCCACTAAGTGGCTACATGAGAGCAACCGTGAGGGGAATGCAAAATACCACTTACACTAACGATATAGTAACCCGTGAGAGAATCGAAGGGGTACAGGTTCTCTGAGTGAGCTCACAGTAGCAGACATGTCAATAATGGAATTATTGTACAGTAGCGCCAAAACAAACCAATAAACCAAGACTCACTCGGTCAGGGTGGCAGGACACTGTCCACTGGAAAGAACAGTACGTTAAAGCTCGCACGACACGTGGAATGCGTGACGAGCTGATAATGGCGTATAAACGTGCTTGGCCGGCTCCAAATAGCGGCGGAGCAGATCTCTTCAATGGGGAGTGCCGATGCAAAAGCTTTTGAGGCGGCTACTGCCCTGACCGAGTGAGCCTTCAACCCCTCAGGGGAAGGCTTGCCCTTAGCCTGATAAGCGGCACAAATACACGAGACTAGCCAGCGAGACAAAGTCTGCTTGCTCGCTGGCAGACCAGCCTTCCCGCCACCGTAACAACAGAACAGCTGGGTACCCGTACGGATCCCCTGCGTTCGTTTGATATAGACTTTGAGCGTCTTACGGACATCCAACGGGTGAGTGCTCGTAGGAAGTTCGATAGGAGCTGTCACATGGAAAGCGTGATCGACCTTCGGTCGGTAAGTATCTGGGAGGCGAATACTGACACGATCCGTGTGAAACACAGTCAGCCCGGTCGGACGACATAGCATGTAAATCGCCGACCCTTACGACCAGACGTTACCGCCACCAGAAAAACAGCTTTCCAGGTCAACAACTGAATGGAAATAGCCGATAGGTGTGAGAAAGTGGGACCGGACAGCCAATCGAGCACGATCGACAAATCCCAAGGTGGACTGGTTCGCCTGAGAGCAGGTCGAATCCATTCCGCGCCAGCGAAAGCGCCTGTACGAGAGGGTGCTGCCCCAGAAGAGCACCATCGACAGGGGTGTGAAAAGTGGAAATAGCGGTGGAGTAGCCGCGAATGGTCGGCCGCCAGGCCTTCTTCCAAACGAGCTTGCAAAAACTCCAATACTCGGACTAAATCCGCAGAAAAGGGATCTGCAATCCCCTTATCTGAACACCAGCGCCAAGCATAGCGGGACCACCTATCCTCGTACTGAACGCTTATTCGAATCCAGCCTCGGCCAGAATTGTGTCTGCAACTGCTGCAGGAATTCAGCGTGCCTCGAGGTTAGACCTGACAGAGGCCAAGCCACCCACTGAATCCGTGGATTTGGGTGGGCCCGCTCCGAGTAGTGAGAATGTCCGTCGCAAAGGTAATAGAACAGGAGGCTGAGCCAGAAACCTGAGAATTACCGAAACCAGCTCTGTGACGGCCAAAGCGGTGCCAGTAGCACAAGTAGCCGAAGCTGGCTGGGTGGACAGCTGTGAAAGGACACGGGAATGAGTGGTAACGGCGGAACGCTTCCAGAGCACTTTTGCCCGTCCAATCCAGCAGGAAGGCGCCGGCAGCCAACGCCCCTGGGTCCGTATCCGAGCAGAACACGGTGTCTGATGCGCCCCGCCGGACGCAAACAGATCCACCTCGAACGACTCGGCACAACTGGGAGATTACTGTGAATATCTGCCTGTTGAGCATCCACTTGTCAGGGCCAGGATCCGCCGAGAGAGCGATCTGCTCGCAAGACGCTCTCCAGCCCCGGAGATAAACAGGGAGTACCTGACAATCGCATTCGTTCGCACCAGAGGAGAAAGTCCCACGCTCCAGAGGAGCTGGGGACACCGTGCCTCCACGCTTCAGGATGTACGACATGGCCGCCTGGTTGTCTAACTGAAGACGGACACACGACATGCTCTCTGAAGCGCTTGAATACCAACCGCGACAGCTCTCAGTTCCAACACGCTGATGTGAAGGTGGTCTTCGACCAGAGTCCGGAAGCCGACAGACTGCCCAGAACACCCCCAGCCCGTGAGGGACGATCGGGTCTGAACTGTGAGAGCTGGCGCCGGATTTCCAAGGGGAACCCCTGGTGAGATTCCCGACATTTGTCCACCACTGAAGGTGAGGTGTCAACCACTGGGACTGTGAGACTGGCGCCCAGATCCTCCGGTGAGTCCACAGCCGAGCCAAAGCTTGCTGTATGGGGACGATCTCAACCAGCTACCGCCACACTACAGAGAGATCGCCGCCATATGGCCCAGTAGACGGAGCCAAGTCCGAAGCTGGTGCCTGGGGCTGGGAGAGGAATGAAGATACCATCTCCGAACTCTGGTGACCTCGGTCGGGCGACAAGGAAACGAGATCCTTGTTCGCTTTGAATCGCGCCCAAGAAAAACCAAGTCCTGGGTGGGTACCAGGTCGGATTTCTTGAGGTTGATGATCCACCCCAGTCGAGTTAGAATGTCTATCACTGTGTGAGTAGCATCTTGACTCGCTGGCTGTGTTAGTGCTCCGGAAAGCAACCAGTCGCTCTAGGTAAGGGTAACAACGCCTTTCTTCGCGAGCTGCAGCTAGGGTAGCTGGGACTAACATGAGCTTGGTGAACACCCTTGGGGCAGTCGATATGCCGAAGGGGAGCACCCTGAATTGGTAATACATCCCGTCGTGAAGAGAACCCGAAGGTACTGCTTGAACGATGGATGTATGGGTACATGCAGATACGCGATCCTTTAGGTCGCATTGACGGAGCCAATCGCCGGGCTGAACAGATGAGATCACCGAAGCAGTGTCTCCATCTTGAAGGATGGTACTCGAGCATGCGATTCAACACCTTGAGGTTGAGAATCGGACGGAACCCGCCGCCTTTCTTCGGGACGAGGAAGTACGTGGAATAAAATCCCGCCAGTTCCTTCCCCGTGGAATGCGCCGATTGCGGACTTGTCCAGCAGAGCCTGAACTTCGTCGTTTGTAGCAATATGTCCGCCTCTGGCTTGACATGACGGCACCGGAGTGCGAATGATGCCGGTAAAGTCGGGCGGACCTCGCCTCCACAGTGGGGAGATGGCCTATGCTGACCGTGGCCAGCACCTGCTGTTGTTGGTAGCCTTCTCCCATTCCGGCAGGAATAGAGAGAGGCGCCTCCCACTGGGATATGGGGTAGGAGCCGGTGTGTAGACCCGAGTAGCGGAGCTGACTGGGCGTGACACACGGCTTGAGCCGCAGCCTGATGGGTTAACGGGAGGTCGGGCAGACCTCCCGCTCGCCAAAAGGCTGGGAGCTAGTCGAGGACTGCTCCTTGCCCCTACCCTTGGCGGACCTGTGCCTCCCGCCTCGGCACTACCCCTACCAAGCGGCCGGCCAGCCGCCAGACTCGGGTGTAGGCTGCACCCCGGCGGAGGAAGGTGGCACCGGAGCCGGGGGCAGACACCCGCTGGTGCTCCAACAAGGCCTTAGAGTCCTTGAAGGAGGTCGCTGCAGCGCAGCCTCCCCGTGATGACCTGCTGGGCCCCGGAAAGAGGGTCGCCCAAGACGGAAAGGGAGGGCCAGCAAGGTCTGCTGTGTTGCTGCCGAAGTACCTAGACGCCGACAGCCACAGCCTGCACATCCCCATGACTGCGCATTATCACCGCCGACGCAGCAGACCGCAAAGAGTCGCGCAGGTGAGCCTGAACTTCCAAAGCTGACGGAGCAGCATTCGACATTACGCGCGGCGACACGCCGCCAGCATGCCTCCTCCGCTTCCAGGGCCGACCTCTGAACCGAGGAGAGGTAGGCCTCATGGACCACCACCCGCACCTGCTGCATCGCTGTTCCGTAGACCCCTCGTAGGTCCGCACGCTGCGTCGCAGGGGATTCCGCCGAGGGCAAAGGTGGAGTAAGGCGCCTTGCCGAAAGCAGCCGAGCTGCCCGAGGAAGCCGCCTTCCCCCAGGGCTTACGGAAGTGAACACACATTCGCCTACAATTGGCACAACTAACAGGAATCCTCCCAAGTTGGTAGCGCCGAGACGGAGATCCGTAAGTCAAACCGCATCGGGCACCAGACAAGAGGGATCGACCACGCCCGGAGACCAACGAAGGCAGAATGCGGAGCTGCGCTCTGGCGAGGGTTGCCTAGGGCAAACGCCCGCCTGGCAAGCTGAACTCAGTCGAAGTCCACGCAACCAGCAGGCACCGCGCCTGGGTAGGCCTCGGCAATTCTCTGCCGGACCTCCCGCAGCGACGGCAAAACGGAAGCCGCCCGCCAGGGTCCTCAACCTCCCTAAGCTCCATTGACTGGCGCTCGAGCCCGAAGTCCGAGGCTGGTCTCCTCCGTAAGAGGACCCTAACCCCGACCCGGTGGACTGCCTAGCTTAGGAACCACAGGAAGGGAAGAACAGACAGACGGCTCCATCGCCAGCGCCAGCCGGCGCGCGTGGACCCCCGTCTCAGACGCTGGAGGCAGGCCAGGCAGAACTGGTGCCTCTCGGCTCATGGGGCGCGGTGTGCGCAAGGACCGGAATACCAGGAATACTCAACAGTCCCTGCGCTTAACTCCGAGGGGACTGGGAGCACCTCCTCTCCGAGCAGCCGAAGGCGCCCGGATCCGAAGCCAGAGGCAACGGATCTACAGACGCCTCAAGGCTGAGGGATCGAGCCGAGCCCGGGCGATCCCACCCCTCGACTCTCGCCCCGCCCGGAGTGGGTGAGGAACTCCTGCCGGAGACCTCCAACCGACTCCCGAACGAAGGACTTCACGGAGGCCATATGCTGCTGAAACATAGATTCCATTACCGACATGTCAAAACCACTCGAAGTGGTAGGAGAGGGGGAAGGGCCTCGGGATTTTTTCCCTTTTTACGCTCGCTTTGTTTTAGACGGGGACCTGCGCCAGGTCCCCTAAAACAACGATCTCAACGATAAAACAACGATCGACCGCCTCTTCTGGGCCCGGGGAAAAGGCCAGACAAATAGGGCAGGAATCAGCGTCGTGTCCCGTCTTCTCGAGACAGGCAACGCATAGCTCATGCCTGTCGGCCCGTGGAATTTCTCTCTGTCCACAGACCGAACAGGATGAAAAGGCCTGAAAGCAAACACGCAAGCATGTAGCTAACAGCGGCCAGCAGCATATAAACACGTAGAAAACATTGAAAAATACGTGAAGGTTACCACGGAAAGTAATAGTTGGTTTTAATACGCAATATTACGACCACATGGCACGCTAATCTTCCCGCCATGGCAGAGCAACACGTGCGTAAACCACGGGAAAGTTCGCGTATTTTGTATTAATACAAAGTCACAAATATAGCTGCGAGCAGCGATGTAGGGCTCCTTGGCTTTACTTCTTTGGAGCCTTTTGCATCTCTCACATATCTCATGAATGTAGTAATGGTAGTAGTTAATATGAATCATATCACTGCTAGTCGAATGCTCTTCGACTGGAAGTACTGGGAGGTCATTAAGTTTCGATAAACTCATCACAAAACCTATTTTCGTACATTAAATAATATCACTTAGGTATCATGAATATCAAAACAGAAGAACCCTTTGTTCAAACAGTCAGAGAAACAGAAAATTTTGTGGCCTCAACTATATAATTTGAAAGGTTCACTGTGACTGACATTATGTGAATCTAAATGTACGCCACATGTAGCTGACAAGTCGTGATGACTCGATTATTTACAGACCGCTGACATACAGCTTGAATATTGCTGAGTGTGGCGAAAACTAAACTCACTCACACTCACGCCACGCTAAGTGAACTTGTGATTACACAGCAGTTAAGGCACTTCAGTAGTTTTGCATCAGTATCCATTACACTGTTACACTCGATCTGTTGCAACTGAATTCGCTAATCGAGAGCAGGTATATATACTGGAAATACACCTAAACTCGATACAGGTCACCTATGAAGTTTTAAAATCCATGCAAACAGCAATCAATTGTTAGCAAAAGCGTGATACTCTTCGGCATTGCAAAGTCGGCTTCTGGTCGTTGTTGAACGATTTTACTAGCTTACTTCAGCTAGACCAGAGTTTCCCCTTAGACCACAGCTACAACTTTTACCCTGACCCGAACGCTTCAATCATTGACAATCTTTAAATACTGCCTAAAGACATAACCCTTACAAAAGATTGAATTACAATGAAGGAATAGCACCTGTACTGCAGTGTATTTTAATTTTGTGTAGCTAGCTCTCGCCATTGTCAATTGAAATTTACATCGCCTCCCATATCTGCACGGACCACGCTTTGCAGTGGTAGTCTCTTTATAGGAGATATCGCCCTTATGCCTTCCTTCAGACTGTCGATGCTTTGCACGGGTAATCTGCCGCGGCCGTGAAATGTCGATGAAACTTATGACACATTCGGCAATGTATCCCTGGGCCGCCGGTGATATAAAGAAGTCCCTATTTCGTTAAATCTGCCCAAACTTTGGGTTTTGAATGTAAGCATTATTTATGATGACTGGTACGTTGTTGGAAGACTTTTGCGTGACGTTTCGCTGTTCTGCCTGGAGTTGAGGGTCAGTTTGTTTGGCACTCTTTTCTTTCATTTGGGGCACGCCTCAAACAGTTTTTTCCCTTTAGCTCCCATACGTTTTATCCACATGGATAATGTTGAACAGATGTTTTGATCAGTAAATTTTATGGCTTCTTCAAAGTTTGAAAGCCGTAGCTTTGCAGGGTCTTTTGACATAGGACCAAGAACAGAAAATGTTCAACAACCAAAGGCAACTTCAGAACAAGCGCTTAAAGTGTTGTATGTGGTAAGTTTCGCTTTGGCACAAAATAGCAAAGTAGCCCGTGTAAGTTTTGAAGACAACTTTTGCCCAAAAGTAGCGTCCAATATGGCGGCCATCATATAAACATAGGCACATTTGACGATGCTACTGTGTAGAAACATGCATAGAAACAAAGTATGCAACGCTTGAAAGCCGTAGCCCTTGTAGTTTTAGTGCAGCACATTTTGGGAGGTATGCAGTCAGGATTTTGCTGAAAACATCAACAAAAACTTCAATCCCAAATAGCGCCCAAACGGTGCATTTTAGCTTAATTTGAGCCGGCCCAGGCTAAATTGTAGGCATTTTGATTGGCGATCTGCTCAAGAACTTTGGCACACATTGGAGCATTAGTTTTGGAGATATTTGAATTTGAAATTGAAATTTTTGAATTAATTTTGAATTATCTGCCCTTTGCTATTGGGCCTACAGCCTAGAGATTTTAAAGCGCGATATCTACACCTCGGTGGGCATCTGGGTGATTTTTGTCAAGGCATTCTGTCCAGCGGTGCTCTCTGTAGCTCTGTTACAAAATACGGTGGAAGAATAAATAATAATAATAATAATAATAAAAACACGAACGATTACAATAGGTCTCCTGCCTAAAGGCAAAGGAGCCCTAATTAAAAATCGTTATTTTTGAGTTTTTCGGGGTTTTGACCCCGGAACTTGATAGTATGTCAAAAATGCTTTCTAATGGTCAAGGTCACCAAGGTCACGGGGGTCAAGGTCATTTGACTGGTCCGTCACAAGACAAAAACACGTTTTTTGGCGAGCTAAGACGCCGTTGTTATTACCTCTAGGGTGACAGGAATTAGTGTTTCTGTTTTGCCCAGACCCGATGTATCATATGCGCCGGTCAGATTTAGTGACAAATATGTCCGCCTACTGTCCGCATGTCTGTCCGCCAAAATACTGTATAGTTAGTATCTCCGAACTATGAAACGCACAGATTTGAGCTTTTGCACACAGCATTCCCTTGACTGTGCCTAACGATGATGTAAAAATCAAGTCATTTGAATTTCAACTTTTGTTGCTATGGCAACCTGATAAATGAAAAACTTCAATCCAAGATGGCGGCCAAACGGCTAGAGATATCGCTCTGGGACAACAGACAAAAATGATCGGCATCTCATGACCAAGTCACATACCAAATATGGAAGCGATTGGGGCAATAGTGGTGGAGCTATATGCTGTTTTATGCCGTTTTGGACTCGTGAATGCATTTCTGCAATTTTCAATGCCATATGGCCGACAAACGATCAAACTTTTGATATGCATGTAAGAACACGAAATGTTAAGCATCTTATGTTGATGCATACTGCCAAGTTTTACTGCCTTCTGTGCAGAACTTGAGAAGCTATGCTGTTTATAATGTAGTATCATCAGAATCTGACTTAATTCCAATATGGCCGCCAAGCAATACATATTTTGACATACACCCAAGAACGAAAAATGTTCAACACACTTAGTTACTATGTACTGCCAGATTCTAGCTGCATAGTTGAAATAGTTATGACGCCGCGCATTTTTGAAAATACATTTTAGTACAAAATAAACAACAGAAGCAAACATCTAGATATCCGTAACTAATCAAGATATCGCAACATAGCTTATGGGCATTAATATTTGAGGTATATATTGTATATCTGCACATTTACAGCGCTCTGCAGTTCATACATTCACAGTTATGGATTGCGTAAAAATGCCTACCCAACAAAATCTGCAAATTTCCGATAAACATCTTCAATCCAATATGGTCGCCGATCACGTGATTCTTTGACATAGGACCAAGAACAGAAAATGTTCAACAACCAAAGGCAACTTCAGAACAAGCGTTTAAAGTGTTGTATGTGGTAAGTTTCGTTTGGCACAAAATAGCAAAGTAGCCCGTGAAAGTTTTTGAAGACAACTTTTGCCCAAAAGTAGCGTCCAATATGGCGGCCATCATATAAACATAGGCACATTTGACGATGCTACTGTGTAGAAACATGCATAGAAACAAAGTATGCAACGTTTGAAAGCCGTAGCCCTTGTAGTTTTAGTGCAGCACATTTTGGGAGGTATGCAGTCAGGATTTTGCTGAAAAACATCAACAAAAACTTCAATCCCAAATAGCGTCCAAACGGTGCATTTTAGCGACTGTTCCTTGTTTAAGGCAAATAAAGACCATACATACAGGTGGTGTCTCAGACATAGCTTTCTTATTAGCTTTCAGCGCTGTCCGGCTCATGAAGTGCGTTCTATTACAAAACACGTCTGTTCACGGCAGTGACAGCAGAAGGAATGATGATACGGGTCTAGGAGCCTACCCAGTTGGTGCGCATGCGCTAAGGGAGGTAACTCCGTGAGGTAGGGGCCGTATAATAAATAAAAGAGTTTATTTATTGTTCAATCTTTTTATTCAAAAAACATTGATACAACTGTCACAGGACATTTTTCAGCCGGAAAATGCATAATATGTACCCCAAGGACGATCTCTCTGAAAAAGAATGGTAGGGCTGCTTACTGCTTGGAATTTTGTATTCTATATTGTCACACATACTGCAATGTATTGCCATTAACATTATGTTTTCTTCCACTCTAAAAATGCCTTTCATTTCACTCAACAAATTTATAGTCTTCTCTCCTTTTGATGGATTCATTGTTTAGTCAACAGGCTAGGGTTGACCTTTTATTTATGTGGCTTTTCAATTTCCATACCTTTCTGTATGTATTTTATCATTATTCCACATGTTAAAGGGCAGGAACAAGGTGATTATCCAGCAGTGCATACAAAACATACAGGTTAATGAGATTAGCTGTACTGTGGTGATTTGATTGTATATTAATATCACAAAATAAAAGGAATACATCTGTAAACTATCAATACATCAACCAATTTTGTTTGACACAATATGTATTTGTGAGTGAGTGCGTGAGTTAATATTTATCATCACATCGGCAATATTTCAGTGAGTGAGTGAGTGAGTTTAGTTTTACGCCGCACTCAGCAATATTCCAGCTATATGGTGGCGGTCTGTAAATAATCGAGTCTGGACCAGACAATCCAGTGATCAACAGCATGAGCATCGATCTGCACAATTGGGAACCGATGACATGTGTCAACCAAGTCAGCGAGCCTGACCACCCGATCTCGTTAGTCGCCTTTTACGGCAAGCATAGTCACCTTTTGTGGCAAGCATGGGTTGCTGAAGACCTATTCTACCCCGGATCTTCACGGGTCGGCAATATTTCAGCCATATCGTGACTGCAATACATATTAACAAAGGCTATGGATTGTAAATACATTCCATGCAAACAAAATGAAGCATTGTTCAAAATTTTCTTCACTTACATCACTGCTGGTGAGGTAGGAAGCATGGACATCAGCAAACACAAGAGCATCATTATGTTTTAGCTCATAGCGGGACGTTGGGTGTCAGAAACAGCTGAAATCACACAATGAAAAACAAGTTATCACTGTGGAATGAGGCTAAAATCAGGAAAGTATTCACCATGAAAACAGGATGCAATCTATACACATACTCCACAAACATCAAATCAAGTGACAGTACGATGCAGACGACGATTCAATGGGCTCAGCCCTCAAGAAGACGTCATCCTGCTTGCACCATTTTCCCAAAACGTACCGTCCAAAATAACATCACAATCTCGTAGAATATATACATATAATAACACAATGCTTGGAATCTAAGGGATCTAACCAACTGTAAACATCAAAACATACTGAAGGTAATATTTTACAGAAGCAAAGGGAGATAACTCAATACTCATAGGCTAACCACTTAGAAATCTGGTTAAAAATAACTTTCAACATAAATTATTATGCAAATGCAGACACTGACTAATTAGAAGCAGTGGCCATTAGGAGTGTCAGGATACAAGTATCAAGTATCACTTAATATATATGAATCACGATAAAGTACTTAGGGACCGTTCATAATTTATGGCTATGGGTTGTCATCCACTTGGTTCTGGAGAGGTGGGGTCATCAATTTTGTACATAAATATTACAAAAAATTATGGGAATTATCATCATCCCACGACCCCTAGCCATAAATCATAAATTATGAACGGCCCCTTATTGTGATTCCTATATTCACAATGATGATGAATGCAGATTTACCTTGCCACGTCGTGTCTTGTTCCTGCTGCCACTGTCGTAGATCAAGTGACTATCCCCACGGATCTCAACACAAGCATGCTGCTTCGACAAAGCCTGGGTCCAAACATATCACAAGTTTAACATAGTCCACCTCATCAACAATCATCATGTATGGGAACAAATGAATTGAGTTGAGTTGAGATGGGTTGATGTTTTATGTTGCATCGGCATTGTTTCAGCCATATAGCGATGACACCATGTCTGCACACACACACATTTTAATTACAAAGTTAAAAAGGGGGCGCGGTGGGCGAGCTGGCTAAGGCGCCGGGCTAGTGATCCAGCGAGGTTGAGGTGTCGGGATCGACCCCACCTGTGACCGGGTGTAATAACCTTGGAGTCAACTTTGTGTACAGACTCTTTCAGTGTTGTCACAACCCCTAGTGTACAGTACACAACCCTGTGCACTTAAGAACCCACAAATCCGTTGGTATATGACCAGATGGTGGCCACATGAATGTACGTGCAAACACCTAGTTGCGGGTACAGCAACGTGCAGTGAACTTGAACAAAGTACTGTGACTATGTGTCCCAGTCCACCCTGCTGTGAATGGGTACCTCGTTAAGATGAGAAAGCCACAATAACTCAGTGTGCCTAGTGGCTGCAAGAGTTGTATACTCCCCCAGGGAGTTGAAATTGATAATATGATATGCCATTGAGATTGAGATCCAGTGATCGAGGGGAAAAATACCAGCGCCTTGAGCAAGCACTAGTTGCTTGGATATGTGCGCTATATAAATATCCTAGAATAATTAATAATAATAATAAAAGAGTTTCATACAAATGAATGTAGTTTTACACCACAAAAGCATTATTCCTGGTACTGTCATGTCTTTAAACAGACAAACCACTGGATTTGGACCCCTGTTCACATTAGCAAAGAGATGAATCATTCCCAAATTTATGAAAATAGAAAAAAGAACATGACTAAAGAATCATGATAACCTCAGATACATCTGATCCACGCTTGCATTTGCCATCTTAGATCATTGTTAGATAGGGACTAGACATTTTCCCGAACCATGATGACAAATATAAAGTTATAATTACCTTACTTGGAATGTAGACATTGCAATCCTCATGTCGACCAACAATATTGTTTCCTGAAAAAGTGAAATGTTTAACACAATGACAAAAAGTGACAACACATGTACTTGTTTTCAGAGGGATCAATAAATTCTGGATAGAGTTACTTCCTTTGGCAGTCAGGATCAGCTGATTGTGGGTTTGAATCCAAGATTTATACAATTGGTGAGTCTTAACCATACCCGTTTCTATGGATTTCATGAAAATTGTCTAGGCAAGTTTTCATCAACATTAGACCAACAATTCATAACAAACTAGAAATACAAAAAATTGTGACAGAAACAACTCCCTTGCCAATGTCAAAATACAGAGCCATCAGCATGATCAGGGTTCCACTCTTTTCTCAGCTGGGCAAACAACCACCAAAAGATATTTCATTCTCAAGAAAATTAGCTAGACAACACTTAATAATACATACTATTGTGTCACTGTCAACAATCAAGGCTAACAAACAAGGTCAACAAACATAAATGTGGTTCACAGCAATACAAACGACAGATTACAATTTGATAATTTTCATGTATATCAGTATTATGACAATATATAGGCTATGGCTTCGTGTACATGTTAAAAACATGGCACCAAAATTGCCTGTTGATAATGGCATATTTGCTAATGGCATGTATTTTGGACATGACTGGCTATATATTTTTTATTCAAACTGAGGTAACAACAGTTATGCATTTGCTTTGCTGTTATTTTAACACCACAATCAGCAATTTTCAAGCTACATGACGCCTGACTCTAAATAAGTGAGTCTGGACAAAACGAGCTGTCGTATGCGAATTTGGTTTTAATCAGCTGACAGTATTCCAGCTATATAATGGCATGTCAGCTTAATATGGAAGAAAATCCGAAAATAATAGGCATATTGGATAGTTTGTGAAACCCATGAATGTATGAAGGAGACAAACCCAGAAAGATAATTGAAAGGAACTTGGTTTCAACCCAACATAATCAGATTCTGGCATGCTCAAGGGACACAACTCTGCAAGCAAATTACAGTTCATTTGATGACTGGGCCACCCATGTTCCATCATAGCCGTAGACCCATACATGTATACAGCCGTAGACCCATATATGTATACAGCCGTAGACCCATATATGTATATAGCCGTAGACCCATATATGTATACAGCATTGTACAGAGACACCATGTAGTAATCATAGTGTACCTCACCTTCAAATAGAGGGTACAACTTCTCAGGAACCCCTTTCTGGCAACCAACTTTCAAATGAGCCACCTGCAGTGAAGTTACTTTAATCAGGTTCTGTCTTTATCTGCACTTGATACATAAAAGCATGACAGTTTCATGAAATATTTTAAAAGATCATATTCATTACTTTTTATGAAAATTATGAATGTGTTGAAATCATTTAGATAAACACATTCCTGTGAAACGTATTATCTGGCATTGACTGGATATGTACTTACTGGAGTTTTCTGGGACTGAGAAATATTCTCATCCGTGTCATCTTCAAATTCTTCCAACGCTATGACTTGAGTTTGATCAAAATCCATGGCAACTGAAAATTTAACAATTCTAAATTGACAGGCCAACAACACTAAATATCACGATTAATCACCATAGGTATAGATGTTTTATCCACTAGTTGTCACCAGAAACCAGACAGACTTGTCCAATGGTTCAATCGAAAAAATATTATTCATAACACATCCTGGGCAATATCTTGTCTAGATTAATATTTAGAAGGCTGTCTTGTTGCAAATGAAACAAGAAAAGTTACGTTACACTTTTGCATGACAACAGCAGACAAAGTAAAACTGCCTATGACCATTCATTATTTCGAAACAGGAATATAATAAACGATCATCAAGTATGTTAATGTTACATTTCTGTATCACTTTTCGCTTCTTCCCACTTCGTACATTGCTCTTTCCCGCACTGGCTTTGCGCATGCGTCATTTGCATCTCGCACCTTGCGAGACCAAGCGAGACTGAGAAACTCAGGTGTGCAAAATTGCTTTCTTCTGTCTGCTTGGCCGCTCATGATGGGCGTGACAGTGGAGACAATTAAGGAAGGAGACGGTAAGAGAGTTTGTTTTTGATAGCAGAAATGTTTTGCGTACCGTTAATTGCTAAATAAATCTCTATTGGCAGCAATTAAAGCGCCAGACACTCCCTGTCTGTGACAGTCTGTCAACATTGATGATGTCATGTCTGCTTCTTGTGATCAACATCATATCATGATAAGAGTTCCTGTTGATAGTGTTTATCGTTAAAGTAAAGTGCATTTATATAGGAAACCCAGCTTGACCATTCACAGTTTTAGCAAACTCTAATTAACAACATGAACACCTAATAATTATGATTCGCCATATTCTAAATAGTGCAGAGTACTATGTCTCCACAGAGGTTGAATCTGCTGTCTACTCTGTCCAGGACACATAGATAATAGGATTATTAAGTGTAAAAAATAGTTTATTGCCAATTATTAGACCAGTACACACATCAAGGACAGGCCCCCAAGAATATACTGATACAAAGTTCTAAATTATCCCGAACCAACAATATTGTTTCAGAGTGAATCAGAGTGGAAAAATGTGATATATTAATCCTTAGAGCCAAGTCTTCATCATAGTTGAGTTTGTTGACCCCATTGAGCAATATCATCATCATCATCATACTCATGGCAAGTCATACAATTTAATTTGAGTAAATTCAACAGTTTACGAAACTATGTTGTTAATCATTTCACCTTGGCTTGACACTGACATGAAATGCTGTTAGTTTTATTCTTTTTCTGTCTGTTTGTGCTAACTAGCCATGTTGTTAAGGTTTGAGTACAACTATTCGAATCCCAGATGGGGCTCAACTAAAAACAGTACTAGAAGTACTTTACTAAGAAAGTGTAATCCCAAATATAACATATGTTACATTTGACCACTTTCTAAATGTCATTGTGTAATCATAACTATTCTCTCTCAAAACATGCAACAGGCATATAAAAATTGCTGTTACTGGGGTAAGGTAGATAACTTATGTATAGGATGAACATCAGTATATATTTTTTTATGACTTCATCTATTTTTGTGTGACTCATATTCATATGATACATGCATAGCTGTTTACTTCAGTTTTGTTTTTTTTTGATTGTGATGTCAGTATAAAAATATGTGATCGAAAACCCAGGGGTCCATGTCAGGACCACAGTCTTGAATGTTGCCTGACTGGGAATGTTGAGGATTCCTTGATACAAACAGTACACAAGCAAATCTCAGGACTGAGGAAATAACCAGGATACCTCTTAATTTCAAACTACATTATAGTGCGTTTGGCTCAAAGCGGACCGATGAATTGCACTCTAACTCAAAAACTAATAAACATATAATACTCAATGAAACGCTGATCATGATCAAAATATCAGACCAACTCTGTGATTTGTTTGCAGAATTTATGTCCTAAAATTAAAAAAGTTGTTTAACAAACTATCATTAAAATATTGACACAGTTCACTATTTGTTACGAGGGAGGAGTGCAGAGAAAGGGACAGCCAGGTGTTAGAGAAGCACGTGCACAAGTGCCGACAAAGTTATTGATTCATTAACCTGTGCTGTGCCGTCTCCATCCTTTCTCGCACACCCGGCTGTCCCTTTCTCTGCACTCCTCCCTCGTAACAAATAGTGAACTGTGTCGATATTTTAATGATAGTTTGTTAAACAACTTTTTATTATGATCAGTGTTTCATTGAGTATTTTATGTTTATAAGTTTTCGGTTAGATTGCAATTCATTGGTCCGCTTTTGAGCCTAACGGACTATAGTTACCTATTTGAACTATGGTTACATTTTCACCTTTAAAACACTACTGAACATGCTGAATATTACTCACAGTGTATTATGTAGGAGTCAGTCTTACTCAATGACAGAAACATTTTGTGGTTGTGTTCCAATGTAATTCATTTTGATATATTTTTTGCTGTTTTTGATATTGCTGTAAACAGGTGAAAAAGTGACTTAGTGATTCCATTTAATCCTGTCAGTGAGAATCATGCTAAAAGTACAGTATGTAACTAAAAATATTTTGCATTTTTTTTCTCAGGTCAGACATACCCAAAGCCTGGGCAGTATGTGACTCTCCATTATGTAGGTGAGTATTGCCAATATGTGTAACCTTGGTTACAAACTCAACATTGATGTACAGGTGGAACACTCCATTAAGATAACAGAAATATTAGAAATATTCAGATATCACACTGGTAAGTACGAATCAATATTCTGATATTTTCTTGCATATGGTGAATTGAAAATGGATTTGTTTTTTGTATTGTGCAGGTACACTGTTCACAGAGAATGGCAAGAAAATAGATTCCTCTCGAGACAGGGGTGTTCCATTTACATTCCAGCTTGGTAAGGGAGAAGTGATCAAAGGTGAGACCTGATTTCCAGTTATTGTATTTAATAGTTTCACATCAGTTATCAGTCTCTGATCATCATGATCATGCAGATACAGTCAGCTCTCGTTAATCCGACACTCATTAATCCGACAATCACGTTAATCCGACGAAAAATTACGGAACCATTTAAAACAGTGATAATTACTCTCGCCAATCCGACATTCTCGCATTCCGACTCCGACACACCAATCTAGCAACTGATTATTGTAAATACATTGTAAAAACATTCGTTAATCCGACAATCAACACACACGGTCGGATGATCCGACCGTATACAAACAATCACACGTGAGTGGTAATTAGCGTGTGCCTTACTGGCTGCTTGACACAGACGTCGGTGAACATCACACTTGTTAATTTGGAACACAGGATAATTAATTGAGACGATTTAATCAAGAAATAACAGTAGAGCGAGCTGTATAAAATGTTTACAACCGACATGAGTTTTCATCACAAGATGTCTGTCACGGGTACACCAGCCACCTGCTAAGCGTGCGCGAGTAGAAGTTACGCCATTGATCAAGAAAGAAATCTCCTTTTGAAGAAAGACAACCCCAGACAACACAACAACAAGAAGTTAGATGTGAAGATTGGTTGATCAACCGTATCTGACATCCTGAAGCAGTCTGCTTAGTGGTTGGGCGTCTCTACGACTGATTCCAATGCTTCAAGCTATCTGAAACCTCCGTGGTGTAGTGGTTAGAGCGTCCGATCCCCGACCGCGTCATACCAAAAGACGTTAAAATATGGTACTTGTTTGTCCCTGCCTGGCACTCGGCATTAATGGGTACAACAAGGACTGGTCGGCTCGGAGTCAGTATAATGTGTCTGAGTGGGGTATTCAGGCTTCACTGCGGCATGGTATCTCAGTGGGCTAGCACCATAAAACCATCTTAAGTCTGGGCTAGTACAAGCAGCCACACACACATACACACGCATGCACGTCGTCATATGAGCGAAATATTCTCAAGCCCGACGTGTAACCCAATTCACTTCACCTCACCTCACCTCACCTCACCTTCAAGCTATCTGAGGCCAAAACATCGTTGAACACTTCTGACACAAACATTTCTGAAACACCACTTAGACGTGTTTGATGTTAATGACCATCAAAGACTTTTTCAAGTTATAAATTATAAATGTTATGATAAATGCCTGATTTTTATTAGACGTCCACATGTTAGTATGGAATTAGTTGTATGGAAACTGTAACATATTCAACATCCGGGTCATAATGGCTACTGATATGCGGTAAAAACAAACGTGAGTTTTGTGCCAATGTGGTTATGAAATAGATATGAAGCTGATTGATTATGTGATTATATATGTATGTTCTGCCATCTATGAATGTTAATAAATTATAGCAAGGATGTATTGTTATTAATTTTTATTTCTGTGAATATTTTTACGTACGATGAAGATAACTAGATCTACCATTTCTGATGTGCATGCATGATGCAACAGTATAACGATCATGACATTTAGTAAACATTGACAAATACATTTATCCGACATTTTCGTTAATCCGACATATTTCTCTGCAACCACGAGTGTTGGATTAACGAGAGTTGACTGTATTTAACAAGTTTTTCAATCTATCAGTCTAAGTAAACTTAGGCTCAGTATTATTCGTTACACTGCTATACTGAGTCTAACAAGCCCTAGTAGAAGGTCGCATCAGCTAACCTTTTGGACTGACCAATCAGAACACAGCTTACCAAATCGCGAAAAGTTGACATTCACACATACCTTTTGAACTTTTATCTCGAAAACGTTTTGTACCCAAACGATTCCGAATGCTATTTTCTGTACGATCGTTTCCGAGTGATGCACATGGAGCACGCCACAACAGTGAGTAAACAGTCGGTGAAAATAGCATTTTGTCAGTATTCAAGGATGTCAGCTTGCGGAAATATTACCTAATGATAACCGTGTCAACAGAAACCCAAAAGCGTATATTCTGCAGGTCATATATCTGTGTTTTATGCAGGTTTTCATTTGTTGTGAGATCAGTGTTGGTGATCGGGGAAGAGAAAATCCATTTTATAAGTCCCGCCGAACCCTAAATAGTAGCTGTTGTCTGATTGGTTAAATCCGTTCGGTCGTCTCGTGTTTGATTGGACGGTTATAGGTCGCTCAAAGGTTACCTGATGCGACCTTCCAAGGTTTTGTTAGACTCAGTATAGCAGTGTAATGCATAATGCTGAGCCTAAGTTTACTTAGACTGTTCAATTTATTAAAAGCAAATGGAAATATAATGCCAATTTGTGACTGCAGCAACAAGTCTGACACCCAGAGTGTTCAGTTCGGGAATCCCAGCATTCCTTACATTCATGGTCACAACGCTCCCAATCTACTGAACACAATGCTCAGAACACTGGTAGTGAAGTGGACAGTGGTTCCGGGGGTGGAACTAACTTTAATATTGCTAGTGTACTCAGGTACAGTGGCACATGTAAAATTACTTGCCCTGATAATTTTTCCACTATACCGGCCGTTTTCTTGTTGATTTTTTAAAAAAAACAACATAATTAACATTGGAATATCTACTGGACACCACTACAGTGTGATATACAAATTTGCTTGCCCGACAGAGAAAAACACTGGACTCGGGCGTCGGGCAATGGGTTATTTCCACCCCTGTGGTTTTGGTTGGCTTATCATCATGTTTATTGTGTTTTAGGCCCCATTTTTTTCATTTTTCTGTTTTTACAAATTCATTTATTCATATATTAATGTAAGAATTCTATGTTTATTCTATTCATTCAGTGTATATTTTCTTCTTATTGGAAAAGGGGCGGTCGGGTAGCCTAGTGGTTAAAGCGTTGGCTCGTCACGCCGAAGACCCGGGTTCGAATCCCCACATGGGTACAATGTGTGAAGCATTTTTTGTGTCCCCCGCCGTGATATTGCTGGAATATTGCTAAAAGCGGCGTAAAACTAAACTCAGTCAGTCTTATTGGAACACATCATCTAACATATGTTATTCTTGTTCATGGCAGGTTAAAGAAATATGATTTTAACAGATCGTATGATATATGATTCTGTGGTCAGAAGAGTGTTATTATCAGTATTATTTAAGGATAGGAGAAGATGTTAAGGTTCATACCCTCAACCAAAATGGCAGTTCTTTCTTTATCTATGGTATGCCCTATGGTTATTGTGTTATTTCTGTGTGTAATGTTTGACAAAGAAACCTTCCTTCTGTTTCAGGATGGGAGGAAGGTGTGAAAAGAGTGAGTACATATAACTTTGTTCTGTTCCTATGTCATTTTTAAAGATTTCTTTAAAATAACGACTGTTACTTTTCAATGTTGAGCTGCTTTTGGGCTGTAAGAGTTTTCCGTCACCCATGAACTTTTACGTCATCAAATTCTTTAATGCGTCAAAACAAGTTTGATAATAAACTGCAGTCTTAACTTAGACTGTTATCAGTGTATAAAATATAGCCCCTCCCACCGTCCTTGATGATCTATTATTGTGAAAGACGGTCTATCAAAAATGTAAGGCTGTTCCTTTAGTCTCAGGAAATATTTGAAAAAAATCATCTTAACTAGTTGATTTTTTTATTGTTTAAGTATTTTGGACTGGCTGTGTTTGTTCAGGACTGGTCACTTGTTTGGGCGGCCAGTCCATGGACAGGCCACATTTCGAAACTATTTTATACACTGCTGTTATATTGAGTGAGTTTAGTTTTGTGCCCCACTCAGCAATATTCCAGCTATATGTCCAGACCATTATTTACAGACCACTGCCATATAGCTGGAATATAGCTGATTGGATAGTCATACTCGCTGAACCTGGTTGACACATGTCAACATATCCCAACTACGTAGATCGATGCTCATGATGTTGATCACTGGATTATCTGGTCAAGACTCCATTATTTACAGACCGCCTCCATATAGCTGGAATATTGCTTGGATAGAGATAAACTGAACCTGGTTGCATACATGTCAGACATATCCAAACTTTTGAGACGCGATGAAATGATGAACAAAGCAACATGTATGTGCGAAATGTTTGCAGTAAATGCTTACATGATGTTGATCACTGGATTATCACAATAATGGACATGGGATTATATCCTTTCCCAGGCTGAAGTGTTTCCATTATTTACCTTTCTTCTTTAAGGTCTAGACATGGTGGTCTCCATATAGCTGGAAGAGTATAGCTGTGTACCAGGATCCCGATGGACTCGCAGTCATGGAAATTTGCTCGCTGAACCTGGTTTCGAATACATGTCACTCACTCAACATATCCTCCCACATCAACCTGTTACGGTTTGTTATTAATATCTTACTGCGTTATAGATCGTGAGAAGTATTTGAATGCTCATGATGTTGATCACTGGATTATCTCACATGGTGGACCAGACTCCATTATTTACATCTGGTCCAGACCATTACCTCCATATAGCTGGAATATAGCTGATTGGATAGTCATTATCAACCAATCAGATTAAAGAACACAGTGACTTTTGGTCGCTGAACCTGGTTTGACACATGTCAACATATCCCAAGAAAGTCTGAACCTGGTGACACATGTCAACATATCCAAACTCGATGCTCATGATGTTGATCACTGGATTATCTGGTCCAGACTCCATTATTTACAGACCGCCTCCATATAGCTGGAATATACCTGATTGGATAGTCATAATATCGCTGAACCTTGTTGACACATGTCAACATATCCCAACTTCAATATGAGATCGATGCTCATGATGTTGATCACTGGATTATAAGCGTCAGACTCCATTATTTACAGACCACCTCCATATTTTGGAATATTGCAGTTGGGCCTGCGTGAGTTTTGTTTCTTTGACAAACAAACCAAGCATGCATATTGAGATTAAAAGACAGACCACCACAAACATTTGAGACAGAACGATGAAATGATGAACAAAGCAACATGCATGTGATATTTATTGTTTGTAAAGGAAATGTTTGCAATAAATGCTTACTTGTGTTTTCAGATGAGTATAAAGGGAGAGCTTGAAAAGCGAGAGTTACATGTCCTCCCAAGCTGGCCTATGGACATAGGGGCATCCTGGATTATATCCTTTCCTCAGGCTAAAGTGTTTGGTGAACATTTAGAGCTTGTTTCCCTTTCTTCTTTTGTCTAGACATGACGTGCTATTCCTTTAGTTGCTACTGCGCCCTTGTAACAAACTGGGAAATTGCACAAACAAATGATGACAGTTTCTGAAACAACTTTTTTATTTTTGTGACAAATATTATGCAATTTTTTTCTAGAGTTGGTCTGTTGAATTATTGCAGTCCGCGTTGGTTTGATTCTTTTTTGTGTATTTGTTTTTGTGTTAGATTGCAATTCATCGGTATCATTTAGTCTCAAACGGACTGTAGGTTAATTAGAAGCATATCACTGTCATGGATTTTACCAAAGTGGTAAAGTTCCAAGACTTGCTTCACATTCGGCCTTCTTATTAGATCACACCTGTGAAGATCCAGGTTGGAATTGATTTTCAGTAACCCATGTTTGTCGTAAGAGGCGACTAACGGGATCGGGTGGTCAGGCTCGCTGACTTGGTTGACACATGTCATCGGTTCCCAATTGTGTAGGTCGATGCTGATGCTGTTGATATCTGGATTGTCTGGTCCAGACTCAATTATTTATAGACCGCCGCTTTATAGCTGGAATAGTGCTGAGTGCGGCGTAAAACTAAACTCACTCACTCACTCTTATTAGATCAAGTTGACACACTGTTTGAAATATTGGTTGGCTGAGCGTAGTTGTCTGCATTTTATTGCCTCCTTGACTATTTCTGTCACTGTTTTCACTGTATGACCTTGACTTTGATCCACGATACCCTCCAATGCCACTCTAGTGTTCGACATCGAACTGCTGAAGCTGAGCTGAAGATGTTACCAACATCTCCTAGCCATCTCCTCAGCATCGGGAGAGGGCTTCAGGGGGAGAAAACTCCAGTACCATGGAACGTGAAGATGACAACAACTGACTGGACACTTTATAAGATTATGATTACATGTGCCAGTGTAGATTTTGTACATATGCAACCCATGTATTGTCTGATGTACATGCTTTGTCATGCTTTGTTGGGCGAGCCCGGTTATGTAGTACCTTTTGTGACTATGTAGGACTGGTGCTAACCCTACTGCCTTGTGCAGGCTGTCAAACACTTTGCTTCTCAGTTGTCTTCAACACTGCTTTGTATGATTTCTACAGTCTGCCTGTTATATGCTTATTGAGTCCTCTTTCTCAGCTGTCATATTTATTGATTGAGGTATCTGAAGATTTGCAGAGAGGACTGATGAACCATTACTTTCATGGAAGACTTGGTAGGTCATTTAGTCAAAACTGTTAGCCGATTGCAGCGAGGACATAGCTATTACTTTCATGGAAGACTTGGTAGGTCATTTAGTCAAAGCTGTTAGCCGATTGCAAAAGGCATCATACACGAATCTCTCATTGTAGTCATTTATATCATGTTTATATTTGTTTATTTGGAACTACACAGATGGGCAGAATTTTTGTGCAGTTGATGAAATTTGGAGTTTTCTGGGGATGGATATGCATATCTTCCAGTGTTACATAATATCTTCTTGTTAGTGATGAATGAAGACGAAGATCATTATTGATGTGATCAGTAATGCTCTGTAATTAATTACAGTTGTCACATGCTTGCGGAGAAAGTCTTGTTTGTAAATACATAACATTGACAAGCCAGAGAAAGTCGCCAGCATGGTTATAAAACAAAGCTTTTTTCCAACTTTGTGAAGTGATTATACATATTTGTCATTTGGTGTTGAAATATCCTCCTGGTGTGTTTTTCATTCATGTAAAAGCTAAGTAATATGTATGGGAGAGCTGAAGATTAAGGTGAAAGGTGATAATTGTGACACTGAATAGTCCTCTGTAATAGATGGGCGGATTTGTGAGTTATATTACAGATTCATGGAATACAAAATTATTGTCACAATGTTTTAATCCAACTGGGTTTTGAGGAAGCTGTGTAGGTGAAATACTGCTAGATGATTCTAGTGGTGCAGTTCCTCTACTACTTACTTGCAATGCCATCAATGCACTTTGTGAAACTGAAAGGAAAGGAACCTTTTCATGGCTGGATTGAAGTTAACCAGCTGTCAACACTCGTTTGTTCTTTCACCCTTTTTTTATGTGTGCAATTGTCAGATGTAATCCTTATTAATAGCCGTTTCTTTCTTTTTTTATTGACCCATTTCAATGCTTTGAAATATTTCTCGAATGTGTTATGCTTTTCTTTGACACCATGTTCATAGTGATTTCCTGTTTCTTTTGCCTTTATCCAGAGTTATCTCCCTTATGGGGAAATTCAAAATATTAATGCTGAATTAAATATAGTACATTATGTTATGAGATGCATGCCTAACTTTGAAAAATGTTTATATCAACAAAGAGATTCTGTTGTTAAAGAGTTATTTTAATTGACTGATTTTTAAACTTCCTGTCACAGTGGTAAATATTTCATTATTTTTTAGTTTGGTTTTTGTGATTATGGTGATGAGAATTGAAGCTGATGCTTTCATGCAAGTTTGTCAAGTGAACAGCTTTTACACCTTTTAAAACTAGAATGTTATTTATGTTGATTATAAAACTAAGCGAAATGAGCTGTTCTTTTAGTGAAATATTGACTTTGTCTGATGGGCAACTTGCAGACAATTTATGTCACCCGAACCCCAAAACACAAAACGTAAGATTTTATATCCCATGTCAAACTATTAACTGACTACAATCTTACAAATCCCCCTTTCCATGTGACAGACTTGCAGTGACTGTCAAAGTCTGTCAATTCCTATTTAAAAATTTTATTTCACTGATTTGAACTCTGTGAATTAGTATATGTATGATATGGTTCAAGTGATCGGTGAGTGATAACTACTTCCTGCCTTGTAGCGGCTTCACAAACTACCAATTTCTTTCTGTTTACATGTGATAAGCTTGGATTCCAGTCAGATGCAAGCAATACCATGATATTTACAGAACAAAATTACACAGCACTTGTTGATTTTATTTTGTTAACACGACTAAGGACATGTTTTGTTATGGAATAAGGCTTGTTATAGAGTTACCAAGAAGAATTGTGCTAGGAAAGATTTGTGCCGTAGGAAATTATGACATTGCAATGAAGAGGACAAGTCGGTGATGATGGGTGTAAATTCCTGTGTACCTGTGATGCGATGATGGCGGTGTTACTATGCCTTGAGATGCCACCTAGCTTTGTGAAAGTCTAGGATATAGAGTCTGGTATATTTGTACAATATTAAGCTGTGCACACTGTACGGCAATGATGATGCTGTCACAGGATGAGCTTGGAGGCCATACCATGGATATAATTATAGAATTTTGTATAGCATCAATGATTGCATTAAAAACCTTTATCTGCTATTTATGAGGGTGTTCTGTCTCATTTTGAAAATTGGTTGATGTGACTACAGACTGGGCTCATCCTGGTGTTGTAGCTGATTAATGAACACCTTATTCCCATCAGTGTAACACACCCATGAAGTTCCAGGTTAGAATTGGTCTTCAGCAACCCATGTTTGTCGTAAGAGGCGTCCAACTGGATTGGGTGGTCAGACTCGCTGACTTGGTTGACACATCATCGTATTGTAGGGATAAGCTGCTTCCAGGTTTCCGATATGTAAGACGAGGTCCAGCTTCGCGAAGGGAATGGTACCAAACGATGATACCCACGGCAAGCGGTTTATAGAATTATTTGAAAATTACCAATATCTTCAATTGTAACATATGTTATATTTGGGATTACCCTTTCTCGGTAAGGTACACATACGAGTACTTTTGTACAAACTTTGTGTGCTGGCCAGTAGGTGCCTGACTCTGAGGGTGTGGGTACAAATCCTGCATGGGACTCGATCCAACAAAAGTACTATTAATATGTACCTTACTGACAAAGTGTAATCCAAAAATATAACATGTTACATTTGACCACTATCTAAATGGCATTGTGGAATAATATCTTCAATTGTTTTAAAGATATCTGGAATTAAATTACATATGTCCTGAATTAAAGCTATCTTTAATTGAAGCTATCTTTAATTATAGATATCTACATTTAAAGTCAAATCACGAAATGAATTAAGGGCATGATGATATCTTGAAAAGAATTGCTATTATCTTAATCTGGGTTAATTTTATTAGAAAAGGAATTAAAGATTAAACAAATTCATGTCTTTAATGATATCAGTAAGTCAATTCCTGACATTGTGCAATTATAATACAGATATATACTGAACTGCAAAAGAAACGCCACACAGATGGAGGTTTCTTAAACCACACAGTTTAATTCGCTCTAATTAACAATCAAAACGGAGGATTGCATTCAAACTTGACAATTATGGTTAAGACATTTTCGTGAATCGCGTATATAGTTCACACAAACAAATTCACCAAAAATGGTACCACTAAGATACCTCAAATTCAGTATCGTGTGTGGCCTCCATGGGCATCAATGACGGCGCTACGTCTACACATGGAATTAATTAGCCGGTTGATGAAGGCCATGGGCACTTGGGTCCATACTCTGCGAAATGCCTGAGGTTGGAAGTCATTCAGTGTTCTATTGGACTTAATTCCGGACTGGGTGCCGGCCACTGTAGGGTTTGGATGCCTTGTTGTCTTAGGAAGTCCAGTGTTGCTCTGGCATTGTGGGCACGAGCGTTGTCTTCCTGGAAGATGTGATTTCTGTGACGTTCAAAATGTGGTACAACGTGTTTTCTTATGACTTGGTCAGTATAGCGAGCAGCTGTCATGCCATTTCTTCGTCCTGGATCGTGATTCCGGAACACCACGGGGACAACTCTCATGATCCTTGGACAACCCCACGAGTCTCTTTCAACAATACACTCATTGGAAAACCGTTCCCCACACCTTCGCCATACTCTCACTCTGACAGAAGAGGTTTCTTTCGCGCAAACTTCGACGCACTGTATCGGCACTAATGGGTCTCTTGTGAGTTCCAATGGTCGGGCCAGCTGTTTCCGTGGCTCTGGTGAAGCGATCCTGCAGATGGTTGCGCACAATCTGTCGGTCTTGACATTGTGATGTTACTGCAGGTAGTCCACTGCGTGGACGGTCTTGGATGCAGTTAGTGGCCTGATACCGTTCCTGCAGCTGGTAGATTGTCCTAACATTAACATTAAAATGATTGGAGACCCTCCGTGCAGTCTGGCCAACTTGCCTTTGCCCCAAGGCTTGATTCCTCTGATCTCTCGTAAGACGTGGTATGGCGATTGTGTCAACACAAGAATTATTTTCGTTTTCACAAATGTCATACGGAACTTTTTACCACGTCTGTCTTTTTAGGTACGTTTGGCGGATATGCTTTTTCATGAAAAAAACACTGATGTTTGTAATAACTGAAAAAACATGGTAACAAAACGGTACAATCATAATAAAAACACCACATTGTAAGAACAAAATTTTGCATTTGGTTTTGAAATATCACGTTATTTTTGCGGTTCAGTATATTTATCTATTGATAGCGTGAAAGGGCAAATCCATTCCAAAACGATTTTCGTTTCAGCTGTTTCTCTTCCGTAAATAGTAAAGACAGAGCCAAGCCCTCTTTTGCAACCTGAAGAATTTAGGACTTGTACCCAGACGTATTTGAAGATATATTCCTCAGGCAAATCAACTTTCCTGATCTTTCCTGGCTGTTTCCACACCGGTGGAAGATTCCGTATTAAACGTCTGACGTCAACTTGGTTCATCTCATTCCATTCTTCCTGCAGAACAGCGCCAAGTTCATTGAGTGTGGTCGATGGTTGTTGACGGTGATGTACGCGACAGAAATGTTCGATGGGTGACAAGACCGGTCTGAGTGCCGGGAAGGCGGTTTTGTCCTGTTGGAGGTACCTACTCAATACGAACCCTGTGCGCTCTTGTGTTGTCAACTTCAGCACAAAACAGATCTTTCTTACAAAACTCCATCTCCTAAAATCATATATGCATTCAATATCATTTACGACGACAAATACATGCTCCTTCCTGAAAACTATGGTCGAGGGCCACCCAAGCAAAATTTTCGGAGGATGTTCCCTTACAATGAAGGCTTTGACTACGAGGACATGTCAGGGCACTTGTTAGGGATTTGATGCCGATACTCAGCTTAATATTCAGTGACGTCAACGCTGTTTAAAATTCAATGTCGTCAACGCTATTGACATGGGACTTGCGAGAGTAACACCAATATAAAAGTTGAACATTCATTCATAGCTATGGTTCACTTTGAAGGTGAAGGTCGCCAACGTCACAATGCCCGTGTAGGACACGTAATTCTTTTAGTCGAATCTTATAATCTTGCATCTTGTTGACATATTAACCCGGATTCCTGTCTCTTGCAACACGAAGATCAAGCGAGATGTGATATGATCATGTGGAAAATCTAGACTTGCTTCATTTGGGACAAAAGCTTAACAATAAGGACTGGACGGGGAATGATGTTGTTCAGCGACTGATTACCAATAAGAAAATGGAGCAGAGCGCCTTTAATAAGTTAAAGACAGTATGTCTACCTCTAGTGTTGATATAGAGGGCCTAAAACGATCATATCAAAAGATATGGTCAAAACGATATGGGCTGGCTTGCTGTAAATTTAGACTGTCTGTCAGAACTCTAAGGCGGTCGGACGGGACTTATTTCATGCACTGTCATAAAAAAATACGTGTTTTGTGATCATGTGACTTAAACATTGTTAGGTTGCGCCATTTGGTAACGTCACTTACGAGTCATCGGGAATGACATTTAAATATCGGGTATGGCCTCCATTATTAGCCACCTCGGTATCATGAAAACACTATCTGAACATCGAACACACACTACTTCACCTCGATATGTGTAATATCTTATATATGCATATGGAACTTAATTAAGCAACATCCGTATTTTCTCAGACTGAGCAACTTTAATGAATATGTATAAAATGTGTCAAAGGTTTCCATACAATATGACTTCCCATCATTATCTTGTGTAACTGATTCAAGACGCCCCCTCATTCCTCGGATCAATCTCAGGATTGGATTCTGAGGAATCCTGTTCCATTCCTCATGCAAAGCCGCAGTCAGTTCATTGAAAGTCTTGACTGATGGGTCTCTCTGTCGTACACGCCGGCCTAAAATGTCACAGCTGCTCAATGGGGTAGAGATATGGACTCATGGCTGGCCATGGGATGGTCTCAACAGCATTCTGTCGCAAGAACTGTGTGGCAGCCATCACGTTCTCTGTGAGGCATTTCATTGTCATCCATAAAGATGGGTTTTGTGGCTTGAGGATGGTTCTCAAATAAGGGACAACAGCCCTCTCAAGGATCTCCAAGTCAAACATTGAGTACACAACAGTCTCGTTTCCAGTTGACAGGGTTCCGTCCTATTGCGCAACTTAGTACAATAACCAGTCCAGAATTTTGAGACCAATTCATTTAACTGGATACATAAATATGAATCAGTATTATTTGATACATCTAAGCACTTGTATACAGCAACACTACGCTCCTTGGTATCCTCCCATTTGTTACACATGCCAGTTGTTACACACCCCAATACATATAAGGTCACAGACCACTGCACACACCTATTACCTATTTGTGAGTTGAGTTGAGTTGAGTTGGGCTTTTGTGAAGAATGAGATAGTCCATACTCGTTACAGACATAGAAAGAGAACGCAACACAATTTATTTTATTGCATTTGATGTGCATTTGTTTGCAAATCCATGTATACTAGCCACATAAAGAAACTGTGCATTGTCAAAATATTATCCCAGTTGATAAGTACGATAACAATGTCAAAGGTACATATAAACTTTAATGGAGGGATCATGAGACCATAACAAGTCGGGGAGAATTTCAATTGAAAAGTCAATCACAATGACGTCACGAGTCCACAAGCGGGACAGGGGTTAAAAGACCATGTCACAAGCTCAATAACGGGTATGTCCACCATCGGCATTGAGAACAGCAGTGCATCGACGACGCATAGAGCCTATCAAACGTGCAAGGAAGGCTTGTGGGATGTCACGCCAGATTCTCTCAAGTTCTGTTGCAAGGTCAAGGACGTTATCTGGCGGATGAGGAAGACGGCGTAGACGTCGATCCATCTCGTCCCAAACATGCTCTATCGGGGAGAGATCCGGTGAATTTGCAGGCCAAGGCAGTAAGTCAACGTTGTGGTGTTGCAAGAAATCCATAGCAACCCTTGCCGTATGAGGGCGGGCATTGTCCTGTTGGAATGTTAACCCAGGGCCATGACGTTGCAGAAAAGGAATCGCCACAGGTCGAAGAATCTGATCCATGTAGCCCACACCAGTTAAGTTGCCCTGAACAATCACCAAAGGAATTCTTTAGCGTGCTGTTATTCCACCCCAAATCATCACGG